TTCCAGCAAAGGCATGACACATACTAGACCAGGAATCTTAATTTATATGCCCACAGAGCTCTATCTGTGGGTTTTTAACTCAGTTCATCCTCTTGCAGGTCTTTAAAATACCATCCAGAGCACTGATTTGCCCATAATAGCCTTCCAACTGCAGATTATATTTGTAGGATTTCAGTATGTTGTTGTTTCGTTTTTCAGTTACTGAGCCTTGTCCTCTCCTCTGAAAAACAGATCTGTTATTTCTGATGGGAATCTAGTCTCATATTCTTGACAGTAGTTAAATAGAAGGGTGTTGGGTTTTGTAAGGGTGAGGGTTTTTTTCAGAAGTACATAAATGTATGTTGCTGGATCATCTTGTGCTGCTGGGTCTGGACAAGTAGTACATTCGCAGGTAAACATTTCTGCACAGCTTCAGAGGGCTGGACAGAGGTCTGAAGTGCTTGGGAATGTGACACATAGAAAAAGAGGCTGAATGTCAGGTAAGGTTAAGTCTATATAAGATATAGCTTTGGGGACATAATAAAGTAAAATAAATAGGAGGACTAGAGAATAAAGGTCTAAAGAATTGCAGGTATGCTATGGAGTCTTGAGGCCAGATGCCTGCACGTTGCCAGTCTCTGAGCTGCAAAATTCAAAGCATAGTAGAGTAGGTTTTGATCTCTATTTTTAAAGAGCTTTGGCAGAGTCAATATAACTTACTCTTTTGGGGTTTTGTTTTTTGTTTTGTTTTGTTCTAAAATGAAATAGGAATTGAATGGTAAAGCATGATGCACAGCTAGCCTAGAGTGTAACTATATCCCTTAATCACTCGGTAACCAATGCCGAGTTATCTTTGAGCTATCAAGATACTTTAGAAATACTTGGCATTTCAGCAAAGCTGATCATCCAAACAACTCTAATGGCATAGGAAATCTGTATTCCAGAAGTGGTAAAAAATCAAAAAGAACATAATTGTCTAAAGGTGTGTTGTTTAATGGTATCTCTGAACTGGATGTATTGCAGTTATATACAATGCAAGGCCATGCATCAGACTAATAAATTATAGATGGGGATCTCCTCACTTGAAACTTGAGGAGGAGGAAGCAGGCAAGCTGTTTGACTTACAGGATGAGTATGATCTCCAGTATAATGTATCTGTGAAGGTTACTGTGACCATAAAATGCATCAGGGCACTTGTTGCTAGTATGGCTTGGAATGTTTAGCAGGATTCTGCAGAGACTTCAACTGTAACTTGATAATTCATGTTTACAAAAGATGAAAGATGATTCCAGGTGTAGAAAAGAGCTATTAAAATACTTATGAGAATGAGGAGCCTGTTTTATAAAAGGAAAGTAGAAGAGCTTAGTTGGTTTGGCTAAAAATAAGTTTTGATCAGAACAGGTAAGTAAGCACTAGGGATTAAAAAATAAATAGTTAATGCCAGAGCTGGTTTAAAGCCCAGCTGGATGTCAAATGGCTGTGACTAACTTTTATCTAAGTACAGCAAACCTCCTGGCTACATAGGAGAGTGGTGCTATGGAACTGTACTCCAGTGAGAGATGTATGTGTAAAAACTGTTTCAAGATCAGTCTTGATGCTTTTATGTAGAATCCATTTATGATGGATCTTGATGTATGATAAAGGGAGAGAGGAATGGAGCTACAATTGCAGATGAGTAGCCTTGATTCATGAGGTCTTTTCAGTCCTTGGCCCTGATGATCTAGCAAGAGAAAATTTAGATCTGCATCTAGGCAGTAGTGAAGCAATAAAAAGGTTTCTGCACAAAGGACACTCTTACTTTCCAGCTTTTGTGTGATTTTCTTGTCTCAGCTCCTTAGTAGAGGGATAGATTGATCCATACATAATGTATGGTAAGGAGCTCCACTGTATGCATGTGTCTTTCGCCTTCTGGTTTGGAATGACAACTTTCATATGACTGAGCCAACTTAGTTGTTTCATCCCTGGCCTCTTGTTTGGCACAGGTAAGTAGATTCCTTACATATTTATTTTTGGCTCTGAGTTAATTTTGACTGCCAAAGCAGTGGGTATGTTACTTTCTAAAATGTATTTGGTTACAAAGCAAATTGAATTTGAAGAGAGCACTGCAATGGCGTAGGCTTATCTTTGTGTCTGAACCCTGCTGTCTGCTTTACCATATACCTTTCTTTCTGGTAATACATATTTATTAACATCATTGAAAGCTTTTTACCAAAAACAACCTTTGTCATAGATGCTCTTAATGTTTGAGCTTACATACTTTCCCTGTGTAGTAACTTGCTTGAGATCTTGAAAAAATAATTCCTTGTTGAAGGATCTGTAAAGAGTTCATCGTGGAGAATCAAGGAGCCTTTGTCACATAAACACCAAAAAGACCAAATTTTAAATTTTGAATCCTAAAACAAATTTAAAAGATTTAAATAAAATTTTTAAAAGCCTTTATTAGATGAGGTGGTTTCTTTTGGGGTGTTTTTTTGTTTTTGTTTTGTTTTGTTTTTGCTAACACAGACCCTGAAAAACACTTATGAATCACTTTCAACAAAAATGTGAGGTTTCAGTGGGAATTGCAGGTGTTTAGTGATCTGTATAATAGTAGAAACATTTCACAACAGAAGAGGCTGCAGGTAGCAACATGGTGCTTTTCTGTGTTGCTGCTGAGTCTGACAGAGAACATCAGTTCTTTTTTATGTGTAATTTTGGGTTAATTGATTTGGGACCAAATTCCTGGAAATTTTTTTGAGCATGAAAAGTCTTATGTGTTGACCTTAAGTCATTAGCAGAATCAGAAGTGTGAATCTAAATGGTTTTGTTGTGTCAGCTGCAATGTTGTTAAGAATTTTCAAGATCAGTGGATTTTCAGTCAAACTTTTTCCCCACTGTCTTCAGAGCACCCCCTCTTTTAGCTGCATTCATAGGCTTATCTTGTTATCAGTGAAGAGAAAAAGTATGTCTGTGCAAGTAACTGTAATCGCAAGGGGTCATGTTCAGAGTGTTTAGATTCTACCGCAGTTGTAATTTCAGAAGCTTTTAGCTGCAGAAGTTTCAGGTACAGCCCAGGTCACTCATCAAAAAATGGCCTAATCCTAGCAAGTACATTGAATTTATTGCTTCTCCTGTTTTGGCCATAGAATTCCCTAATGCCTGTAATTGAATAAAACATCAGGCTGCAGGGGGACAATCAGAAGCTGCCCCCATCAAAGACATGCCAAAGCAGAGGCAATATAGAGACAGTATATAAATGTTGCCTTTCTCTGTCTTCAGAAAGAAAGGCCACTTGTTTACTTGGGCTATATTAACTTTATCATAGAATCATAGAGTGGTTTGGGTTGGAAGGGACTTTAAAGATCATCTAGTTCCAGCCCCCCTGCTACAAGAAACCTTCCAGTAGACCAGGTTGCTCAAAGCCCCGTCCAGCCTGGCCTTGAAGACTACCAGGGATGGGGCATCCACAACTTCTCTGGGCAACTTGTTCCAGTGCCTCACCAGCCTCATAATGAAGATTTATCCCAAGGTGCAAACAGTGTCAGGAAATTGGTTAAAGCAGTCACCCAGAATGGAGGAGATCAGAGGTTTTTAGCTCTACGAAGAGTGGAAACTTGTAGCTCTCCGATTCCAGCAGAGTCCCCTCGCCACCAGGTTCTGGGGCATTCTGAGTTTAGGCTTTTCTCCATGTTGCCTTTTGGAGGTAGGGCATCTTCACCTCAAAAAAAAAATGTAAGATTCTAGAGGGGAAGCTACATGGGAAAGAAATACACCTTTTTCTACTGATGTAATAGAGATTCCTGTAAGATTCAGCTGAAGTCCTGGGTTCTGATTCCCATTTTAAAGGCTGGCTCTGTATTTTCCATTTAGAAGCTCATGGATTAAAGGAGTTAAGCACCATTAGCATGGACAGAAGCTTAGTATGTTTCATTACAGTTTCTGGTGGCCCATCTTCAGCAGAGGTGACCCAGGTTATTCTGTAGTATGCTGTTCACAGGACTTCCCTAGACAGGAACAAGTTGTGGGGTTAATCTGCTTCAGCATAGTGCAGAATTTAGCCTACTTTCTAACTGAACATGAAGACCTCCTTTTCTTGATAGTAGGAATCTACTCTCAGAAAACTTCATGTACTTTACTGAAATTGGACAGAAGAGTGACTAAAGCAGGCCTGAACTACATATCTGCTTGAGGACACGCTGTCTGTGCTAAATGACTTGTGTCATCTGGTATGAGGTAGCTCCTTGATAAATGTGCAGAAGCACAGAGCCGTCCTCTGGAGGCAGCCAGTGAATCACCCTGCTGAAGCCAAGTGTTTGCTTTAGATGCTGCGATGTGTAAGGTGTGTAACATCAGATGTTTTCAGTTTGCTCTTTTTTGTCATGTGATGGTTGTATAACTTGCCTAGAGCTTGTTCCCTACAGTTTGTGTCATGACAGGAGGATTTTGCATTTCCAAATGTCACCTTTTGAATTGTCAGCTTCAGGGACTGTTTTCTTCACTCATGATTTGAAACAAGAATGTGTAATAAAGCATTACTTCAAATTTTATTTCATAGTTTAGAAACCTGCATCTGAACGTTTGTGGAACTGCGATGTTGGTAGAATCTTTGTTGGTGGACTCAAGTGAATGCCTCTAATGTAGGCATAAAAATAATTGTATGCAGCAAGTCTGAAGAGAGGATTTCCTGTAGGACTGAACTCTCTTTCCAGTTCTGTGTATTCCTACAGAAGATCTTTTCATCTGACCAGAACAGCACACTCCCCTAATGCAAGAACTACATTTAAGAGAGTAACATTGCAGTGGGACAGAGCTGCTGGGTGTGAGGGTTTGTTTTTTTAAATCAGGAGTTATCGTTAACCATTTACGTTTACTTAAGAACAAGATTTAGCCCTCATTTTGCACACTAGAACTCTAGTTGTGGAGCAAATGTCATTCTAGATTTACCTAGTTTTCCCTCTACTGCTAAATCATGTAGATTTATATGGATTATGGGATCTGGATTATGGGACTCTTGGAAGGCTGACACACGTCATGTCCTGCTAACTTAGTTTTATGTCTTCTGGTTAGGAATGACCATTTCCAAATTGGTCTCCTTAAAGAAAGATTTGTGTGGTATTTAGTTTAGACTCTGCAGTGCTATATGGCAAAAATAAAATCTGATTAGAAAACCACAAATTCTAGTGGTAGCAACTGTTAGATGACTAAACTGTAGTTTATCCTGAATATTGTGAATCAAATGGAACATGATTAAGCAGTATGCACAACTATTAAATATTAGCCTGAAAAAGTTACGGATCAGTACTGCTCACCGTAAGTGCCAGGAAATGAGGCTCTCCTTGAGGAAAAGGCTGAGCAAATATGGGATGCAGTTAGATTAGAATGAGTGCAGCTTATTTTTCCTGCAAAGAATAAACACATTTTCATCAGTGCTTCTCTCTGTTAATAATAGTATATCACATTTGACTCACTTTGAAATGCAGTGATGTATGGTTCACCTGATTTTTAAATTGGAAGACTACAAGGAAGTGAGAACAATTTTTTGACATAACTCTTTGTCCTGGGTTCCGCAGTAGCAGTCATGTTTTTCCTTTGTGTTAACTGGTACAGTGCTGTGTTTTGACTTCCAGTTTGAGAACAGTGTTGGTGAAGCCGATGTTCTCGGTTGTTGCTAAGTGATGTTTACCCTGACCAAGGACTCTGTGAGGCTCATGCTCTGCCAGGGAGGAGGGGAGGCTGTGAGGAAGCAGAGACGGGGCGCCTGACCCGGGCTAGCCGGGGAGGTATTCCATACCACAGCACGTCATGCCCGGGGTGAGGGGTAACTGGGAGTTACCCGGAAGGACAGGGGTTTCCGGGTGGAGCTCGTTTCTCTTGGCCGGTGGTATCGTATTCTCTTCCCTTGTTATTTTCCCTTATCATTGTTGTAGCTGATAGTAGCGGTGGTGATTTGTTGCTGGACTGTTTTTGTCTCAACCCGTAGGAGTTGCACTCTCTCGATCCTCCTCCCCGTTCCTCCGGGAGCGGGGAAGGGGAGAGCCCCGGTGCGGGGAGGCAGGGGGGGAGACGGACACGGACCTCGATTGTTGTCAGCTCGGCACCACTCACTGGGAGTGAGTGAACAAGCTACCTGACTGGGTTTAAACCACGACAGTTCTTTTTGGCGCCCAACGTGGGGCACGAAGGGTTGAGATAAGAACAGATCTGACTGGATTGATAGTCACTCGTCACAATGCTGATTTATTGGCTCTCAAGGTTGTTCCTCTTGATCTCACAGTTTCAGTATATGATATCTTACGTCCATCCGGTACTTGCTGTATTAGTGTTTTTCAAGTATGGGGCTTGGGCTAAGGTTTTTATCCCATTGTACTTTATGGTAATGACTTGTAATACAATAGAATCATTGATCATGAAATTGATCTGGCTTATGTTCCCAGTGTGGTCACCACCTTTATACTTTGGGAGGTATATGATGGAGGTGCTTAGCAATTACACATCTTTTTTCTCCTTCTCAGGTGCTCAACCTGGGAAGGAGACATCCTTTTACCCTCCTAGTCGTCCCCCCAGACCATTTACATTTGAGAGTTTTGAATTTTTTGAATGGCCTTTTAATGCTGTTGAGACTTGTTTGCTGATGGTGATGGGAATCACCATGCTAACACGCATACAGAGTGTGTTTTACCCACTACTGATTTCAAGAGTTAAGCAGATTCAGGTTTGGGTCTTGTCTGGGGTCAAACGACGATGTAGGAGGACCGAGAGATTTTCCCTGAGGCTGGACAGCCATGAGTGGCAGGGTGTGTGGGATAGTATGGGCAAGTATCTAGGTCAGTGGGCCCCTCCAGTACTTTGGAATTTCACTACTGAACAACTGCAAAATCCAGAAGAATTAGTAAAACACTTAAATGAGGTGTGTGGTCATTCTGGCCATACCAGAGATGGACAAATCATGGCAACGTGCTGGGGCTTGGCCTATGCTTACAGGGCCTTGTTCAACACTATCCAGCACCTTCAAAAGGAAAAGAATGTCGGCGGATCTGAGGGCAAAGATTTCGGAATGTCACCAGAGGAGGAGGTGATGCGCGCTGAAGAGGCCCCACCATATAATAAACTGTCAGAAAGTGAAAAGCAGTATGCCTTGTTTACTGATGGCTCTTGCCGTATTGTGGGAAAACATCGGAGATGGAAGGCAGCTGTATGGAGTCCTGGACGACAAGTTGCAGAAACTGCTGACGGAGAGGGTGAATCGAGTCAGTTTGCCGAGGTGAAAGCCATCCAGCTGGCCCTGGACATTGCTGAACGAGAAAAGTGGCCAGTACTTTATCTCTATACTGACTCATGGATGGTGGCAAATGCCCTGTGGGGGTGGTTGAAGCAGTGGAAGCAGAGCAACTGGCAACGCAGAGGTAAACCCATCTGGGCTGCTGCACTGTGGAAAGATATTGCTGCCAGGGTGCAGAACCTGGTGGTGAAGGTACGTCATGTAGATGCCCATGTACCCAAGAGTCGGGCCACTGAGGAACACCAGAACAACCAACAAGTGGATAAAGCGGCTAAGATTGAAGTGGCTCAGATGGACTTAGATTGGCAACGTAAAGGTGAATTATTTTTGGCCCGGTGGGCCCATGACACTTCAGGCCATCAGGGCAGAGATGCAACATATAGATGGGCCCGTGACCGAGGGGTGGACTTAACAATGGACACTATTGCCCAGGTTATTCATGAGTGTGAAACATGTGCTGCAATTAAACAAGCCAAGCGGTTAAAGCCTCTTTGGTATGGAGGACGATGGTTGAAGTATAAATATGGGGAGGCCTGGCAGATTGACTATATCACACTGCCACCAACCCGCCAAGGCAAGCGCCATGTGCTTACCATGGTGGAAGCAACCACCGGGTGGCTGGAAACATACGCCGTGCCCCATGCCACTGCCCGGAACACCATCCTGGGCCTTGAGAAACAGATTTTGTGGCGACACGGCACCCCAGAGAGAATTGAGTCAGACAATGGGACTCATTTCCGGAATAACCTTATAGATATTTGGGCCAAAGAGCATGGCATTGAGTGGGTATATCACATCCCCTACCATGCACCAGCCTCTGGGAAAATCGAACGGTACAATGGACTGTTAAAAACTACACTGAGAGCAATGGGTGGGGGAACTTTCAAGCATTGGGATACACACTTACCAAAGGCCACCTGGTTGGTCAACACCAGAGGATCTGCCAACAGGGCTGGCCCAGCCCAGTCAGAACTGTTACATATTGTAGAGGGGGACAAAGTTCCCGTGGTGCATATGAAGAATTTGCTGGGAAAGACAGTCTGGGTAATTCCTGCTTCAGGTAAAGGCAAACCCACTCGTGGGATTGCTTTTGCTCAGGGACCTGGATATACTTGGTGGGTAATGCGGGAAGATGGGGAAGTCCGATGTATACCTCAAGGGGATTTGATTTTAGGGGAAAACAGCCAGTGAACTCAATTGTATGCTGTTGCCTGCTGTGTAATGCTTTTATAGCCCATCAACTAGATGTCTCCAGGTCACAAGCGACTGGCCCTGACTTCCCTCCAGCCATCATCCCAACAGAGAATGAACTTTGAACATCATGGACCGAATGGACTCGGCAGCATTATAGGGATTGGTCCATGCATTAAGAAAATGATTTTTCCTCTTGGTCTGTATGTATATGGATGTATATATGTGGGAGAGCGATGGTGTATTGAAAAATGTGGGATCTGAGCACGACGTGAATGGTATGGAATAAGGGGTGGATAATGTCCTGGGTTCCGCAGTAGCAGTCATGTTTTTCCTTTGTGTTAACTGGTACAGTGCTGTGTTTTGACTTCCAGTTTGAGAACAGTGTTGGTGAAGCCGATGTTCTCGGTTGTTGCTAAGTGATGTTTACCCTGACCAAGGACTCTGTGAGGCTCATGCTCTGCCAGGGAGGAGGGGAGGCTGTGAGGAAGCAGAGACGGGGCGCCTGACCCGGGCTAGCCGGGGAGGTATTCCATACCACAGCACGTCATGCCCGGGGTGAGGGGTAACTGGGAGTTACCCGGAAGGACAGGGGTTTCCGGGTGGAGCTCGTTTCTCTTGGCCGGTGGTATCGTATTCTCTTCCCTTGTTATTTTCCCTTATCATTGTTGTAGCTGATAGTAGCGGTGGTGATTTGTTGCTGGACTGTTTTTGTCTCAACCCGTAGGAGTTGCACTCTCTCGATCCTCCTCCCCGTTCCTCCGGGAGCGGGGAAGGGGAGAGCCCCGGTGCGGGGAGGCAGGGGGGGGGAGACGGACACGGACCTCGATTGTTGTCAGCTCGGCACCACTCACTGGGAGTGAGTGAACAAGCTACCTGACTGGGTTTAAACCACGACACTCTTCCACATACTTCCTAAATAATTACCCAGAGTCTAAACCTAAACCAGCAAATGAAATGGAGCAATTTAACAATCTAGGCTGCGCAGTACGAAGTCCACATTGTATTTCTGCATTAACATCTTTGATTCATTGGTTCTTTTTTTTAATTGAAGTAGGATAGAGTTATCATCATGCCACACAATTGCTTCAGACAGAATGTGTAAAAACTTCTTATTGTTGTAGTACCTCAAAAGACTGAAATCATCCTTCTGCAACCTCCCAAGTGTAACTTCATGAAGTTTGCATTGTTCAAAGGCATGGGCTTGCAGTCTGTTTTCATCACAAAACTGCACCATGGTCATTGTTTAGAACCAGGTGACATGAAAGCACATTTAATATCTGAACATTGAAACCATTGTCACCTTTTTCCTTTGAAAGTACACGAGGCCATTATAAAAGAAATCTGATAGCTGTATTAATGATAAAATGCTACAGGAACCTGTCATCTCTGCACTTTGCTTGTGAGAAGGGATTTCACATCCTTTTTTTTTTTTTCCTGAATATGTATGTATGGTTTCATGGGAACGATCAGGATCTTGTTAGAACGTAATCTTTAGAAGTTAAGTTTCATAGCTTCCCCCCCCCCCCCATCCTTTTATCCATTGTTCCAAAGTCTCTGTGAATGAAACTGATACTTTTCCCCTCTGCTTTTGAATGGAACTATGTGAATGTTTTACCTTCAGTTTTGCCTTGTGCTCACCAGCCTGCAGTCTACTGATAGATTATTTTTTCTAGCCAATTAATATATTTAAAATGATGTTGCAGCTTTGTCAGCTGCTGTTCCCCAGGCTTGATGGCAAAAGTAGACAGATGGATGGGGGAAGGGATTGTTTTGTCAGGATGAATTTGAAGCATAAGGAATATGTTAAATGGACAGCATTGCAAACTGAAGTCTTCTGATTGCCTGTGTCCTTGCAGTGTTCACAGTTCTTTTCTTGTGCCTCTTACCCAGCTCAGGCCTAACAGTAAGTTCTGTGTCTGATTTTCTTTTTTGTTACTGCTTGTTTTGATTACATTGCACCTAGTAAATGTAAAACTGCTGATGCTTTGTGATAATTTTTTTAGTGCCTGTTAACCCTGAAATACTAATTTGGTAGTATTTTCCAGGCACAGCTTGCAAGACAAATGTAGACCAATTGGTGGTGTTGCTTGTTACTGGTTTTTGTAATTAATTATAGCTGCTGGGAGCCCAAAATAAAACTTTTGAAGTCTTGGCCATTATGTAAAAGACAGAGTGGTGCAACTGTTTGTGGGATCAGGGGCTATTGATTTACTGCAGCCCATCAGTGTTGGAGGGGTGTGCTGCTACATCAGCTGTGCGCTCTGTTGTTTCAACTGCTGTGGCCTTTGTGTTTGACCCTGTCAGTGCTTGCGTCAATGATGCATATCATTGCCTGTGTGATGTCAAAGTGTGGGTGTACGGATATAGAGCCATAGTTAACCTAATGTGCTGCAGTAAATCCTGAATGCTGTTTCCTCCTGGGGATAACAGTGATTCATCGCCGTTCACATTAGACTAATGCTAAGTATAGCAGTGCTCATGAGCTGCAGTATCCACATAAATTAGTATCAAAGTCATTGCAGCTTTCTAAACGGGATGTCAGAAAGTGTTTGGAACCAGGTCTGTTGGTGTGCCTCCTTTCTTGGGCGTAAACTGATTAGCAGTTCAGCTGAAGGTAAATCCTATGGAAGGATTGGGCTGAAGTAATCCTTTAGAATTTAGTTATGCTAATTAACGTAAAAACCTGGAGGATTTGGGCCACGCCAGCCAATGACAATGGTTAGCGTACAGCAAAGGCCAGAGCAGGAGGCCTGCGGCATGGCTGAGGAATCCCTCCCGGGCACCCGCCCCCCAGCCCCTGTCAGCCCAGGCCGCGTTCCGCTTGTGCCGCCTCCCGGCTGGCGCGGGGCCCGGCCGCGGCCCGGCAGGGCGGAGCGGAGCGGGCCTTGGGGCGGGGTGGGGCGGAGCTGAGCGGGCAGCCGCGCACCTGAGGGAGCCGCCCCGCCCGCTGCCACCGCCCCGCCTGCCGCGGCGCGCCGGGGAGCACCCGCCAGGCGGGCCCGGCCCGGTACGGCCCGAAATGAGCGGTAAGGTGTCCCGGCCGCCCAGCGAACTCGCCGCTGTAAAGCACAGAAGCTGCAGGGCAGGACGCGGCGGGCAGACAGTCCCCGCGGCTGGCCGCTTGTGCGGCAGCGGCGGACGGGGGAGAGCTGCGGTGGTTGGGAAACAAATGCGGGGAACCTGAGCGCTGCTGAGCCCCTCTCCGGGTGATGGGCGGCTGCGGAGGGAGCGGGCAGCCCGGGCGCTGGGCGGCCATTCCGGGCGAGCTGGGGTGTTGGCAGAGCCGGGCTCTGGGCGTCGGTGCCCCGGAAGCGCATCCGCGAGTGCGGGCGGCGAGCGCTGCATCCGCGCTGGAGCGGCGTGCGTCCGCCGTGCGTCCGCCGTGCGTCCGCTGTGCCGGAGTGCTGCGGAAGACCTGGAATGAAGCAATGCCACTAGGCAGGATAGAGAGAAATCCTACATCCGTTAAGAGAGCGGTGGTGGTATCCTCCCATTTTCAGGTGTTCTGTGTTCAGATGAGTTTGTCACGGCCGCAGTGACAAACGGTTAATTTTGGCACACGTTTATGGTAGCTTGTTAATGAGGTTTTTACAGTCTGCTCGAATAATCATGTTAAATTTGCTGGGATTTCTTTTACGAGTTTCCCGTTTAAGGGCACAAGTTTCATGTGCTCTTTGAGAGGCACCTTGTTTTTTCCTGATTTTTTTTTTTTTTTTTTTTTAACTTAGGGCAAAATGCGTGGCAAGTTTTCCCTTTACTAATAGTGAAATAGCAAATTTCAGGACAACGTAAATAAACTGGAAGTGTGGTGAAACATCTGCTTCTTGGGTTTGGTTGAGTTAAATAAACCTTTAATGTGTTTGATTAGTCATTTGTCAAGAATAATGTGTAAAGCACAGTGACATTTACAGTACCTCTCTACTACTTATTATGTAAGAGAATTGTATACCTTAGAGGATATGGAAGAATTGAGACCTCTTAGAATCACAGAATGGTTTAGTTTGGAAGGGGCATTAAAGATTATCCAGTTCCAACCCCCCCTTGACATGTGCAGGGGCCTTCCGCTAGATCAGGTTGTTCAAGGCCCTGTCCAACCTTACCTCAGATCATCAGCATTCATAATATAGTGCTTTGGCTGAAGCCAGTCCCGTTTATGTCCAATATAGAAAATTAGATGTTTGATTAACACATACGCTGGTGTTATTTGCAGGTACTTTATAATCAGTCTTGCATTATGGCAAAACACACTGGCTTTGTCATGCACCAGTCTAGCCGATACCTGAAAGCATGAAGATTCCTCTTGCTGTGAATTTCACTGAAGTAGAGTTGTTTTTAAAAGGGAAAAGTACCTGCTTTTATAGCATATTAGCATTCATCTTTAGATACAGGAAAGCTTTTTTTAAAGGTTTTTTGTAGGTAGTAATATGCTTTCTGTCAAGAAATCAGTAATTTCACTGTAAACACCCTGTGTTCTTTAAAACGTATAAAGTCTGCTAACTTTTTTCCATGCTTTTCCTTTTCTTGAATGTTCCTTTGCAATCTGACTTCATTCCACAGCTACTTGGAAATTTAATCAAAGCAGATTAGAGTCCACAGTTACATTTTGAATATTAAAAATATGTTTTCTTTAATTCAGGAACTTTAAAGTGTTCAGGATGGGATGCAAGTTTACAGACTGCTAATTTGACTCTGTTGTAACACTGCAGTAACTTTTCAGGTTCATACATCGCCTGTATATCTTTTGTGACCGCTAGGTTGTGGGTATACTGGAAATGGGTTTGTGGATCAACCTTTGTACTGGATTGAAGATAACTGCTTTTTTGTTTGCTTGTTAGAGAGATTAAAGCACTAAATAAATAAGCTTTAAAAAGACTGTTAAACAATATTCTTCAGATGTCTAAAGCAAAACAAACCAAAAAAGCCAAATACACTTCAGTAAATTTACACCAGTTCACCAAGAAACAGGCTGTTCATGTTAGAGTTCCTACATCTCTCAAGGACGTTGAGTTTGCTGTAAAAAAGTTCAAGTAACTAGGGTCTTAATTCTAAATTTACCTGAAACTTCTATGGTTTAAAATTGTGAGTTTAATAAAAGTGTTTTGTGTTTGGTATGGAAAAAGTACAAGTAAGCAGTGCAACATACAAGCTGTGTTAAAGTCCACCTTATGTAAGAATTTAAAACATTATTTGGTTGAGTGGTGACTTACAGTAAGTATGCTGTTGATGTTTTAGAACGTATTGTAAGCTAATGCACTGAAGCACTTTCAGCTTCTCTCTGCTGCTTTTCACTTCACTTTATTTTTGCCACCTCATACTCAGCAGAAACTTTCACTGAAACATTTTTGAGTTTCAGCTGAGCACAAAGACTTGAAGGAGGTTCAGTTCTCAATTTATAGCTTGCTGTAGTCTTTATGTTCTTTGCTGTTATACAGTTCAGTTAAGATCTTGTTCTTTAAAAGTATCTTAGTCTTTTTAAGTAGTACATTTCCAGACTTCTGGATCTCGCTCTGAAGAAGTCCCTATAGTACATGTAATCAAGCTCAATTACATGCTACTTTTTTAAAGAATGGGTTTTGTTCCTTTTCAGTGCTCTTGGCATTCAGACAGGGTTATCTGTATTTTTGTCAAGTTCATACTTACCAGAATGAGGTATGCTATAATCTTATATACCATACTGTGCATTTACTTAGTATTTCCTATTTGTAGATCTTAACTGAGTTTCTAAAACATTAATGTGGAACTGTGAATGCCCTTTCAGAAGTATTATTGAAACTTCACCGACGGTTGGGTTGGTGGTTTTTTTGCTTCACTACACTGACCTGAGAGAGAATGGAGTCTGGAGTGTCTGAATCCCAACCGTATGTGCTTACCACAAAATCTGGTCAGATTCTATTGTGTTTCAGTTTTTCTTTAATAATTAAACTTCAGCAATTGTTGCCTTGTGTATTTTAAACACAAGAGTGTACGAACGTCTGTAGGCAGTCCCCCTTGAAGCCTGTGCCAATGCGCTTGCTCTGTTAGAGGCCTGTGTCAAATGCTGAAGGGGAGGGCATAAGGACAGGGCAAGCACACAGAAATAACTTGCTTATTTCTAGCTTTCTGAACCAGAAGTAATGCTTGGTTGGTTTTGTTGTTGTTTTTTTTTTTCCAGCTCTTAATGGATTACCTCTCTCAATTTGTTTAATTTCTTCTGAACCTAACCTTTAACTTTCCACAATGTTCTTGAAGCAGCGAGTTACATAATTTAACTGTACATTTCATGAGAATTTGCTTTATCTGTTTTAAACCTTTTACCCAGTGATTTAATTTAATATCTCTGGTTCTTGCACATGAGAAACTGCAAATGGTCTAGCTTCCCATTTTTAGGCAGTTTGTGAGTGTTTTTGTTTGTTTGGGGTTTTGGTTGGTTGGTTGGTTTTTAGTAAGTCTTTTGCTGTTTCTCTGCTGCCAGCACTTTTACGTTTTAACCATCTTCAGGTAGAAAAATACTGGTCTCTTTAATCTTTCCTGATAACTGGTGGAAAGTCACTGTAAACCTCCTTTCCTCTTCTAGTTCTGTGTATTCTTTTTGAAAGGTGGGGACAAACACAGTGCTCTAAGTATTGAGGTACAGCATGGATCTATACCATAGCATAATAGTGTTTTCTGCTTGTTCTCTGCCCTGTTAGTGATGACTTTTAATGTTCTCTTTTTTTCTTTCAACAACACTCAGCTAGAAATACCTTTCCTTAGATACATAGTAATTCCATAATCTGCTTATTTACAGCTAGTTTGTGGCTCATCACTATAAATACTTCTGGTTTTATCCAGGTGTATTACTTTGCACTTACCAACACTGTTTCTTCTGCTTTTTTATCATCTGATCATTCAGTATTTTAAGATTCTTTGCAGCTCTGACAGCATACCAGAAATTTGTCACTTTGCTGTTCATTTCCTTTTCCAGAAGTTAATGCATTGAACAGGTTCTTGTTTGGGTGCCTGTGGGACTCCTTTGGTCACTTTAGGCACTTTGAAAGCTGATCATTTGCTTCTTCTTATTTCCTATTCTCAAGCCAGTTAGTTATTCATGAAAAGCCTTTTTTCCTTTTTAAGCAAAGGCAGCATTGCTACTTTAAGTGTCTTTCAAAAGCTTTTAGAAGAATCCAGTTATGTTGACAGCATCCCTGTGTTCTTTGAAGGTATCAGATATTCCAGGCAATACTTTATCTACAAATGCCTCCTTAAAACAGTCCTGTTGTGTCATATTTGTCTGTCTGCGAACTCTGTTCTTTCTGGTTTGCATGGTACAAGTTTCATCATGGTATCAGAATCTTTCCCGTTAGTAGGAGTAGAATTCGTGGTTTGTAATAGCTGGCTTTCCCCTGGGACCTTAAGTTAATGTTCTGTTTACCACCTCCCTCTCCTGTGGCACTGAGACTACTTCAGGTGATAAGACTATAGTAACAGAACAGATATTTTGTAAGTAATTTTCTTTACAACTCTAATGGAATACCGTCTGGTTTCAGCAGTTTGTTTTGAATGTTTTGTTTTGTTTCTGTTTTAAAGTCTCTTCTTTTGTCCTTTCCTCTCAGGACACTTCCTTTGCTCTGTCCCCTGTTAAGTTTTGACAGAAACTCTTCTCTGAGCTTCCTGACAGAGAAGGGAAAAATACGTGCTGGTTAATTTACTTTTTAGTTTTGTTTCTGGTTTTCTCCTAACTGCTTCGTAGGTTTCTAAGAGTGCCCTTTGCTATAATTTTATCTGTACAGTGCATTGCCTTTGTTTATCCATGTTATCTTGTATGTTTTTCACAGAGACTTTGCAGTTCAGTATGTTCTTTCAGCTTTCTCAGATCATTAAATGGTGGTATACTGAATATTTTTGTAACCAATTTAGGTCCTGCTCAGGTTCCAATGATGTCCCCAAATGGTTCAGTGCCTACTATTTATGTGCCTCCTGGATATGCCCCACAGGTACGTCCCTTCATTTGATTATTATTTTCATACAAATTATGAGAGTAAAACCATAATAGCTAATTCAGTAAGTAGCATCAAGTTTCAGAGTCACTGTGGTTAAGCAAGTATATAATGGGAGATGTCCACCTTGCCTCTGTCATGGAAGACTTCTCATGCTGTGTATGTGTCTGTTTAGTTGTAAATTAACTACTTAAGTGACAGTAACAAACTCAGTTCCTTGTTGAGTTCAGGATCCCAATGTACTAGATGTCCTCTGAATATAAACCAGAGTCATGACCCAGATAGCTCATTGTGCAGGACCTGTACTGATTTTTGTGTTAGTGGATGTTTTATCTTGGCACCAATATAGTTTTATATAGGTACATAGTTAATGTCTGGGAAGTTCCCTGCAGGTAAGGACTAAAACAGATCAGTTAGAAAAAGCATAGCAAACAACATGGGAAAAATGTCAGTTGTCCATTAGGAATAAATTAGCATGTAATGCATACTTCCACAGCTTGTCTTAAAATGGGACTTTCATTTTCTCACTGCAGTGAGATTCCTAATTTAGATGCCTAAAAATTAAATATGAGCTAGATAACCTGGACAAGTCTAGGGGTTAGTAGGTCATACCCAGAAGTTAAAGCAGATGACTACAGCTCTCCATGATGTCTTTCTCATGATGGTCTGTTGTTGTGACCTCTACCTCTGACTCTGCTTGCATCCAATTGTGTACCCCAAGAGGAGACTACAACACGTAAAATGCAGCCAAAAAACCCACAGTGCCTAGCAGATGTTGGACTAATTATCTGAACAGCTTAAGAAATTGTCCTCTAGCAAAAAAGGGATGTTAGATGAGGCAGACTGAACACTCTGTGGGTTTATGGATTTACCTTTCATCTGTTAAAAGTTGTCTGATAAGTTGTTTTATGTATCCTTCATAGTTGAGTTCCCAAAGAGGTAGAAGAAAAATTAATTAAAAATAATAGTGAAAGTCCATTTATCTTTAATTCATGGTAAAAAGTCTTAATTTATATTAGAATTCATTTTTTACGAACGGAAACAATTTTTTAGATAAGTGAATTTCTGAGTAATTTTACCGTATTTCTAGAGTGCTTAACTTCAGTTGACGAAGTACTTGATGTTTAAAAAGTTGTGTAACCTGTGTCAATCACAGTAATATTTATAAAATTAATTTATCCTTCTTTTGAGGATGACTTGCTGAAGGACTGGGCCTTGCTGAAGCACGCTTGTTAGCCTTTCATTTTAGCTTGTTAGTGCAAGCAGGTGTTGTGATAACACAGTGCTCTGACTTCTGAACTGAAGGTGTTTCACTATACAGGGTGAAGCTCAGAGTACAAGTGGAACAAACTCTGCTGTCTGCATCTGAGTAGAAATATCATAGTCCGGGAAATCCTGTAGTTTGTAAGGCTTATGAAGTATTTACTACTGACAAAACATAGCAGCTGTATAGTTTTAGAATGGAAGTTCCTGTTACAAGCCAGGAGATTTGATAGTAGTTTTGCAAACAGGGAAGTCTAAAACTATTGAGCTGAGAGTTATCCCAGACTTAATGCAGCCCCAGCAAAGTAACTTACATGGTTTCTTCAGGTATAATGTATTTTGAAATGTCAGCAACTGCAGGTATATTTTGAGAGAAATTGAAAACCAGCTAAATGTCTGATGCCATCAGCCTGGAAGAACAACTTAAGCATCACCATCTTTTGTCTATCCATTTTTCTGTTATGCCTTTGCTTACTTCACTTCCTGTTTGGCAGTGATACTTCCTCTGTTAGAAGTTGGGCATAACTACAGAATAAAGCATACTTATTTTTCTTACATCACATAAATAAAAAGCAATTCATTGGTTGATTAACTTTTACCTTCTTTTTCTGTAGTTGTAAAGCTCTGAAAGAAATTGCATCTTTATTCATCCTCTCTAAGCTGTCTGCATTCGCTGTCTGTAGTGAGTTTTCCAGCAATGTTTAGTCGGTTAACTCAAACAAACAGGCCTAAGCCTGAACTACATGTTTTGCTGCTGCACTTAGGATAATTGATAGCTTGTTTACTTTTTTAAACTTAAAATTATATAATTGACATGATGCTCTTACTGCTTTTGGAGGGTTTTTATCTGTGTAGTTGCCTGGAAGAGGCCTACCACGGAGTTGATACTTGATTTAGAGGCACAGTTACAGACTTATCAAACTCTTCATTTTACACTATTAAACTTAAGGTCCCTTGCAGCTATAAATTAGGTATCTATTTCTGAGTTACTTAGGCTATTAGCAGACCCAAGAAGACAAGGCAAATAAATTATAAACTAAGTAGTCTGGTTTTTGTTGGTTTGACTTTGTTGATTTGGTTTGGTTTGGTTTTGTTTTGTTTTTAGTGGAAACTGCTTCCTATGTAATCTGAATCTGCTCATAAAGTCATGATACTGCATTTTTTCTTGTAAGCATAAAGGACTTAATTAAAACAACATTTCTGTGTTTAGATAATTTCACTGGACAGCAGAAATTCTGTTTGTATTTTCTTCTGTTAATACATCCTGCCTTTAGGATACCACACAGCTGTGGTTGCACAGATACGAAGAATGTTGTCTTTAGTGAAATTACGTTTTCCCATATGGGACAATTTCTGTATACTGAAAATAGCCCCTTTCTTAAAGTCACACAGTGTGTATGTGTTTTAAAGCTGTGTTAGCTTAGACAATTTATTTTCAGCTCTCTAGGTAAGGTGGGATCAGCTCCATTGTGTATATTTTTATGTCTTCTGAATTTTATTGCATATGCACAGAGATCCTCATCCTGTCATTACACCAGAAGCATACAGCTGTGTCTACATAACTGTCTTTCTAAGTACAATAGTGAAGTTTTGAAACAACTTCTTAGACCAGTCTCACTCACTACGTTGCATTGGTTCAGCCAGGTTCAGCTAGCGGGATCATTTTGGGGGGTAAAAATTAGATCTTTGTCAGAGAAAACAAAAGTAGAAGTTCCATTTCAGATGTACCAGATGCACACCAACCCTTAATGGAGGCATGGTAAAACCAATGATTGATCCACCTCTGGACTTGGTGAAAGAGCACACACCAGGGCATGGGACTAAATCTAACTAAGCATAATACCCTTAAGCTTAAACAGTGGAACTGAAAGCAGCTTGGCACTAAGAGCTTTGATTTGATCTGCTCCTCTTGCACCAGGTTGCTCATTGGCACAGGTGTGTGTACATGTTCCCACCTCATTTCAAGTGTCAGTGAAAACTTAGATTGAGATTGTAGGGTTTCCTTGTCCCCTGTTTTTGAATGTAGTCATCATATTCCAGATTCCATTCTTCTCCTGCTTTTCTGGATAAACATTTAATCTAAAGCCTTACGTGGCAGTCCCAGTGTTTTAGTAGGATGTGGAGAGCAGTTTATTCATGGGCATCCCAGATGCTAAAGTTATTAGCACCTGGATATATACAAGTAAAAAAAAAAAAAAATCATCTCTAGATATTACCATCAGTCATGTATTTTTGTGAGCGTTTTCTGCTTCAGTACTTTCTACTGTATGTGCCTTTGTGCCTGCTCTCCACCAGTTTCCTACACGCTACAGACCCCAGGCAAGCTACGTGTGCCGTGAACAGTGCACCTCAGCTCTTTTCAATTTTTAAAAGGAGCCTATAAGGAAAGACTTTTTAGCAGGGCCTGTTGTGACAGGATGAGGGGTAATGGTTTTAAACTAAAAGAGGGGAGATTCAGGCTGGATGTGAGGAAAAAATTCTTTGCAATGAGGGTGGTGAAACAGTGGCACAGGTTGCCCAGAGAGATGATGGATGCACCATCCCTGGAGACATTCAAGGCCAGGCTGGATGTGTTTCTGGGCAACCTGATCTAGTTGAAGATGTCCCTGCTCATGGCAGGGGATTGGATTAGATGACCTTTGAAGGTCCCTTCCAAACCAAACTGTTCTATGATTCTGTGTATCTTATGTGCCCACACTTACTCTCATCATGGGATTGCATATGCTATTTCTGTTTCTTTGAAATTATAGCAACATTGCTGAAGGCTGCACTTGGGTCCCTCAGCCACGGGTTTGTCCTGTCACATCTCCCATTTGCCATTTTTGCACAAGAAGCCCCTTTGTACACCAGAATCTGGCAGAGGCTGACACAGAGGCCCCTGTTTTCTGTGTAGTATGTGGCTTTCTTCACAGTGCAAGACAGGCAAGGGGGGAGGAAAGAAAATGAGATTCTTTCTAAAAAACTACCTTGAGTTGTGAAGGAATCTTGAGAGGGCTGATTACCATCCTGCTGGGTTTCTTGTTTTAACAGCTTGATGCAGGCGAAGGCTGCTGCTCAGTAGCAGGTGCAGTGTGGCCGCTGCCTCCTGGGTTAATGTTGGTGACCTGAATTGGGCACAGAACAAAAACCAGACACTGTTGTGCTTTTCCTATCACTATTTATGAGGAGTGTGGTCCGTCCACCCACCAAATCACTTCTAGGGAGCAATCTAGCTGTTACGCTGTCAAGCAAATACGAGGAGCTGTGTAATATACAAGCAATATGAGTGAGGGTGGAAAGAGGGCCCTGGGGAGAAGCTAGGCTCATGCCATAAATATACCTGGTTGTTTATAAGATGTTGTTGTCTTGTTACAGTCTTTCTTTTTTTTTTTTAACATATTTTTCCTGCATCACATTGAGAAATGAATGGCATTGTTGCAGTTAATACACTTCATGTAGGTAGCCCTTTAATTGTCCTTTCTTTTTAATTCATGCTCTCCTCCTGTTTTCTCAAATTTAAGGGATATACTATTCCTAGTTTTGTATCTACAGAATGCACCTTTCAGACTGTCATTTCCCTTTTGGTGCATCGTCTCTCACTGTGCAGGTTATTGAGGATAACGGTGTTCGAAGGGTTGTGGTGGTTCCCCAGGCTCCAGAATTTCATCCTGGTGGTCATGCAGTGATACACAGGCCTCCACATCCCCCACTGCCTGGCTTCCTTCCTCTTCCAGCCATGATACCCCCTCCACCACGTCATATATACTCACCTGTGACCGGAGCTGGTGAAATGGCAACACAGTACATTCCACAGTATCACACCTCGCAAGTATACGGGGATCTGGGTAAGCAGCTTACCAAATATTGCAAGTTCTATCAAAGGAAGTAATACTCTACTCATTTCCAACTGATGTTCGGGCTTTGTCAAGCAAGACTTTCAGTTTGAATGGAAGCTATACAGAACAGTTTTATGAGGGTGCCAGGTCCTGTCCTGTTTTTACTGAAAGTTGTTATTCCAGAAGAAGTTATTTTAATGGATCACTGAACAGACAAGTCTAATTAATTAAACATACAGATTATTTCTTATGTGTATCAGTTATTTATTTGCCCAAGAGAGCAATGCAGGAAGTGTTTGTTGTGATTCAGCTGATGCCTTCCTCTGAGATTTAGAGTTTAAGTCCGTACCTGAGCACTATTCTGAGACCTCTTGTCTTGCGAGTATCCCATTTGAAGCATAAAACAGGAGTTCTTGCTATTGATATGAAAAATGTTTGCTATTTTTGTGTGTAAAACTGTATGCATTTAGTCCAATATCTGTATTGAAGTCCAGCTTGAATGATCAGGTGTCACCAACCCAAACTTAATACTGTAGTTGAAGCTAGTTTTCTTAGTGCTGTAGACACCTGCCTTTTAATAATGTTTAGTGGCAAAGTGTATGTGTGTACTAACTCAGGGGTTGGGTTGTTAGATTAATATTTAAATTTCTGGAGACTTGTTTTTCTTTTGATAAACTTCTGCAGTAAGTCAGGTGCTGACCTTGAAAGTCTTTGAGAGCAATGCCAGGTTGCTGTTTTTAGAGAAAAAACCTTGACACTGTAGAGGGGGAGACTAAACACAACTTTGTCATGTTGCTGTAGGTGCGTAGATTCTCAGTGTTCTATGATACTACTAAAAACATCTCTCAAAATGTCCTTCATGTACTCACCATGCTTAAATAGTAACCATGTACAAAGCTGTCAAATAAGAATATACTGATGTCTTCCTGGAATTCTTAGTGTTTCTGTATTCTGAAGTTGTACTTTATTTCTTCCTTGCACTACTTTGATAATAGTGCTTTATTAGATGCTTTTTGGGTGCTTATTCATAGTTTTATTAATTTCTTGGTTTCCTGTAGATGGCAGTTATTTGCTTTTAGTTTGCTAAATTAAGAGATCGGAGTATGATATTTAAATGCATTAAAGATAAAGGATACTTCTTAATGGAATAGTATTTTTTAGATTTTTGCTGCTAGGTTATATCCCTTTAAATATGAATTCAGTGATTCTGCGAAACTGCTAATGTAGAAAAAATTTGATAAAGTAGGATTCTTTGGGTTTGCTTTGTTTTAAATATATATGTAAGATGCCTTTGGATTTAGGGAATTAAAGGACTAGGGATCATAGAATCATAGAATGGTTTATGTTGGAAGGGACCTTAAAGATCATCCAGTTCCAACACCCCTGCCATGGGCAGGTACACCTTCCACTAGACAAGGCTGCTGAAAGCCCCATCCAACCTGTCCTGAAGCTAGGTTGGATGCTGTAATTTATTACATATTTGCTGCAGATTTCATGTTTAATTCTGGACCACTGACTTTGGCTATGGCCTTCAGAAGTCAAATCTCACAGTTAAGGTCCTATATGAGGAATCCGAATTTAAGGGGGGGGAAACACAGAAGCGCTTATAGCATGGTAATTCTCTAACTAGAGCACTTAAATCTCTAATGGTAGTAAAAATCAAATTTGTAAATAATCACAGCTTATCTAGTAGTCCTCTGTCAAATTCTCTGGGAATTAAGTTGACCTACTAAAACAGAAACTGGAAAGGCCTCTAGTTTTGTGGGTTTTATCCATCTTGCAAGAGAGTTTGTATTTAATCTTGTTTCCTATACTTTCCAGCACATAAGAAATACGAAACAATGAATTCATTTTTCAGACCAAGTGATCCAATTTACCTGAAAATGGACAAATTCTATGCTGGTTTTGAAGGATGTCTTTTTTTGGAATTTTCATGGTTTATCATAGATAGGGTTACACTGGGGAAAGAGTTGGTTGCTGTTTTAAATTCTTGAGTCACTAAGCTGAAATGGATAAAAATGTTAGAACTGGACTGAAAAGTTCACCAATCTGCAGTTTAGTGTTTTTTTTTTTTATTGGTGTGGTGCTGCCTTATTTCCAAAGCCACAGTTTGACTTAGAGGTGGGATTTTGGTCGTATGGCAGCAATGCTTAGGTTACTGTATACCAGTATAGTGTACTTACAAGATGTAGCCATGCCATCTTCAATCTTTTTGTGTCTTTCAGTTGCCCTATGCTTTTGTGGGGTTTTTCCCTGTTGATTTCTGCTTTTCCTGTCGATTTCTCACCATTAATCTGTCTAGTATTCGATTAAAGTACTTGATCTAGTTGCATTCCAAAACTTAAAACTTCTGTATTTTTTATTCAACATTAAACCAAACCTCTTCCTGTGTAATAAAGTATCACTTTTTTTCTGTGGTGACTGTATCCTGTACCTTACAGCTGAAGGACGATTATAGAAACAGTTTAAGAATAATTTTTAAGTGGAAAAAAAGATGTGGGAAGGAAAGATAACACTTTCTCCCCTAACATGTTGTTAATGTACAGTTAGTGTGTATTATTTTGTCTGCTTGACGCTTAGGTTTTCCAATAGAAGTAAAGATGTAATTTTACTCACAAGTGTGCATTTAGCACACGTAGCATTTTCCAGTAAGTTTTTAAATTACGTTCTGTTCTTAATGATGATTTTTAATGTTTTTCTGCTTTCATTTAGAAACTCTGCCTGCTCATGGAAGATCTAACTTCAGAGATGAAAGGTCTTGTAAAACATATGAAAGGTTACAAAAAAAATTAAAAGATCGACATGGAACTCAGAAGGATAAGTTAAACAGCCCTCCATCATCTCCTCAGAAATGTCCTTCTCCTACAAGTGAACACAACGGACTTACAAAAGGACAGGATGCAGCTGGTATAAGCACAAGTTCTACCAAAAGCAAGTCTTTGGGTAAAGGAAAAAGCAATTCTCAGACAGACACAGAAGTAGAAGGTAAGTGTTAACAAAAATAATACATAATGCAAGTCTGGTATTTGAAGGAACGTAGCATTTCTAGGTAGAACACCACACTTAACAATCCTGAAGTTGGGTAGTAGCCCATAACTGCCTTGACTTACATAGAATGGAGTTAAGAACAATTGATCTGCTCATCACACTAGACCGATGGACCTAAAGGAACAAAACCACTGACACAAGTCTCCACAGAGATTTGAGGGAAGAAAAATCTGTGCTTTATCCAGAGTTACTGGTGCTGACATTTTAAGGAATCGCTGGATATCGATTGACTGCTTGATATGGCAGAAAACATGAAAAGAACCAGATTTCTGATACACGTTGAATGTAGATTTCCTGTGAAAGAGGAATATTTTGTGAAAGAGATACTGTTGTTACATAAAATTCACATAATGCCTGTCTCTACCAACTTACTATTGAAAGACCTTTGCAGAAGAAGACAGGTTCTCACACTAATCTCTGTGAGTTCATGTTTTCTAAGATGCTACGATAGGAAGTGTGTTTATCATTAATACCTGTATTTCACTGGAAAGCTTGTGATCTTGTAAATGGACTGAATTCAGTCAGTCTCAGTCATACCGTCCTTGAATTTGATGATGTGCCACTATGGAACTTTCAGGTTACTGGCACAGCACTTCAGATTCAGAATGCAAATGGTCATCAGTCAACTACAGTTTTCTCAGAATAGGGATTTGTAACTTTTGATGCTGAAGGAAACAAATAATGATTTTATCAGCTCACTGAAGTTTCCTTTGAGGTGATGATTTTGTGCCAATATATATATTAGATTGCTGTACACCAGAAGGAATGTGAAGTATGTCTAACCAAGACCAGGAAATCTCAACCTACAAGACCTGTTTAAAAGCATGTGAAAACTTAGTAACAAGGGACACCTTTGAAATAAAACCTGAATTCAGAAGTTGGGAGCTGTTGTTCCAAACTTGAATGAATGCTTGTCACTATAGTTCCAGCATAGCATTTGTCTTGGTTTCAGTTTACTTTCAGTTAGTTGGTACTTACCTGTGAGCTAACTTTTCCAAGGCACAGGTGATTAAAATGTACTGTTTCTTACATACGTTACGAAAATTTTGTTAAGGGTTCCTTAGAAGTATTTTATATGAAAAATGGAAAAGCCCACTCTTCAAAATCATTTAATTCGGGAGACATTTGGGAAAATAATGTACTGGGACTTAGACCTGTAATAGCAAACAGAAGTCAGAAATGCATTTAATTACATTTCTAAGGCAGTTTGGTTTTGAGGCTAAAGTTGTAAATAGATTTGACCTGTGGTTTTTAAAGAATTTTGCCAGGCTTTGATTTTTCTTTTTAGATTAAGGCAGGTTAAGTGAATTAAAAATGCCTGGCCACATCTCCAAAACTGAGTAGCCTGTTCACTTACACTATTGAGATAATACAATTTTAATACTGTGTGGGAGAAAGTACATAGAGCACTTTGTATAATCTTTGAGTCCTTTATAAAGCTCAGCTTTACTTTCAGCTGGAACAAAATACCTTAGATTCTTTCCCTGAGATGTAACTGAAGGCTAAGTTAAGGTTTGCCCTTGCAATTGAGGGAGGCCAGCAGTGTTACCAGTAGTCTGCCACATAACATACAATAACATATTTAAACTACTGTAACTTGGCTGCATCTAGGTCCAGAGAGAAAAATCTATAGTAAATAGCTCAGCCAAGAGCTTAAGTACTCCAGAACAGTAGTTTATTTAAAGTTATTCATTAATAAAAGATAACCAGGCTTTCTGTATTCCATAAATCATAGAATGGATTTAGAAATAGTTTTATATGAACAACATCTTTGAGAGCTTGTTTGGTTTTATGTTGCTCTAGATGAATGCAAATTGGCAAGGTGTTGTTTCATAAATACTTTAGTCTGTATGCAGTGTTTGAATATGAAGAGCTGTTTCACTTTAAAGTCACTGAACAATGTTCATGGGTACTTTTTGTTTCCTTTGATTTTGTTTTTTAAGAAAAGAATGAAGAAACAAAAGCACTTGAAGCACTTCTTTCTAATATAGCCAAGCCAGTGGTAAGTAAATAAAGCTCTCCATAAAATCAGAATGTATCTGCTGCTGGTTTACACCTCCTTTTCTCTGTCCAAGTTTAAAGGATTTTTAACTTTCCACACTAAAGAAAACTCACTTAACTTCCAGTTGCTGAAATGTAAATGACAAAAGTAATTTTTAGTATATTAACATTTATGAAGCTAAAATTGTCTTGATACTTATTATGTGGAATTGTTCTTCTTGGCCACTCTGTTAAATCATGGTACTAAGAGAATTAAAAGAAATATATATGGAAAGAGCTTGTAACGTTGCCAGTAACATAATGGTGATGCTTAACACCATTTCTTACTTTAAAAACTGTTCTCAAGTTTCTGTAACATTCTTTAGTTCAGGAAAAAAAAATTACATAACAGTTATCTCCAGGCATGAGAGATCCCTGGTGAAGTTCTGGAAACCCCACCAAAAATGAGGTATTTGAAAAGTAAAAAAAATTAGGACAGATTTCTCTTTAAGAGTCTTTGGCACGTCAAGGGAAGAGAGACAAAAAATTTGCCAGGCAGGTGTCTGTAAGCAGTGGTCTTCTGTCTTACCTGTTTGAAAACCTACCAATTTCTTTTCAATTTGTAAAACTAATTCATAATTCTGTATAAATACTCTTTAAAACACAGGTGCCGAATTCAGTCATTTCTTGCATTTTAGAGCAGGCCTGTGTTCTTTTCTTTCATCATCTGTACCTTCCCTGCGAGGATTTATACAACTTCATGCATTTATACTGCACTTCAATCTTCAGTCCACCAATTGCCTGAGTAAAACCAGTCTGTGTTCCCTATTGTAAACTACAAAAAAGAATCACTGCAACTCTGGCTCCAGGAGGAGCTTGCCAAGGGTTTGTCCAGTCAGTGAGCTACTTCCTCATTCATCACATCCATCGCGTTATCTTCTCCTCTTCACCTCCCAGAAAACCTGGCCCCAGTTTTGGTGCCCCAGTCTTGATTCTTCTTTCATATGTTGCTTCACAGCCTGATGAGGAGAGCCTGAGAGAGCTGGGACTATTTAGCCTGGAGAAGAGAAGGCTCAGCCAGGATCTTATCAGTGTATATAGATATGTGCAGGGCAAGTGCAAAGAGGATGGAGCCAGGCTCTTTTCAGCGTGCCCAACATGAGGGCCTGTGGCAGTGAGCACAAATTGAAACACAGGAGATAACCCTGTAACATAAGGAAACACTTTTTTACCATGAGGATGACTGAGCACTGGTACGGATTGGACAGAGAGTTTATGGAGACTTCCTCTTTGAAGATACTGAAACGCAGGCTGGACATGGTTCTGGGCAACTGGCTTTAGGTGACCCTGCTTAAACAAGTGGGTTGGACCAGATGACATCCACGGGTCATCCAGTGTCAACTGTTTTGCCATTCTATGGGCCTTCAAGGGCTGAGGAGAGATAATACTAATAGAGGAAGTCGTGAATGCTTAGTGTATCCTGCTGGGTCCAAGCATCAGAATGTCTTCAGTGCATGTTAATGTGTCTTCAGGGCACCTGCATCTTTGGTGACTGTCATGGAGGTGGGAGCTGTCTGAAGTAAATCCTGTAAGAAAGGGTAGAGAGAGCTGAGATGAAGAAATGGAGAGGAGTTAGATGGTCCTAGCTGCTGCTGTGGTGTACATAAGTAGCTGTGACAGTCAAGTTCAGTACCACTTAACAGGATGACTGTGGCAACTGGAGCTAGTGGAGGGGCAACAAAATTTCTGGAGAAGAAGCTGGGACTGAACAGAAAGCTTAGGACGATTAAGGTGTGGGAGAAAGGAAGTGAGTGGAGAAGAGACAGCTCTGACAAGGAGCACAGATCCAAAGGATAATCAAGACTTGAGAGATCAGAATAGATGGGGAGTTTAAGATGAGAAAATGAGACCAGGAACAAACAGAATATGTCTGTTCTATTGGAAGAACAAGATGGAGCAAGTAGCTTTTACGTTTGTTATTTTTACTAGCAGGTTGATAATGAAAGGGTGATGGAAGTAAAACTAAGATGGGTAGAGACAGTGTGCAGAAGTAGCAGGAGACTGAAGCTGCGTGACAAAGATGAAGATTGATGAGACAAGGATATCAGAACTTTATTGAGAGACTAAAGGGCAGAAGTCTGGGATGGAGTAAACAAGGAGTACACGCTGCAGTGAAGAAGTACTGATTAGGACCAGACCTTGAGAAGACAAAAAACAAAGCAGGGTTGAAAGGGGTGATGATTCTAAGAAACAAATTCAAGTCTACATCTGATAGCACTGATTTTTATCCAGGGCCTGGAATGTAATCCAGCAAGTACCTGCGAAGTCCTACCAGCAGAAGTTTTGTTTTGCTGCCTTTTGTTTCACTGCTGAGCTGTGCATGTCGTCTCCACATAGCATCTCCACATAGCAAACACCTATTGCTGTCCCTGTATTAGGTTGAGCAGTAGACACTTGTGCAGTGGATCTGAAGGCTTCAGGCTTGCTGTAGGATGATGAGAGAAAGAATTTAAGGGAGTCATTTGCTATACAAAAATATATTAAAAAATACATGTATAAAAATATATATTAAAAATCTAAACAATATATATAGACACACACATGCATATTGTAGGAAAATGTACATTTAAATACTGTTAGAAGAATTCTATTCTCAAAGTGAAGCAGGAAAGATTTTATATTAGTGCTGGTCCATTGTATTCAAGATTACAGTTGCTTTTTGTTTTAACACAGGATCATGCTGTTTTTTCTCTATGGTCCCTGGCATTCACTGTACAAAGCATATCTGCTTTGGGAATGGGTCAGGCCTGTGTAGCTAAAGGGACTGGTGACTTTGACCCCTTTTAACTCTGAGTCATGAGAGTCTGTTCCAACAAGGGAGTATGTGCCTAGTTTAGCCACATATGGCATCAGAATGGATGCAGAAACTAATTTTGCTGGAAGGTTAGGTTATTACAAGAAAATGCTGTCACTGGGGCATGCTGGACAACAGCATTCTCAGCATCCCTCAAATCATGAATACCTGCTTAATCATGAGTGCCCTTCTTAACTTTGTGAGAATGTGGATGATCCATTCTGTCCGGACTAGAAGTATGGGGACCAGTTCTCTAGAAGTATGCACAGGCCTCTGACAGTGGCCAGGGCATGCAAGTATGCTGTCCAAGTCAGGGTGTCATCAGTGATTGCATTGCCAAAGAGAACAACTCTGAGCTTCCTGGGGTGGTTAGAGTGAGGCTGTGAGAAGTACGATCAACAAGTGGTATCTTTTGCTATCTTGCTAATTACATATAAAAAAGCAATAGAATGCCATTACTGTGTTCCTTTCTTTCATTTCCATCATCAACACCCAGTCATCCATGCCTTTTAGACAAGCATGCTATTTCCCCTCTCTACCATGTCCTTACGTGAATGTCATTGCATGTAGCTGTGTCTGCAAGTGATCTCTTTGCAGACCTCAGAAGACATCCCAGGCTTAAGCAGTAGTAGACTGCTACAGACTAGACAACGTATACAAGGCAAAAAATCCAAATTTCCAGCACTTGGAGGGGCTTACGCTTTGTGAAGGCAAGGGACTGTCAGGGCTGTGGGTAGGTGTAAGACTAGCTGATGTTGCAGCTTTGTGGTGTGTGGTGTGGTAAGAGAAAGGGAAGCTGTGTTAACTACTTGGGCCTTGCAAGATCAGAAGCAACCCTCCCACAGTTTCTCTAAGGAAACATTTTCCTTGCCCTCCCACAAGTGAACCAGGGGATTGTGTTATTTCACACATTTGTCATACTCATCAGAGATATTCCTGTGGAGTTTTGGTTAATGTTTTGCATGAAGCACTCATGGTGGGGACTGTGTTGTGATACTCTTCTTGATGGATCATCAACACCCTGTTCCCTGGTTGAACTTCAGTGCTGGGATACTGGCTGTGGTGGTGATCATATGCTCAGATGATCATACAGGTGTTGCCCAATATTCTGTCCATTGCACAATATCCTACTCCAGGAAGTCAGGAGTAATGCTGAAGCCTCTGACTTGTCCTGGGCTATCCCATATCTAAATGCCTCATTCCAGGGCATGCACATCTAAATCCAGGTAGTGGGGTCCATGGTGTGCTTTCATTCACGCATCTCTTTTAGGCTGTGCAGTCTGGGGCACATCAGCTTTGCAGCCTCCAGACTCCCATTAGGTGTTCTTATGAACATGTTCTCATTTTCTTAAACTTTTCACCCTTAATACATGGCAGTATTAAGTCAAGTTAGTAGTCACTGCCACCAGATGATGCTTCTACTTAGGGAGGTCTTGGACTTTTTACACCAGATGTAAGTTGGAGTGGTTCTGCAGGTTGCACCATGCCGAATCCTCAGCACTTGAACAGTCTTCACCAGCTATCATGTCCACTAACCAAATAACAAAGCAAGCAGAAGAGAAGACAAGGGGACAAGGCAAAAGCAAAATGAAGAATGGAGCAGAAGGCTGAGTATTTAATAAGGAGAGACAATAGGAACTCAGAATTTGAGGGTTTGTTATATAGCAGTTAAATCCCTTGGGAGGGCATCGTGTTTTGTGCTTCACGTGTGTTCTAGATTTGCTTGTTGGCTTTCAGAACATTACGCACCTCACTCATAAGTTAAGTACTTTGTGTTCTGTGAATGCAATCCAGTTTGCACGTGCCAAAACTGCTGCTCTTTTGTTTGACCCAGATGGCATGTGTAATATAGTTAATGAGGAGATTCACTTTTGCAAGCTGGACTGCTAATGAAGACGTGCCCACCTTTTAGTTTCCTCAGTGCTGGGGCCTGACTAGTATTGTGTTCTGCTTTGCAGAAGCACACAGTGCTCAGAGCTGCAACCAAAATAAATCAATTGCAGCTGCTTGAATAAGTGTACAAAGTAATGCCAAGTTTTCTAAAAAAAGCTGCTCATGAGTGTGTCAGGGCACCCAAAAATAGTGGATTCTTCTGATCTTAATCTTTGTTCTTCAAAAATAATTTTTTCCTCTTCATATTGCAGAGATGTTTTGAAAATACACTGGTTGGTGCCTGAGAACTGATGGGAATTTCTGAAACTTTCATAATTCTTTTCCATAATAAAGCTCCAGCTAGTGTTCCAAAAGTCGAGTATTGGGACATTATTAAACCTCATGGGTAAAAGATAATATTAAATAATTGCTTCTTAGTGAAGAAATTTGTAATTACTGTCATCCAATCATGTGAAGCTGGAGTTTTGTGTTAATACATGCTGATGTAATCTAAAACAGAACTGATGGACAGGGGTAGAGCAGTTGATGTCATCTACCTGGACTTGTGCAAAGCATTCGACACTGTCCCACACGATATCCTTATCTCTAAATTGGAGAGACATCAATTTGATGGATGGACCACTCGGTGGATAAAGAACTGGCTGGATGGCCGAAAGCAAAGAGTTGTCGTCAATGGCTCAATGTCCGGCTGGAGACCAGTAACGAGTGGTGTCCCTCAGGGATCAGTGTTGGGACCACTCTTGTTTAACATCTTCATCGCTGACATGGACAGTGGGATTGAGTGCGCCCTCAGCAAGTTTGCCGATGACACCAAGCTGTGTGGTTCGGTTGATAACGCTGGAGGGAAGGAATGCCATCCAGAGGGACCTCGACACGCTTGTGAGGTGGGCTGATGCCAGCCTCATGAAGTTTAACCATGACAAGTGCAAGGTCCTACACCTGGGTTGGAGCAATCCCAGGCACAGCTACAGGTTGGGCAGAGAAGAGATTCAGAGCAGCCCTGTGGAGAAGGACTTGGGGGTGTTGGTCAATGAGAAAATGAACATGAGCTGGCTGCAGTGTGTGCTTGCAGCCCAGAAAGCCAACCATATCCTGGGCTGCATCAAAAGGAGTGTGACCAGCAGCTCAGAGGAGGTGATTTTGCCCCTCTACTCTGCTCTTGTGAGACCTCACCTGGAGTATTGTGTGCAGTTCTGGGGTCCTCAACATAAAAAGGACATGGAACTGTTGGAACAAGTCCAGAGGAGGGCCACAAGGATGATCAGGGGACTGGAGCACCTCCCGTATGAAGACAGGCTGAGGAAAATGGGGCTGTTCATCCTGGAGAAGAGAAGGCTGCGTGGAGACCTCAGAGCAGCCTTCCAGTATCTGAAGGGGACCTATAGGGATGCTGGGGAGGGACTCTTCATTAGGGATTGTAGTGACAGGACAAGGGGTAATGGGTTAAAACTTGAACAGGGGAAGTTTAGACTGGATATAAGAAGGAAATTCTTTCCTGTTAGGGTGGTGAGGCACTGGAATGGGTTGCCCAGGGAGGTTGTGAATGCTCCATCCCTGGCAGTGTTTAAGGCCAGCTTGGACGAGGCCTTGGGTGATATGAGTTAGCATAAGGTGTCCCTGCCCATGGCAGGGGGGTTGGAACTAGGTGATCTTAAGGTCCTTTCCAACCCTAACTATTCTATGATTCTATGAAAACTGCCATAGTGCATATGCACAATAGAGAAAAGTTTTTTGCAAGAAATCTTCCTTTTTGCAGTTCTTTTAATACTTTGCTTTTGTCCCTTAATAGTCTTGTGGGGAAAATATAGCTGAACCTAGACTTGCCTTTTAGAATCATTGTCTTAGCTGGAAGTTGAACCTGGAAAACAATACCAAATCTTTTATAAACAAGTTGAAAAGAACTTCTTTGATTCTTATCTTCTCATGCCCCATGCATACGTATACATGTGTATGTATAGAGAATTTATATAGTTTTTATACATTGCAGCTTTTTATGCACTGTTAGGATGTTCTTAATTCCCAGGTTCTGTGAATATTTTGCATTTCTGATGATGTTCACTTCCACTGACTGTTGCTTTTATGTTTTTGCAAATTGTCCACAGCAAGGCTTCAGCTCTTGATAATCTTTAGTTGCTCTGTTTACACAAAGTAAAACAACCAGAACAACCTATGTAGTCACTGATTTTTAGCTTGGTACATAATCTTGCTTCATTGTGTTGTCATCTATTATTTTAGAAGTCTTATGGAAGGTTTACATGAGTTGACCAACAGTCGTTGCCCTGGGGGAGTAACTCAGGAAAACAGTTTTTCATCCAGTCAGAAACTTAAAGAGCACTTCACCCTGTTCTCTGTTGACAATTGTTGATATATAATGACTTCCACTAATAGTCTGGGTTTAACTTTACTAGTGAAAGTCCTGTGAGTTGTCTGTTACTCTGTAGTCTGCAGTGTTTGATCTCCCTTGCACTCTTCCTGCTCTCTCTGTGCTAAACAATTGAAATGTCTAATTGTTTAATGTTCCAATGAGAAGTGGTGAGTTGACCCTGGCTGGATGCCAGGTGCTCACCAAAGCTGCTCTGTCACTGTCCTCCTCAGTGACATTATTTCCAAGACATTGAGGTTCATCTTATTTGTTTTTTTTTCTCCTTTCTGTTTGTTTGTTATCAGTAAGTCATCTCCTCTCTACTTCATCCTTGAGGTTGACCCATTCAGGTTTTAGTTCAGTTGATTATAGCAATTTAAGAGCACCAGTTGTGAAGTCAGCATTTTCATTCTGATAGTCTGGTCATAGATTTCCAAAAGCAATTATTCCTGAAATAGATATATATATTACAGTCATATTGTAAAGCTAGTCATTTCGTATAATGAAATCTTTTCAATTCTCTTACGAAATGATAGAAAATAGGAGGTGGGTGCAACATACAAACAACAATAGCAGGCATGAAATATGAACACCCACAAATTTCTAGAATACCTTCTGGAATGGATCCTAAAAATTTGTAATCACATGCACATACTGATGCACTCACCTACAGAAATCAAGCACCCACAGCCCCTTGCAGCATGTGTGGGTTTCAGGCAGCACCCACTCTTTGGAGAGTGCGGGTGCCCTTAACCGTATGTCTCCTTTGGGAGATGTGGGTGCTTCAGCTTTGCATGTAACTGTGTTGTTCCTCAAAATCCGCAGTTCCCTACAATCCGCTAATCCACAGCCACTGAAAGGGTTCTCCAGCAGGTCACATGCACCCACCCAAGCTGTGGGTCCCTGCATACTGCACCCCAAACCACTGGTACTGTTGCCAGCCATGGTATCCATCAGGCTTGTATGGAAGTGGCAAGAGTTACAGGTTTTGATCATTGCTCTGTTCTGCTCCAGCATCTTTTATCCCTGTTACAAATTTTCACGTTGCTTTTATACTTCTGAGGCTGATTACTTGTTCATTTCAGAAGTTCCTTTGTGACTTCCCGGTTTCCACGTAATCCACCTGAGGGTCACTGCCTTTAGCGTTATGAGTCTGCTGGGGCAAGCACTTCTGAGACAGATGGAGGTGTTGCGTTCACACTGTTTATTACTCATATTTCTGTCACACCAACTGTTGTTACCCAGATCTTTCTGCAAAGGGTGGGCTGTGCAGGCAAGCACCACCACAGGAATTCTTTAGGTTGTTGCATATATGTGTGTGTGTAGATAGATAGATAGATAGATAGATAGATAGATAGATAGATAGATAGATAGATAGATAGATAGATAGATAGATAGACCTTGCGAGCATGCCTTCGTCACAAGCACCTGAGCTCAAAGTATGTTATACAGAGTACTAGATTAAAGCCTCGGGTAGTTGTATCCCTGTTAATATCCTGATTAAAAAAAAAAAGTGCTGGCATAAGTAACCAAATAGGTTCTAATATAATGTGAGAGTCTGCTTGTTACTGTCACCATTAAATGCACAGTTTCTTCATATACCTGTTAAGAGTAATGCAGGCATTTGGGTGAAATTCCTGAGCTTCTATATATTTCATAAGTAAAACAAGTCGACAAGAAGGTATTAAAAAGATCATAGTGCTGGTGACATAAAAGAAAAAATAATGTCTGAAGCACTGTCATTTAATTAAATAACTGAGAACACAACATGTTTGTCATCTCTTCTGCTTCGCAAACTGCGCAGTTCATTTGTAGGTAGGCCGCTAGGGGGCATTCATTACTTAGGTGTGTCTGCACTCAACCTGATGCCCTGGGATTGCAGTTTTCTCGTGGCGTTTCTTGTATTTCTAGCTTGATTTCATCTGTAAAATACTAGTTAGTAGCTATTATAGAAGTATGAATACTCCAATACACTAACGGTATATGATATCCTTCTCTTTATGTCGTTGTTTGTGGCAAAGAAGCTTTTAAATATGGTAACATTTAAATGGCAGAGATCTCAAAAGTTGTATTTCTACAGATATCGGACATTCAGGCAAGAACAGCACTGCTTATGTGGTCACCTCCATCCAGTGATACCAGAGAAGACACTGACAAGAATGATGTATCAGAGGTTTATACTTACGAAGTGATGATTTCAAATACTGGAAAAGATGGAAAGTACAAAACTGTATATGTGTAGGTGTTCATTATTCTTACTTAATTGTTCTTGCATTGAATTATGTTGTTTAAAACATTGTTAAAAAATGTGCCTGCTGTCTGGAGATTTAAATAATCAGCAGTTTTGTGCAACTTCATTTCAAAATACAGCTACTTTTTTTCAGTAGAATTGGCTCAGGTTTATAACTGAAGTCTACCATCAACTAGAATGTAAAGACTTTGTTCTTCGGTTTTGAAGACATGTTTTAATATCACTTAGGTATGTTTCAGCCAGCTGCACTAGACAGTATGGGTTCTCAAGTAGTGAGATAGACAAATTGTAGTTGTAGTTATTTACTTCAGCATATACTTCTGCTCCCAGTAAAGTTATCCCTTCCTTCCCTGGAAATCCTTTTGGTGAGAGAGGATGAGTGATACAAAAAAAAGTAAGTAGATTCGCACAGAACAAAACTCTTCAATTGTTTCATTCCCAACACAATGGAGAAATATAACATAAAGAAAAAATTAATAAATATAAAAGTAAAACTTGTCATTAAGGGTGTAGGGCTCTCTAGTAATTATAAATCTTTGTATCTAGCTAGTTTACCTTAGCCACTTTCCATGGATTTCTTAGGAGCAGTACATGAATCATAAGTTGGATATCCCTGTCCTAGGAAACAGAGGAAATTAAATGAGCTTTGCTACTATAAGTGGATGTCAGCAAAAGCAGATTACTAGATGTTACTTAGGGGCCTTTTCTGTTTACTAGGCTCAAGCAAATAGCTATGTGCAGTCATGCAGTTTTAGGTATTCGATTTTGCAATCTGTAGGCCCCAGTATTTGGACGTTTTTTGTGTAGTAACATACATATGTACACATACAGCTGGTCGTACTGAGCAAAGAGGAAAATAATTATTCTTAAAAAACCAACCAAACCAACCAACAACAAAAAAGCACCCCAAGACCAGGGCAACAGAACAGGAATCAAACACAAGAAAGCCCTAAAATTCAAAGGTAAATGCATTTACATTTTACTAGCAAAAGAGACGAACTGTTAGCAAATGCATTTCTTAAAAGGGGTGTTAGGTGAATAGGTTAGATGATAAGTGTCTTCTTATAAATGTATGGGATTCTGAAACAGTTTCTTAAACCAAATCATATCTTTTTGCAGTGGAGAAGAAAATAAAGTTACTGTAAATGATCTCAGGCCAGCAACTGATTACCATGCAAAGTGAGTATCTCCTTGTCTGTTCATTAAATTCAGTGGAAATGTTTTAAAGGTTTCATTGTATTTGTCTGTTTGCATAAACCTTCAGAGATTGTTTTTACTGCTTCTAACCCTCCTTTGAGTCACAAATCTGTATTTTTGGCTTAGTTGACCACTCAGTCCAGTTTGGAAAGCAAGAGAAGATTGTTGTGCTCCCACCCAACATCCATCCTCTTTTCCTTCAAGCCAGCATAGTGAACTTTTTCTGTTCTTTGAGTCAGGCACAGTGCTGCTTGATTTCTCTCAATTTTCCACAAGCATCAGAGCAAAGTACCTTGCACAGAAAGGTGCTCACTGCTGGCTAGCTGAAGGTCACCTTATGCTGCTTTTGCTTTGCTCCAGTAGACTAGTGAATCTGGCTGTGTATGCTTTACAAAACATGCCCCTAGCTCAGTGTAATTCTGCCCTTCCAGCAGAATTTGTTGCTTTGCTATTTTATACTGAAAAAATAGCATAGGATTGGAAAAATGTAGTTAAGTGCCCTTTTTGCCCTCCCTTTTTAAATATTGGAGGGTCATCTGGAGCTGAACTTGTAAAGGGATGTAAAGAATAAGAGGAAAGGCTTCTACTGGTATGTCAGCCAGAAAAGAAAGGTCAAAGAAAGCAATCACCTGTGATGAGCAAGATGGGAAACTGGTAAGAATGGACGAGGAGAAGACTGAGGTATTAAACAACTTCTTTGCCTCGGTCTTCACTGACAGCCTCTCTTCCCACACCCCTTGAGTGGACGGACTGCAAGGCAGGAACTGGCGAAGCGAAGTCCCTAGCAATCACCTGATTCCCATCTGGGGAACCTGAACATACACAGATCAATGGGACCTGACAAGATGCATCCCAGAGTCCTGAGGGAATTGACTGATACAGTTGCCAAGCCACTCTTTGTGATATTTGAAAAGTTATGGCAGTCAGGTGAAGTCCTTGATGAAAGCCAGTGAAGACCATAAAGGCTGAACTATGAAGGTAATGGAGAAATCACATATTTGCAACTACATTCAAGCACAAACAGCCATGTTCAGCATTAGTCACTGCTCGAATGTCTCTCCCTGTTGAGGAAATCTACAAAGCCAAATTTTCTGTGGTTTGCTGTTCATGCAAGAAGAACAAATAAAGAGTTTTGCATCTTCATAAGCAGGCAACTTGGGTCCTGTATCAGTGATCAGAGGAAAGGGTTTTGTTTTTTTTTTGCTTTGTTTTCTTTTTTTCTTTCAAAGGAACAGGTGAGTCAGAAGAAAGTAATGTGCCAGTTCACTCAACGAAGAGACAAGGCATGGCTACACAGCAGGGTGAATCCAGAAGATAATCTGGTGTTTTCTTTTGGAGAAAAGCTGTTAGAAAAACAAATGATTTCTCTTTGAGACAGAAGCAAGTCTACTCCCTCTTCTGCAGTACCTGGAGAATTAATGCATAGCCTTCCTAAAGGAAAGGACAGGGTGAACAGACTCAGTAAGGCCTTGAAGGAGTGCAGGGGATACTCTGAAAATATACCAACAGCTTCCTTGTGCTCATCTGACAAAAGCACTTGCAGGAGAAGAATTATTCGTAATATCAGTTAATATGTCTACAACAGATAATGAGCCTGCAAGATGTTGGCATTGTTTTCCAACCAAAGTACAGCACATAACAGACAAATTTCAAATGTGAGACTAACAATGCTGGTTGGTAGTGATGTACATCCTTAGTAAAGCACTCTTTTCTTTCTCATTACTTCTGTCGACCAAGATGCTTCCACCAGTTATTTGCTTATAGCATTGATATTTAAATAATAAGCTACCTAGGCAGTAACTTAATTCTGAACACTCATTTTTCATTGGAAACTGTGTATAAAGATTTTGTAGCAAAATGTTATTGGGTCTTTTCCTTTTTAGAGTACAGGTAGAATGCAACTGTGTAAAGGGGAACCCTTCAGAGGCAGAGAGTTTTACCACAGCAAGTTGTGAACCTGATACTCCAAATCTGCCTAGGATAACTAATCGGACCAAAAATTCTCTTACTTTGCAGTGGAAGGTAAGATTTGCTTAACAGCTTTTAAAATAAATAAACTCTTTGGAATTGTTTCAGATTTGTCAATAAAATGGAAGACATTTGTCAAACATACTAGTTTCTGTCACAGTTCCATGAATTGGAAATAGATGTACTGGGTTAAATGTAGACTTTGGTAAAAAGAAAAGGGTTCCCAGAGAAATGAGGAGCCTTTGTAGATAAAAGTTGCCGAGTTCCGGACCCCTACTACCCTGTGGAGCTGATTCCATTCTCTGTCATTGAACATAGGCTTGTTTGTGCAAAGCAGGTGAAGTGGTCTGGAAAGACTGAGATTTGAGCAGACCTGCAGTCTAGCAGCTCAGAAAAGTGCTGCAACGTATTACACCACTGCCAGAATATTTTGTCAAGGTCTAAATTAAAAAAAAAAAAAAAAAAAACAACAAAAAGCCATAAACATGCTACAAGAATTTACTGGATGGAGACTGAACTAGGACTGTCTTGGCAAGTGAAACAATCAAAAGGGAAACATCTTTTGTACTCTGCTGGTCTTGTCATGTTTTGACCCATACGTGCATTTTTCCTTAAGTGTTTTGTATCCAGTTAGAGCTCTAACTTTCTTCTTTTCTTTTGCAGGCATCTTGTGATAATGGCTCTAAAATCCACAGTTACCTTTTAGAATGGGATGAAGTAAGCAAGTTATTCTATTTTATTTTTAATCTTGTAGGTTTTTTTAAAGCATTGCATGTGGCTTTGCTCATAAAGTTGTATGAAAATTATGTCTTCTGTCTAGAGGCATGTGATAAATAGGTGGTTCCTGAAGCAAAGTATTGTTACTGCCCATTTTTTTTCTGAGAGAATATAAAATAATAGCATCTTAATTACATGATTCTGCCACTCCTGATAGTGCTTTTTCACTTGTAGTCCAGTAGTTCCTTCAGGAGCTGACACTGAAGGATCATTTTCCTGTAGCAGTCTTTTTTTTGTACAAAGGGGGTGGATCTACTTTGCCCTCACAAGCACCTTCAGTCCCTACCTAAACAGCTGTCCTGAGATGGCAGAGCTGCAGAAGCTTCATGGTTTTTTCCTTCTGATGCTGTGGAGCCAGAAGATGGAAAGGAAGGAAAAAAGTCTTCAGTATACCTACAAAGTTTTGTAAACTACTCGTGTGGGAGGTTCTTGAGTTACGTTTAATTTTTAAAAATTAGTTTGCTTCATGTTTGTGTGTTACTTTAATTGGTGGACACATATGTAACAGGGTGAATAATGTGACTAACTTATTCCTTTTTAGGGAAAAGGAAATGGAGAGTTTTGCCAGTGTTATTATGGCCAACAGAAGCAGTATAGAATTACTAAACTATCACCAGCAATGGGGTACACCTTTAGGCTAGCAGCCAAAAATGACATGGGAATGAGGTAAATACTGCTGTTACATACGTAAATATGGAATGCATATGCATGCAAGTGTGTGCTTGTTTAGGAAAGGCATATGATGGCATTTAAAGAAAAAAGTCTTGCTCAGACATTTGTATATAGTGCCTCTAGAGCGGGAGCTCGAGCATGGCATATACAGCCTGGCTGCTCTCACATGAAATCAGCTGAGGCTGTGCTGGTTTTTAGCTTCAGTCTTTGTAGATCTATGTTGACCACTGAAGTTGCTACCTTGGACATTTCCTACTGCATGTGCTTGCAACAGAATTTTTACTAAGCTCTACAGTGTAGAGATGCATTCAGTGCAGTTGTGCCTTTTGTGTCTAATGTAATAAGCACTTCTACTAAAATTCTGGGGATCATGCTTAAAAGACAAGCAACTCAGCCAGTGACTTAATTGAATAGTTTAAATGCTGCAGTGCTTGTGCTGCTGCTGTGCTGATCTTGGTGTACTTCATACCACGCTTTCTGCTGCTCTTGTTTCCAAGGAGCTTTGACGTGGTGTTAAGAGTTCCTGAAGTTGGTGTAGCAGTTTTCCAGGGCTTATCATCTTTTCTTAAATTCAAGAGTTGTAGTGGTGATGGTATAAATAGGTGTCAGTAACTCGCTAGAGCAGGAAGTCTGGCAGAACCCCTGCTGCCATCTGTAGGTCTATCTGTATTGTGCTTCTCAACCGTGTCCTGTTACTGGGATATGTACTTTTAGCTAAGGTGTCTGTTAGTCTTCTGTTACCTTGGGAAACAGACAGACTATGACACGACCATATCACTAAATTATTTTGAAGTTCTAGAGCTTATTATAAATTCTTAGAAGGTGGAGTTCTTACTTTTAATTGCTTTTCAGAAGTTACAGAGCTCCAAACTTTGAATTTTTGAATGAATGACATCTGACTTCAGCAGAGAATACCAGGTCACACTTGGGCCATGAGGTCCTTATGTGACATAAAAAAAAGGGCTTCTCTAGCTGTCAGCCTAAATTGGCTGGTTTGCATTTGTTTTTTTTTAAGTCAGTGTTTGAAATGTTATGAGCATTGTGCTGCAGCTCACCAGAGTTGTGTTTTTATAGTATGAAACAGAGCATGTGTATTGCTTGTCCTTCAGCTGGCACAGGTTGGTGCTTGAGAGAGTAACGCCTGCTTGGATAGTGTTGAAGGACAGCATAAAGAATAGGGAGCCAGACCTGGAGTTGTAATTCATGCTGTGCAGAACAAATCTTTTGCGGACTATGAAGCATGTAAAACTGCAGCTAGCTCAGGGGATCTGGGGCATGTGTTGGGAGTCTTTGGAGAGTACTCAGGGAATATGTTGCATATAGTTCCTGTTCCTGCGTTTTCTTAGATACCTGCTTTGGGCACTGTCAGAAGACATTATAGTGAGCTAGAATGACTTTTGGTGCGCTCTGACACAGTCTTTATTATGTCACTGGCTTCTGGATTATGTTTCTGGAATGAATTATTCTCTGAGTTGCTCCTGGACTTTGTCTTGATGAGATTTAGTTGGAACTGTTCAAAAAAATAAAGACAGCGAGTGGGCTGGCAGCTAAGTAGAATCCAGTGCTCAGGCTGTCTTGCTGTTCTGCTGTTATGTCTGAGTGTAAATGTATCCTCCAGGAATACCTGCACATATTACAGATTCCTGCAGCACAAGCTGGTAGAAGGTACTGACCAGTTAAGTACCCTTCTTAAAATAAGTACACCAGATACGTTTTTAAATCAGTATTTTATGAACTTGTAAAGTTGCCATTTATTGTCTTTATGGTATTATTTAATTAAGAAGTCTCTTGAAATAATACTTATTAGGGTAGAGTGTCTGATTCCTTGTGAAGAATGTTGAGAACCTTAGGCATATGGATACTTCTGTTTAAATGGTTTTACCAACAGGGAAAGATAATTTATCTTTGGGTTACTCATCTTTTTAAATTTAATTCCAATCACACCTGAAAGAGTAGCTAAAGAAAACTGGAAAAATAAAATTTGTTTAAAAGATATATAACATTATTGTACTCCTAAATGAATTGTTTTAAGAGTCTTTCAAATGTGGGTATCACTCGAATACTTATATGACTTCAGTGTGTTTTGGAATGGGTCAATCAAGTAAAGACATTGAATCTTTTAAATGTGTGGGGTTTTGTACGTTATATCTGCTGGTAAGGTGACTCCTTCAGTAGTTTTTCTGTGATTAAAGGTAGGTTTAGTATTTGTTTAGCCTCTCTCTATGCTCCCTCTGGCCTACCTAGATAATGCTGGAAAATATTTTAGTAGCTATATTGTAGGTGCCACATCAGCTTCATTTCAAAATTTGCTTGCTTGTGACTTTTTGCAAGAAAAAAATTCCTGTTCCCCTCAAATTTAAGTTTTCTCTTGTTTTGCACGTTTTCATTTCTTGCTTCACAATCTTTTTCACAGTTTGGATATCCACACAGACTGTATGTCTGCTTTGGGTGCTATTGACATTCTCGATGATGAGGTGTCCGTAATATTTCTTCTTTTTTATTTATTTTTTTTATGCCAGAAAGACTTTAGAGCAGACCAAAATATACAATTTGTGCAGTATTTTAGTGTAGGTTGGGTAAGAGAGAAAGTGAAATTGAGGTATCTCTATATTGAGATCTTTCAGGAAAGTCAGGTTCTGATACACAAGATAGGTAACTCTTACTGTTGTTTAAGCCATACAGCGAATTTTGTTTTCAGGATTTCCTGATGCTTACTTAGGTAAATTAAAATCACATTTGTGACATTAGTTTCACATGCTTAAAAAAACCCTGAACTAGCTCTTAAGCCTGTAGATGTTTCTTCAGCTCTGATGTAGAAGCAGCAAATGAGAACAGGTGGGATTTTCTTAGTCCAGCTGGATATGTGTCAGACCATCTGTGCACACATAATGCCTGTTTACTGACTTTAGCATCCCTCTGTTTTACAGTAGGTCTTTTTATGTAACTTATTTTCACTTCAAGGTGTATCTAAGCATCGTCAGATAAGGTTAACAGTTTTGTTAGGAGATCCACTAGTGTACACTCTATTTGTTCTGCAAATAAGACTTTCGTATTAGCAACTCTTAAAGTAACCTAACATTGAATGAGGCTATTATTCTGTTATTTTCTGAATCACTAGAGAAACTAGTACTTCACAGTATATTTGAGGCATATAATGTCTACCTGGAAGCAGATTTTTTTTAATGTCTTCCCGTACATGCTTTTATGTCTTCATGGTTTCATTTTGAATAGGAAGAACACTGATATTAGTACGTTATTGTGTATAGAGCTCAACTGTTTTAGAATGATGACTTAACAGGAAATAGCAAAACATTTTGGTTAGTAAAACATTGTAATTATATCCTGCAAAAGTATCTTTCAGTTATGAACATGTTAACCTTGTTCAAAAGTTTTCTTACTGACAGACTCATGGGCGAGTTAAGTCATCTGCATGAACTAGCTTGCAATTCCCAGTTGTGCACATGTGCAAGAAACTGTCATTGCTGTGTTTAGTAAGAATGATATGTTTCTAGGTATTAATTACTGTGTCTACTTAGTTTATATTCTGTTTTAAACAGTGGTTTCAGTGAAGAAGTCCTGTATCATACCTCAGGCACTGCCCCAAGCACACCAGCAAGTCCTTTGCTGATTAATGCTGGAGTTACTTGGCTATCCCTACAGTGGACAAAACCCTCAGGAACACCATCAGATGAAGGAATCTCATATATATTAGAGATGGAGGATGAGAACTCAGTAAGTTTAGGCTACTTATTCTCAATAAGGAAAGAGACTATAATGTGTATGTTTAACCCTTTATTGTATAAAGTGTAACGATGATTACTTTTGCTAGAATATTCTAAAAGGATGTGTATTTTCTGAAATTAAGCTAATGACTTGTAATTGCTGTGACCAAGCCACATAGCTTTCTTCTTTTTATTGTCACAGTAATTATTAGTGTTATTAAGCTGAAGTCCTGTAAAGGCTTTAAATTACTTTTAACTTTGTGAATTTGCATGTGAAAGTTGCACCTTTTAAGAGCTGGATCAAAGTAATTGCATCATGAGAAGTGGTCCTTCTAGATGTAATTTCAGCCTAACCACCTTCCTTTTTAAATGCTTCCTGTTCTACCCTTTGAAAGTGTTAGGTATAATTTCTGTTGGCACTGTATATGCTTTTCTTTACTGTTCTTTTCTCCTTTCCTCTTGGAGAATAGTTAATTAATTCCCTCTCTTCAAGAAAACCCTGGTGTTTACATGGTGAAGTTGCCTTTATTGTTTTGTCAGAGTAGCATAACAATTACAGTGTGAAACAGTAATTTATTTGTATGAAGTATGTTGCATGGTCTAGGCTGCAAATACAGTGTGTCAAGTAATCCTGTTTAATTCTGCAGGGATATGGTTTCAAGCCAAAATATGATGGTGACGATCTTACCTACACGGTGAAGAATTTGAGGCGTAGTACAAAATATAAATTTAGGGTAAGAAGTTTTTATATATTTGGTTTATGGATGTTTGGTTTGGTTTTTTTCACCAGAGGAGCTTGAGGGTCACTCAGAAGTGGGGAGGACGTTTTTTAAGGAAAATCAGAATTGATCCCAGTTTCTTACAGTTTCAGTCTCTTAAAACTATTGGCTGAACACCTGCTTCATTAATCATCTCTGCAGAAGGAATAAGAGCCTCTGCAAGGGCATAACACAGTTATCTTGAAATTCCATGCCACAAGACAATGTTCCTTACAGCTGGATTTTTTGATCTGACTTCTATGTGGATAATATTACTTTGTGTAGCCATGGGGTTCTTTGATAGACTCTAAACACATCTGAAAGTGTTGGGGTAAGGAGCAACTTCAGCCAAAAAACATTTGTTGGTGCTAGCATAGGACTGAGCCCAAGTTAGTAAATCATTTATATTACCATGGTGCTGAGCCCATTCTAATAAGCTCTGATGGTTGAACTTGTTAGCTCAGGGTAAATTCTGACTTAACAGTGTCTTAACAATTAAATTCTGGATGTGTGGTTAAAAGCAAAAAAAGAAGCATACCATCTATGTAGAGGTAGCCAAATAGCCATCAAGGACTGTAAGGACCTTGCTAGGACATGCAGAGATGCAGTCAGGAAGGCTGAGGATCAGCTAGAACTAAATTGGCCTAAGATGTCAAGAACAAGAATGGGTTCTTCAGATACATAAGCAGTAAGCAGAAGCACAGGGAATATATACATAGGCCCATTACTAAGCAGGGAAGCAGGTTATTAATAATGCCAGCAGAGGTTCTTGATATTTCTTTAGCCTCTTTCTTTACCAGCATAGCTGGACACCAGATCACAGGATCAGGTAGCCATGACAAACCATGTGTTGACCCACTAGTGGAGGAAGGTCTGGGCTGTGACTTCTTGCAAGGGCTCAACCCCCATCAGTCTATGGGCCAGGACAGAATCTGCTCCAGGATGTTAAGAGAAGTGGCTGACATTGTTGCAACACCACTATCTATAATAGTTGAAAAGCCACAGAGACTGGGGATACCTCTGATGACTGGAAGAGGGTAAACATCATATCTATCTACAAGAAGGGCCCAAAAAAGCACCCAGGAAGCAACAGGCCTGTTAGTCTTACTTCAGTCCCTGAGAAAGTAATGGAAGCATCCTCCTGGAAACTATTACAGATCAAATAAAGCAGGTGATTGAGAAAAGCCTACATCAAAGGCAGAGAGAGCATGCTTGACTAGCCTGATAACCTTACACCTCAAAGTAACACTTTTGTTTGGCCTGGGGAGAGCAGTAGATGTTTATCTGGACTTCAGCAAAGCTTTGGATATGGTTTCCCACAGCCTTCTCCTGGACAAACTGGCAAGATACAGATTGGATGAGTGGTTTTGTGAGATGAGTAGAAAACTGGCCAACAGGCCACACTTGAGGGTGGTAATCAGTGTTTTTTACTCAGCCTGACAGAAGTAGAATCCCCTGGGGATCAGTATGGGGCCCCATGCTGTTCATCTTCACAAATGATCTAGCTGATGGAATTAAAAGCATCCTCACCGAGTTTCCTGGTTACACCAAACTGAGTAGTGAGACGAACACATCAGAAGGGAGGCCCATCTTACAGAGAAGTTCTTGCTAGCCCATTCTTCTAACCTGTCCAGGCTAGAAGAGCAGGCTAGCAACAACAGTATGAACAGTAACAGACAGGTGCAAAGTCCTGCACCTGGATCAGAATAACCAGAGTCGAGCATAGGCTCGGAACAGTCTTGCTGAAAGGGACCTGGCAGTCCTTGCAGACAAACTGACTGTGAGCAGTGCAGCACTGCAGCAGCAAAGGCAAATTGAATCCTGGGCTACATCTATAGGGACATTACTAGCAGAGATAAGAGACATCATCATCCCACTTTATTCAGTTCTCATCAGGCCACACCCAGAGTACTGTGTTCAGTTCTGGTCCCCACAATTCAAGAAGGATACAGACAGACAGGAGGGGGACCAAAGGAAGGCCACAAAGATGATGACAGGGCTGGAGAACCTGCCCTATAAGGAAAGACAAAAGGAATTAGATCTTTTCTCCCTGGAGGGGAAAAGGCTTGGGAAAGCCTCACTGCAGTTTTCCAGTACTTAAAGGATGGTTACAAAGAGGAGGGAGACTCTCTTCTTCACAAGGAGGCACGTGGAGACAGCAAGGGGTAATAGGTGCAAGTTGCACTGGGTGAGGTTTCATCTTGGTGTAAGAAATCAATTTTTCACAGTTAAAAAATCAGTTAGTGGAACAACTTCCCCAGGGATATGGTGGACCCATCACTGGATGCTTTCAAGATGCAACTGGGCAACATGCTAGATAATCTCACCTAGGATTGCTTTTCCCTGAAAGGTTGGGCCAGATGATCTTTCAGGTCCCTTCCAATCTGGGCTGTTCTATGTTGTAAGTCACTCTTGAACAGTTGCTTGGTTTTGGAACAAAGCTTAAAGAATGTCTCACAGTACAAAGTAGACTCAGAATAATCTCATCTCTGTCTACAGGGGAAAAAGTGTTGATAGTTGTTGTCTTGCTTACGCCTAAAATACTATTTCCTAAGGAAAAATTGTGAACTGCTGAAGAGCAGCATCTTTGCAATATGAAAGGTCACAGTTTAAGGATTGGTTTATTTGTTCTGAGTTAACAGTAATACATAGGTAGCCTTTTTCAAATGAGAGCAGATATTTTGCCCTGTTGACGATGATTACTTTCTTAATTAGAAAGGGTTATTATGGGGATTAGTCTTGCAGTACTTGTTGTTTTTTTTTTTTACATAACTCAATATTTAAATAATGTAAAACAGGCAGTGTGCTCCAAGGACTGCACCAAGCTAAGACTGTTATGGCCACACGTTATCTAAAGAACAGCTAATAACCTTGAAACTAGTTTTTGTAGGACTTAACCATAGTCTTCCTTTGAAAGTATTCCTATATGCTAATCACACCTATTACTAGTAAATATGTAGTTAACTTACACATCCTAATTTTGTCATTAAAATAAAAAAACCTTAATGATTATACCCTATTTTTCTTAACAAAACAGTAAATGGAATTCTCTGTTCACTCGTTCATGGGGTATAAAGAAGAAATAAATATTGCGCTAATCAGGTCTTTAATTCTTATTATACAGGGAAAGACTTAATAAGTAGTAATATTCCTTAAGGCTTTTAAACCTTATTGCAATATGTAAATACTAATGGTGCCTGTTCATTTGTAATGGTACAAAGACAATCAGATGATTGTTAATCTTGTAAACTGTATAAGGAAGCTTAATGTCTGAGATACTTGTTAACTCACATTTCCTTTTCTCAGTCTGTGCTGACATTACTGCTGTTATTTCAGTTCTGCTTATTTTTAAAACAAATATAAAAGCCAAAAAAAAACCTTTTTTTTTTACATTGTTCAGTTTTGAACAAATGGGAATACATAGTGAACTAACTGCAGACACAGAAAGTAAAGAATAGCAATTTGTTTGCCTAGAATCACAGAAAAGTTTGACAGGATTAGTGGGGATCATCTGTGTTAAACTTGTGTGGAAAGCAGGGCCTCAGGTTATGCAATTCAAACCTGTTCTAGCTCTGTTGAGCTAAGACTTCAGTATTTCCAGCAAGGGAGATTCAACCTCTTCTCTGGGCAGCTTGTTCTCATGGTGATGAATTTATTTCCTTATATTTGGCTAGAAATTTCCCTAACACATTTTGTGTCTACAGTCTCTTGTCCTGTCATCACAGATCCTTGTGAAGACAGTATCTTCATCTATAGCTATCTTTTAGGTATTAGAAGGCTGTGATTGTGTCCCCCTTAATGAAACTTCTTTTTTCTTAGGCAGAATAAGCCTTCAGCCTTTTTTCCTGTGTCAGGTTCTCCAACCCTCTAATCATCATGCTGGTCCTCTTCTGAACTCTCTTCAGTTTCCCAGTGTGTCTCTTGAACTGGGAGGACCAAGATTGCACATGGTATTCCAGGCATGGTTTGAAAAGAGCTGAGTTAAGTGGCATAATCACATCCCTCATTCTGCTGGCAAAAGTCTTCCTGATGCAGCCCACAAAACAATTTGCCTTTGCTACTGCCAGGATGCTTTGCTGATTCATTTGGCTTGAGCTCCACCAGAATCCCAAGGTCCTTTTCAGGAAAGCTAAAAAAAAAAAAGCAAAGCTGACTAGCTAGTCAGATCCCAGACTGTATTGCTGCTTGGATTATTCCATCCCAGGTGCAAGACTTTATCTTTGCCAAAGCTCATACAGTTCTTGTTGAGGCAATCTTCCAGATTGTCAAAGTCTGTATGGTAGCTCTTCCTTCCAGCATATCTCTCTCTGCTCCTAGTTTAGTCGATATGCAAACCTGGGCAGGGTACATTCACATCCAAGTGATCTTGCCATCCAGATCACTTCCAAGTGTCTGACATTAAATTGACTGCTGAGGAAATCCAGTCATGAGCAACTGCTAATTTACCTTCAAACCATTAACCACCACCCTTTCAGCCTGTCATTCTATCAGGTTTTCCACACCCATCTTGTGGTCCATCTGTTATGTCTATATCTTACCAGCCTGTCTACATGGATGTTGTGGGAGACCACGTCAAACTAAAATCAGGGTAGATGATGTCCACAGCTCTCCCCTCATCTACTGAGCAAGTTGTTTCATCTTAGAAGGCACTCAGGTTGGTCAAACACAATTTACCCTTGATAAATCATGTGCTTGTAAATAACTTCCATGACAACCTTTGCCATCATTTTCCCTGGGACTGAAGAGTTTATATCACCTTTGCTGTTAATACAACATACCCATATAATCACTTTTTATTTCTAAATATATATTCTTAAAAGAAGGTACTGTAGTCGCATGAGAGCTCTGCTTAATTCATCCTAGCTATTCAGGTTTCTTTAGCAGTTGGTAAAGCATCATTTTTTGCCCTTTATTTACATACATTAAAATAGTCTTACCTCAATAGCAAGAAAGTGTAATTAAACTTTTAGTACTTCAGAGTTCCTTCAGTTGAAGTTTAAAAATGGTGTGTAGTTCATTATCAATAAATGGTGCGACTCCAGTAAGGAAGAATGGTTCTTAGACCTAGCCAATTTCTGAGTATCTTACATGGTTTTGAAAGAGCAAGTGTTTAGATCGTTGACTTGAAATAAAATGGCTTGTGCTATATTGAGCACTCATACATTCCATTAATGTCACTGAAATTTGGATGTCCTGATCCCTTTTACAGTCAGGCAACTCATAAGCATCCTAAGTAGAAGCTGAACTTTATGCACCAACATTTGGAATTTGGGAGATACCAAGGTTATTCTGTTATTGTTGCTATTACTACTAGTAGTATTATTATGCTTCACAATTGCTAGGGTTTGGGGGGCTTTTATAAGGACTTTTTTAGCTTGCAGTTTGCAAGAATTTTTAATCTCAGTATAGTGCCTGTTTAACGATGGGATTGATGAAAATGTAAAATGAAGGTGTATAATAGCTTTAGTTCTTGTGATAATTTATTATGTAGCTATATGTCTAATACATTATATATAATAATAGTTAATATATATAACTATAATATATAACTAATATAATAATGTATATGTTACAATTATATAATATATAATTATAACTAATATAACTATATACATTAGTTTGACCTTACCATTAACAGTGAACAGCATACCACTAGCCAGTGCATCTGTTCTGTTTATAATACTTTCTAATGTATTTGCAGGTCATTGCCTATAACTCAGAAGGGAAAAGCAGTCCAAGTGAGACAGTAGAGTACATTACATGTGCAGACAAGCCTGGGGTACCTTCAAAACCCTCAGTGAAAGGAAAAATTCATGCACAGAGTTTTAAAATAATCTGGGGTAAGATTGCTGTCCAACTCTTGTTTAGAGTATGTTGTCTGTATTATATATATCTATACACACACATATATATATCTAGTGTTTTATGTATATTTGTATATAGAAGTCCAAGTTTTACTTGCGTAACAATCCAGTTCACTGAGCCATTATGATACATTTTCATGAAACTAAGAGCAAAATATTGATTCAAAATAATTAGGGTACCAGCATAATAGGGTGATTATGTGGGAAGAATAATATACAAATTATATCAGGGACTTCTGTTGCAGGGGACTACAGTAACTAAAAAAACAGTAATTGGTGTACTACAAAAGTTCTGTTTCTCTGGCACAAAAAGTAGGTGCCACGAGATTATGCTGAAAACAAAGATCCAAGTTCCATCTTCAGTGTTTTGGTTTGATACATTAATGTTTCTATTCACTAAGGTTCGTAAGAAACTTTTCCAGGTTTTTTTTAGCCTTATGCTGTGAAACAGAAGGTGAAACAGTACTGGGTGATGCAGTACTTTAGCAGAAAATCAAACAGTTAAAGGTGTTATTTATTGTCAGAGGTAACTAAACTTCTTACCTATTTCTGCTTAATAGCATATTTAATTATTTTGCATTGATAAGAAGTTACTTGTAGAGTATAATTAGAACTCATCAAGTCCAGTCTTGCATCTTTCCAGAGTGCTTTGCTACATCAGGGCCCAATACTTGATCTTTTATGGATAATAGATAATGTATGAAGTTATTAGAAGCACCTAATTTGTAAATTGAAAAACAGTTAAAATATCTATACATAAAATCTTTAATAGTCATTATTTTGAACAGTAATACTCTCTTCATTTTCATGTGGTAATTCTATTTTTCATTTGGAGTAATTTGTTACTTTCCAACCAAGAAAGTGCTACGTGCCATATAAGAAGTGTCATTTTGTTTAGCAGGTGTGATATGATAGTAACCCTTGTCTAAGAGGCAACACTGTTTCATCCAGCACATACATAATGTAATGTTAAGGTAGCAGTACCTTTCTGTGTTGAAGTATCATGCTGTCTTTATGTTTGTCCAAAGTATTCTTTTTCCACATTATTCTAGTTCTGCTGGTCTCTTAAGTCAGCTCTGAGAGAGTTGCAGGATTATATGTCAAAGATAGAGGTCTGTAGATTCATATCTTGTACATGAATATTATACCAGGGAGGGTAGTGCACTCAATTTGTAGTGATGTATTAAAAATTTAGAGGTGAAGTTTCAGAAGCTCCTGACTTCTGTTCCCTCCCAGACTATTTATATTTTTTAAATCCTGTCCTTAAATCATTTTGAAATATTCTTATATGCAAATCAGTATGATAATCTTTTCCTATCTGCAGTCCAAACTACAGGATCATTAGGAACTATGTCTCTGAAACCGTAATCAGGCAGCCTTCCAGAACACGTCAGACTAACTGAAACATTTGCTGTGGCATCTCCAGGGTGCCTGATTCACTTGACACTTATCATCTGTAGAGTATATGATAGGGTTGTGAGCTGGCAGCTTCATATAGAGGAGAATTTGAGTCATTTGCAGCTATCCTGAACTAGGATACTATTTGTCTAAATAAGCACCCATCTCCAGTTAGCTGTTGATTTTGCCTTTTGTAAATTTTCTTCAAAAGCTACAAAACCATTGAATTTACCTCACTTAGTTGTACTATTGCTGGGTTTTTATAGATCCGCCAAAAGACAGTGGAGGAGCAGCGATAAACACGTATGTTGTAGAAATGTCTGAAGGCTTAAATGGTAAGTATTAGGAGCATATGTTGGCATTCAGCTGTGGGTTTTTTTTTCCTGTATATGTGTGCCTATGGGAAGAATAAAATGTGTATTATAATAGGGAAAGGTATTGCAAGGGACTGCCATTAAAAAAAAAATCAGGGGTGTCGGTGCTTGTCTGCAGAAGGTTCTTTTTTTTCTACCTTATAAAATGCCTCAAAACCATCAAAAGAGGTGCTCTGTGGTTTACTGATTAATGAGGTGTATTTTGTTTTGGAAATGAAATCACACATTTCAGACATTTTAAGGTGAGAAAACAGTTGGATGTGTGTGATAGATGAAAACTAGTGCTGCTCCATTTATGGCTATTAAAGGAGAACAGTAACACCATTGAAATAACTGTTTCTGCTATTTGCCTTTCTGTTCTTTTATACAGAAAGTAAATTAACAATATTTTAAACTGGGCATAAAGCTATCCAGCTAAATCATTTTAAAATCTAGACCTCTTAAGTAACCTTATAAATTCAGAAACACAGTCACATTGAGAATGAAGGTTCATACTTCTCCAGTGCTTTAGGAACAAGCTTTATCAATTGTAAACTGTAGTTACAGTCTGCAGAATTAATGCTGTCATTCAAAGTTTCTTTTCCATGGAGAACTTTGCATTTGTAGCTTTTCTGTTTATGTGGTTATTATGTTTGAGTGTGCTTCCTAGTCCAGTAGTAACTTCTTCATTAAAAGTAAATTCTCTCCTAGTTAATGTGAATAAGGATGATATTTCAGCAGATCTACACAAATTTACCTGGGAAACTAGCTTTATGAAATGATTGGATCTTTGTCCAGGAAACTCAAAGCAAGCCTTAATTTTTTCTTTTATAAATATCATGCACACACTTACGGAAGCTAGGATCCCTGCTGTGGCTGGTGCTGAAGTGTGGCAAATTACACCTTGGTTCATTGCACACTTATTCCTAACCTTTCAGGAAACAAATGGGAGACAATATACAGTGGAGCTGCTAGGGAACATGTGTGTGACCGACTAAATCCTGGCTGTTCCTATCGATTACGTGTATATTGCGTTGGGGAAGGAGGACAAAGCACGGTAATATTTTTATTAAATAAAATTTTTCACTCTTAAAGGAAATCTGGTGCAGTAGTTAATCAGCAAATACTGTACAGAAGAGCCTAACAAAATGGCCATAAGTAGTACCTAAAAAAACTTCAGGTATTGATGTACAGTATTTCATGTTTCTGGCCACTTTTTAAAGAAATACATGTGAATATTCTTTTCCGATATTGTATTTTGTTTAAAGTAATTTTACAGAAATAGACACTATGTCTTTTCCTGTGTGATGCAGTGGTATAATGTCATTCCTTAAGGCCTAACCCAAGACAGCAGTGCTAATTTAATGTTTTCTATGTGATGAGTTCCCTGCCTGAGTAGGCAATTCAGCCCAGCAGCCAGGGGAGGACAGAGTTTTTCCTCTGGCTTTACAGGGTTGTGCTCCATAGTCTCTTCTCATGCTGTCTCAGCCACAGTCAAAATGTTTACATAGCCCTAGTTTTCAGTATTCCCAGCCAGTCGTGTGTGCCCTGCTATGCTGCCTTGTATATACACATTACATACACACTTGCACTGTACCTTCTGTGGTGTAGTTCAGCCTCCAGTGCCACAAATATCATGCAGTATTCTTCTCCCTCCTTCCCAACAGCAAGTGTAACAAAGCCAGCCCTGGCTTTCTACACACTTGCAGCAGGGCTTCACTGTCAAGCTGATCTCCTGAAAAACTTACAGCCTTGCATTCTTGGTGTTTGCCATTTCTTCCCTAGCCTCCCTTTTCTATGTGTTCTTCCTCAACATAGAAGTCTCCTGCAAAGAAAGCCTTGCCCATGGCTACCTTGTCTTAAGAATAAATCTGAACCCCTTCAGTGCTGGCTCAGCTGCGGTGCATTCCCTGTCATCAGAGCTGAGCTTGCTGTTGTACAGGGAAAGGGGGAAGGCAGTATACTTCCAGTCTCCTAACCACAAATGCATATATGTCTTTGGAGAATTTTGGGCTGCCAGCCTCCTTCCCCTCAGCCCAAACCTATTCCATTAGTTTAGAATAAACATTATTTGAGTACCAAAGAGCAAATAACTTTAGAAAGCCCAGATACTTTATGAAGGTGTCAGAAATCCACAGAGGAATAGTAAAGAAATATGTAATTAAACTTTCTGTAGCTTGTCACAGACATACGCCTCATGAGAAACATTCTACTTTTTAAGTAGCATCAGTTGTTCAGTGCAACAGTATATTTCAAAAGAACTGAAAAGCAGCAAAGCTTCCAACCCACTCTTCTGGAACGTATGTAGAAAGCAGTTGTGAAATGAGACTCTAAAATGCATCTCTTTTGTAAACTAAAAGGCTTACCAACTCACATTTGTTCTGTATCACACTGAAGCTAATTACCACACACTGACTCACTTCTGTCTGCATCTAGAATAGTGAGTGCCATCTGCTGCTTGTTATGCTATGTATTTTTGCATGCACTTCAAATCAGAGGTGGTTTGTTACACATCAGGTATTACTAAGCAATGAAAAAGTTGAAATTTCAGTATTTTTCTATTTCTTCTGACTGACGTTTCTGCCCACTTTTGCTCTCTGAGGGATTCTTGTACAGAAAGTATACAACCCGTAAAGTTTTAGAAATCATTAAACTGCACTCTGTTGGAAAAGAGAATGAGTTTACATTTTCGTATTTCAAACATCTATACTAGGTTTGTACCAATAATTAACCAGTTTTAATTTCTACCCCTTGCATGTGTACCAAAACACAAAAGTTAATTTTGCATATTTTGTGATTACTGGAGCATGTTTTATATAGGTATTGTGAGAAATACATACCAGATCACTTAAGCATCTTCATGTATATGAAGATGTAGCTCATAAAATGGAAGATCCTGATTCTGACTCAGTTATTTGCCTTTACTTGTGTCATAATAGATAGTGCTTGTTCTAGCCCCTTTATTAATCTATCTTTCCTTTGTAGGCATCTGATTCTTTACTGGTGCAGACACCAGCAGTGGTTCCTGGCCTATGCCAGCCTCCAAGGCTACAGGGTAGACCAAGAGCAAGAGAAATTCAGCTGCGCTGGGGTAATTCTATTACAACTGTTAGTGAGTGTAAGGGATACAAATGTGTTATGTCTTAAAATTAAATGAGCTTTTCATTCTTTCTCACTTTCAGGACCACCTCAGGTAGATGGTGGTTCACCCATTACCTGCTATGGTCTGGAAATGTGTCATACAGAAACGGATGAACACAGAGAGGTTTACCAAGGCTCTGATGTTGAATGCACAGTAGGCAGCCTTCTTCCAGGGAGGACATACAGCTTCAGACTGCGAGCAGCTAACAAGGCTGGGGTAAGGAGACAGTCTGGAATGAAATTAGTTCCAGAGACTGAAATCACTAATAAGGATCTTCTCTTTTAAAAGAAACATTTAACAACAATTAGGATTTCCTGATGTAGAGTCATCTGTTTCACATGGCTTATCGTTATGTGGGAACAGACCATTAAACATCAGTTTATTATAAAGAGGGGTTTAGATGAAGGGAAAATATCTCATTATGTCTTGTATCTGAATGATAGCATTGGGAAATGGTTAGAAAATGGTAAGTACTTTATCAAAGCATTCTTGCAACTTTACTGTTCTCATGTGAAGTAAGGTAGTAAATTATTTTCTGTATACAGCTTTGTAAATTGATCTTTATTTTTACCACTGTTGGTGTTCTAGAACATAATTATTAGCATTTCGTAGCTCTTTTTTGTATATTTAGTTTAACTTCTGAGTAATGTTCTATCAGTTACAAGACTATTTTCTCTATTTGGAGTATTAAATGTGTTTAAACCAACTGTTGCTGTAGAACAAGCTCTATTTAATTACATTTCCAAAGACCTTATTTGAAGACAGAGAGGCAGGCAGGGCTGCTTGCATTTGTTCCATAACATTCTCTTCATAAGGACTCTCAAAACCAGTTGCTGTTTGTGAACAAGTCTATAACTTAAGGCTTTAAAGCATTGACCTCATGTCTTACCCACCCTCTACTAAGAGTGGTTTATAGCTCAAGCATTTTTTTAATTCTTTATTTCTTTGAGATAGATATAAATAGGCAATTACAAATCATGTGATCTACAGTGCAGCCATCACAAAATTTCAAAATAAGGATTTGGATGTCACTTTCCTGTTTTGCTTGAGAGTTTGAAATGTCAGATTTATTCTGATTGCATTTGCTGTAGAGAAGATTCTTGAGCTGTTCTGGAGAATAGTCAAATACTGAAATAAATCCTGAATTCACATTCCACAAATATTTATTTTATAAGCAAGTAATGCAAAGTTTCAGTATTATATTCTGTGTCCCAGCTATGGTAAACTCTTAACTTAAAAAGTGGTAATTTTATTTTTACAATTTATTTCTATCAATTCCTTTTTTAATAGTTCGGACTTTACTCGGAAAAATGTGAAATAACTACAGCACCTGGACCACCAGATCAGTGCAGGCCCCCTCAAGTGGCATGCAGATCTGCTGCATGTGCTCAGGTGTCATGGGAGGTAAGAATGCCATGTTGCACCTAGCTTAACATGATTGTCTTCTACATTTTCAACTTTAAAAGCTTAAGTCTGTATTCTAATCACATTTTTAAACATACTTAACTGATTAGCTGATACTCAGTAGGTATACCTGCAGATATATACCTGCAGATATATACCTGTCATATATGTACCTACAGATCTCAAGCCTGCAGGTACTTGAGATCTTTGTTCTTTTAAGAATTTCACCATAACTGCAGCACTGCATTTCTGAGTGGTGCAGGCTCTTTAATGTACTTATCTTTCCTCAGAGCTAATATATACACATATTATAGTTGATTATTCTGCGTTTGCTGGTTTTATAAGATGATTTAATTTTATATTACTACATCAGAAATAATGCAGCAAAAGTCTCTTATAAACCCATAGTATTTAGAGATTTGATTAAAAAGATGCAGTAGATAAAAATAAGCTTGTAGAAAGGAAGAATCTATCTGGCAATACTGTTTAAACACAGCTTTTCAGGGACTCAAGATGGAGTGAAATATCTGAGTTACAGAACTGTACAGAGAAAAACCCAAAAGATTCAACTATATTACCTGGAAGGTAGAATTGATGTTTCCTAATGGAAACACACCTGATGGGTGTGACAGAGGAGCTCTCCTTCAATCTCTGTAAGGCAGAACCTTTTGAATCTCTCACAGTGTTCAGGTAGGATTAATTTGACCAATGTTAGATGTCTGGTTTATACAGTCACAGAGTATCTAAGGTATGAGTGGACCTCTAGATGTCATTTATTTCAGCCTTCTGGTCAAAGCAGAGCTAACTTCAAATTTAAGTCAGGTTTCTCAGTGCCTTGTCCCGTCAAGTTTAACTTATCTCTAAAGATGAAGATTCTGCAGCCTCGTAAAGCTGCCTCTGGCCAAAGTCTCAAGCTGTAGAATTTTTTTTCCTTTATGTCTACTCAAAATATCCTTTAGTACAAGTCATGACTCTTTCTTCTTGTCTTGCCACTGTGCCACTTCCAAGAATTTGTCATCATCTTCTTTGTACCCTACCAGTAAGTAATTTAAGGCAGCAGTAAGATCTCCCCTATCATGTTGATACCAAATAATCTTTACCTTTGTTCTTCATTGCAGTCCCCTTTAGTGGCCTTTTATTTGGCTTACACCATTATGTCAATGTCTGTCTTATATTGGGGAGCCCAAGATAGGACACAGTACTAAAGATGCAGCCTCACAAGTGCTGAGTAGAGGGGAATCATTACTCCTTTTAGCCTTCTTGCTGTTCTTTTGCTAATACAGGCAGTACATAGTTTGCCTTCATCAGACACATATTGCTGACTCACATGCAACTTTCTCACCAGGACACATGGGTTCTTCTTTTGGTGGAGTTGCTCCTCAGCCACTACTGTTCTGTCTCAGGTCCAGGACTTTGTGTTTGCCTTTGTCTTAGTTGAACTTCCTGAAGTTTATATCACATCCTGCCTGTGGAAGTTCCTCTGGTAGCTATACCTTCAGCGTATCAAGTGCTGCCCCTCCTTTTGTTGTCATCCCTGCATTTTTTGACTTGTATTTTCCTGCTGCTGTTAAGGTGAACTGTTAGATCTACAGCAGCAACAGTGAACATTAAGAAATTACCCCATCCTCACTGACAGCTGCACAGCCATCCACAGCTGCATTAGTTTTCTTACCAAACACATCTCATTGTGAGTGAGAGAAGTGGAGTCCGTATCAGTCACAGCTCAGGAGCATTGAATGTCATCCTTTGATGTGTTTGAATTCAGTCACTTACCTGCACATAGCTTAGTGCTGAAAGTAGCAAATACTCAACTTTCAAGAGAAGGGTAAAGAAAAAAACATGCTTTTGAGCAATTATTTTCTGCAGCTTGGTATGATTGCTGTCTCTGAGTATTTAATCCAAAACAGCAGCAGTGTTTTTCTTTTGTTTTCTTCATAAGATATTTTCTGGTGGGGTATTTAAATTAAAAATCAGCAAAGGAATGGGAGGATAACATATCTATGGAAAAGACCATACACATGTGATGACTTTGGTTGATTTGTGTTTTTTTTTTTCATTGGTCAGTGAATTTAACTTCTAACTATTTATATCCATTTTAAAGGTTCCAGTGAGTAATGGAGCTGATGTCACAGAGTATCGCTTGGAATGGGGTGGTGTGGAAGGATGTATGCAGATGTCCTATTGTGGGCCTGGGCTCAGCTGTGAAATGAAAGGGCTTTTGCCTGCCACTATTTACTATTGCAGGGTTCAGGTAAAGACTTGAAACTATTGTTAGTGAAATCTGGAAAAGGGAATTGACCCTCCCATAAAAATGTGGTCTCCTTTGCTTTTACAGGCAGTGAATGTCGCAGGTGCAGGCCCTTTCAGTGAAGTAGTGGCATGTATGACTCCAGCCTCTGTACCTGCAGTTGTGACTTGTCTTCAGGGACTAAGTGAAGATGAAGTTGAAAGTCCACACTATTCTCCTTCCACATGCCTTGCTATAAGCTGGGAAGAGCCTTGTGACCACGGATCTGAAATCCTTGGCTACAGCATAGACTTTGGAGATAAGCAACCAATAACTGTTGGGAAGGTTCTGAACTATTTTATAGGGGGCTTACAGCCAGATACTACCTACAGGTATGCCCTGCACAGCTACTTGACAGCCTTACAAGTATTTAACATTAATGCTGGCAATTTGAAGAGCCACTGCTCTCTGTGTCAACAAACTATAAAAAACAGGAACTTCTATTGCAGAGATAGTTCTGTGTGAAGGCCAGGTTGGACAGGGCTTTGAGCAGCCTGATCTAGTGAAAGGTGTCCCCTCTACTAGGGACCATCTTCCATCTTGTTCCATCTAGTTCCAGCCCCGAGAGAGTGGGGTTCGAGCTAGGTGATCTCTTAAGGCCCCTTCCAACCCAAACCATTCTGTGATTCTATTCTAAGATTCTACTCACAAAAGTGCTTTTATAGAATACACATGCCAATTCTCTGTGCAAATAAAATATTGCATATATTAACCTTAGTTCTGTGCTATAATACATTATCATAATGTTAAATATTACTATAGTGAAGGAGAAATATTTATTCATAAGCCTGCACACATTTCTGTTTCAATATTTTGAAATTGTGTGATTGACAGTCGCACAATGTGATTACTGTGATTACTTTTTTTTCAGTTACCTAGATACAGTTACCTAGATGTTTTAGACAAGCAAATGTTCATTGCCATATTGAGATTAGCTCACCTTGTTCTCTGTGGCTACCTGTGAGAGATGCAGAGAACCTCAGATTTCTGTTTTCTGCTTTTTTAGTTTTAGAAATTCATTTATTAGCTAATCCTTTTAATTCTTACTTGTGTAAACCTAATGCCAGCATTGTTTTACATGGACTAGCCAAAAAAAAAAAAACTAAATTTCGAGTTCTACAAACCCCTCAGCCATGTGTCCTTTGACTTCTAGTTTCCCTCTCTCCCTTTCAAAGCAGAACCAAGTTAGCTTGTGTTTGCAGCACCCAGAAATGTGTTACTAGTGAAAAGAGCAAGAGAGGTGGCTGGGCACCATGACTTTATTATTACACAAATCAGATCCGTTCCGGAATGCACATAAAACTTCCCTGTAGTCATCCCTGAGCTCGCCTGATTTAATAGCCAAAGATAAGGATTCGTTTCTTTTGGAGGTGGGTTTTTTTTCGGCTTCCCTCATCTTTCCAATGTGGCTATCAAAAATTTTGGTACAAAGCCTGCAGGGTCAGGAAGCTGGACCGCTCTTGAAGTGGCTGACAGAGTTTTTGTGTCTTTCCACTAATGTGAATGATGCAAATATGCTAAGAAATTTTTATTTTGGGTCAATCTAGCTCCTTAAACTGTGGCAAGAGAGGTGACACTCCTGCATACTCATGACAGTCTGTCAAACCGTAATATTGATAAAGGTCTTCACTGGAGAAATACCATCTATTTGGTACCATTGTTCTCTCTTGAATGTGAATGATGGAAATGACCAGTTATTTTTTAGAATCTAATTTCAAGTTAATTTATTCTCTCTTTTAAAATACCAGAGTACGAATTCAAGCCCTGAACAGTCTCGGAGCAGGTCCTTTCAGCCACACCATAAAACTGAAAACAAAGCCTCTTCCTCCAGATCCACCTCGACTGGAATGTGCTGCATGCAGTTCTCAGACTCTCAAGCTGAAGTGGGGAGAGGGAACTGCAAAAGCACTAACTGACTCCATTCAGTACCACCTTCAAATGGAGGATAAGAACGGAAGGTTGGTTTTGGCATCCTTTTCATCTGCCCTCTGTCACTGTGGTCTGATGCTTGGGAGATGGCAGCAAAGGGCAAAATTCTATATGCTTTGCTGAATTTACCACAGACATAGAACAACATCTCATCTGGCAAGGCCAGAAGGGCTCTAATGTTCCATGCTGGGAAGTACAAGATCAAAAACTTCATAGTTTTTATTTATAATTCAATATGAAGAGTTTAATGAAATGTTTCATACCAGCACGCTTTTCTCTCTCCCATTTGGTCAAGTATTTTGTCAAAGTATCAAGTCTAATCAGTCTTGTGGATTTTATGTACTTAATATTGGAAGTGGTGAATTCTTTACTCTCTGTTGTCTGTATATGCACTTATTTTTAGTGGAAAATAAACTCATATAGTACAACGTATTATTTTAAGGGATCCTTTTTCTCATGTTAAATCGGAACGTAAGCTGAGATGATACAGCAAGTACCCTTGCCTGAATGGTAAAATGAACAGTAGTGCCACACTATGTACTGCATCTGAATCTCTGAGTAGCTTTAGCTTGACAGCAGTACAAGACATCTACTAGGTGAATTTGCTCTGCAGTGAGGAAAAGAAATTAGACTCTTAACTGGAAAGAAATTCATTACCATTACCAGAGACTAGGTCATGTTCGGGTACTATCTTTTAAATGTAAAAGAAAAGAAAAAGTTGAAGTAGAAGATAACCTCTCCAGGAACCGATGAACTTGTGCTGTGTGCTGCGGATACCAAAATTGAAAATCTAATGAAAGCTGCCATGATCAGTCTGTGTAAGAATTATAACATGAAGGAGAGTGGCCAGTCTGCAAAGCTCCCACAGTAGGACTTGGTGTGTGCTGCAAGCATGACTCTGGCCTCCTCTGCAGGTCTGAGTGAGCTTCATCAGTCACCCATCTCTGGCAATGATGTGCAAGAGCAGTTGGATCTATAACCCCTTCCTAGTAGTAAGGGAGAGTTGCAAAGGAGCAAAAAGCTAAAATCTCATTACCTGATTTTGAAAAGCTAAAGATGCTGGAGAACTAGATGGCAAAAAAAAAAAAAAAAAAAGCAGTGTACGCAGCTTGCTGAAAGAGAGAGCTGCTATCCTTTCCCATTGGTTCAGGTGTGGAAGGGTTTCTGAAGATGCTCAGGATCATTTTTGCCCAGACACAGTCTGTAGTACTCTTTGTGTAAAAGAGATTTTTATTTCAAAGACATGAGAAATAAAAACTTGGCCCTGGAAAACCAGCTTATTGTTGTGTAGTAATGCCAGAACACCATTTAATTCTGCAATAAATTTCTGTGCTTCTCATTAGATTCTGGGAAACTGGGGGAATAGATTTCAAGACTAAACTGTAGCTTTTTTGGAAGTCCTTTCTGTGTTTAAAATAAGCTGCTCTTTCTGTTTCCAGGTTTGTATCCTTATACAGAGGACCATGTCATACATACAAAGTACAAAGGCTCAGTGAGTCAACATCATACAAATTTTGTATTCAGGCATGTAATGAAGCTGGTGAAGGTCCCCTTTCTCAAGAATACGTTTTCACTACTCCCAGATCTGTTCCAGCTGCCTTGAAAGGTAAAGGTGCTTCTTTCTTCATTTGGGGGATGAGGGCATGACAAGTTGGTTTTAGTGTTGTGTTGTATGTGGGGTATTTAAGATGCTAAGCCCTTTTCCAGATGCAGATAGGGACAGTAAGGAAATGTTCCTTCATTGCCTAAAACTTCTAAAATATTCACTCGAAAAATGGGAGACTTGGAACTTAATGAGTTCTTTGACAGAAGAAGGTTTTTTGTTAGAATCCTTGCTTAGCAGAAGAGAGTGACCAGGCTGTTATAGTAAGGTGATGTGAAAATTCTTCCTACCATGTTTAGTATAATTTTAAGCATAGCAGCTATGGGTTGGTTGGGGTTCTTTTGCATATGATACACACGTGCAGTGCTTTCTGTTGGGTGATACGTAAACAAGCAATAGAGACCTGTGTGAATTGTTAGTTGTAGTTCCAGAAAATGTTGCAGGAATAACATGTTTGGATCTGAATCTTTTGTTTCTCTGAGACAAGATAGCAGATAGAATACAGGATTTCACAAGTGGTCAGAACATAACAGTGTTAGGTGATTGGGAAAGCGGAGCTCACTTTCACCTCTGTTTGCTCCCTTCAGCGCCAAGAATAGAGAGGATAAATGATCACACTTGTGAGATCACATGGGAGGTTCTGCAGCCCATGAAGGGTGATCCCGTTATCTACTGTCTTCAGGTCATGGTGGGAAAAGACTCAGAATTCAAACAGGTATGATGTGCTTCAGTTACTGTATTTTAATTCCATTAATATTTGTGGTAACTAGTTTAGATTATAGATTGTTGTGTTGACAATATGGTTTTCGGCACCATGCTAACTTTTTGTTACTAAGTAATAAAAGGTAGTATCTCCTAAAACCATTGTCATAGAGAAAAAAGATGTAAGGAATATAAACATTGCACTAAATTGCACCTCACCTCAGGTGGTGAAGGAATTTCAGGAAACTGAAAAAAAAGAAAACATCCACCCAATGGTACCAAAATGAGACTTGTGAGAAAAAGGTCAAAGGGCTCTCTTTGCACCAAGAGCTGTCTGAAGGCAGTAAGCAGTATTATAGAAGTTTTGACTTTGACAGAGTCATACTTCTGTACAGAGAACTGCAGGTAAGAAAGACCCCCTACTTATGCAATGTAGACATTCAGCTGTAGGGAAACTTTTAATGTAATTCAGTGATTATTTTTTTACCATAGGACCATTTCAGTAGTAGGGCATGCTGTGTTACTATAAGGGTCAAGCAGTGGTGAGTGTGTTTTAATTTCACATTTGATATTATCCAAAGATACAGCTGGGAACCCACGCTACAATTATGTCTGTATTTAAAAGAGGATGGGCAGTGCTAATTTTGCTTCCCTATAAACTGCCTGATAATTGACGTGAAATCAGGCTTGGAAACTGTTTTACACTGTTAAGCAATCAGGTTTCCTTCCAGAAAGGAAACACAGTTCTAGTTTATTATAATTTTATTACAGGTCAGTACTAAGTTTTACCTGTGCTTTGGTAGATTATATGCCTTAATATTTTCATAATTCATAACTCCTAGTGCAGTGCTATGTCTGTTGTGTCCCTTTGTTAAATTTTTCAGTAAAAAATGAACCATACTGCAAGGTATTTGTTACCTTGACATGTGGATATTCTTTATCATAACCTTAAAATTGAAAATGCAGTATGAAATCTGTAATAGAGGTATGGTCAGTGCTGCTTCTGGACATGGAGTCAAATTAGCCTGTGATCAGCAGTGTGCATTGCCAGATGAGCTGGGCAAGAAATTAAAGGTTACGCTTTAAGCCTGGAAATAACAGAGTAGACTGAGGTGCATGAGTCCTTTTGGCTCTCCAGAGCAGCTCAGCACAGTACATTAAAATAAAATGAGGAGACAAGTTTGCAAAACTTAAAATTGGAACAGTCAAGAAGTAAACACCATGTAAGTGGCCTTTAAGATACTTAGACATGATGGTAACAGTTTTCTTCGATGTGAACAAATAAAAAAGTCCTGGAAGTTCGCTCTGAGATGTTTACTACCACTTCCCTGCCTAAACTTCACTGTCGTCTCCCTGCTGATCCATCAGCCAAGTTGCTCATGAGTTGCTCCCTACGTGATTAAGGCAAAATAAGTTAGTAATCTGCTGTTTGAGCCATATACATCAGTCAAGCTTTTCAGGGGGTTAGGAAGTGACCCTATAAAAACTATAGCAAACACATTTGAGGGGAGGGCAATTTCTGGCAAGGCACTGGGGACAACTAGCTGTGGCCAGTCACCCCTGCCTACTCTAAATAGGCTGTGTGTGTCTGTGCCCTGTTTGCTCGCTACCAAACACATGATACAAATGAGCAGAATTAGAGAAAGCTGCACTCCCAATGACCTGCCCTGTCTCAGGGTGAGAGCCATTTCCTGAGAGAAAGGGAAATCTCTAGGTTGTAGGTTCCAGTAAAGCTCAGCTGCCTTGGCTGTCAGAGGGCTTTCTAAGTCTGTGAGGAGCCACAGGCACAGCAAGAGCTCTTCAAACAACAAAATCAGAAGAGATTTCCTGCTTCTTTCATTGAATGGTTGGTAGTTTGCATTTGCAAAATACTGTCTAAAGGATGATAACTGCAAGGAAAACTTCTGCATGATGTGGTATTTCTGTATCCTGATAATGAGGTGTGAAGGGATTTAAAGAAAGAAATTAATGCACTACCCACCTAAGAGCTCGGTACCTACTGATACACCTGTAAATGGAAAATTGCACCTGCATGGGGATGGCATTTCATTGGCTTCTACAGGACTTTATGTAGCTGCAAATTAACAAATTTGATAAAACAGCATTTGGATTTCATTGAATTAGGCATTCAGTGTGAGCTCACATTAACCAGATGACTGGGAAACCCTTGGAGAACACCCTGACAAGTCATCTATGTCTTAGGATCTGATGAAATTGAGAATCACAGAGAGGACTCCTTAGAGCTTTCCTGGAACAGTGTTTACTGGGATAAATTAATAGTATTTTGAACACAGGATACTGTAGCTACAATAAAGTATGTTGCATTGGGTTAGACTTAATGTAGTAGCTTGATACAGTTAATTACCTAAAATCCTCTGATGGAATATTGTACGTTACATCCCACGGTGTAGTATTTACACTGGAAGTGGTCAGTAAACCAACACCGGGTCTTCTAACAGTTAATTCAGCAAGTTCTCACCATGCTGTAGAAGCTCTTGTAGTACTTCTCCTGGGTTTCAGCAAAGGGACTGGAGCCTTTACCTGGCATTTAAATTGCACTTGTGAGCTTTTTGTCTGTTTTCTTTTGCATGGGTGAAAACCCTGGTGAGGAGTCCCCCTTTTTACAGTTACTTCCCCCATAAATAAACCATAGAGAGATGTGTACGTAGGATGTTTTTATTAGATGTATCTGTTTTATCTTTAATGCCAGATTTATAAGGGTCCGGACTGGTCGTTCCGATACACGGGCCTCCAGCTGAACTGTGAATACCGTTTCCGCGCGTGTGCCATTCGCCAGTGCCAAGAGACAGGAGGTCACCAGGACCTGACAGGCCCCTACAGTGCCCCAGTGCTATTCATCTCTCAGAGGACTGAACCACCGGCAAGCACCAAGGACACTGTGCAAACCACAAGGACACAATGGTCACAGAGCGACCAAGTGTGCGCTGCTGTCATCCTTGCACTTTTTGCTATCTTTTCCATTCTGATTGCTGTTATCATTCAATACTTTGTAATAAAGTGAAGAAGAGAGGTTTATTTTAGGACACTGCCCATTACATTTTACTTTCTCATAATCTAAAGTAATTCTGTTCTCTTGCTTTTACAAAAAAGAAAAAACAAACAGGCATTTAGCACCGGCATTGGGACTGATGCAAACCTTTTTGGCCACTTTTAAATGCTTACCGGTAGGTATAGGCTGACACATGTTATTAGAATGCAAGCCACAGAAATACAATCTTTTCTTTAATATGCCTTCTTGCAGTACAAACTCTGTATGGGGCAGGCAAGGTGTGTTTAATGACAAGGGTTTGACCAGTAAACATCAGTGTAAGAATGGTTTCCTGACCCACACTTGTTGTAAGGGTTGCTACCGTCACAGGGAAGAATGTGTAATCGCATTGAAAACTTACACTAACAAACTTGTGCTGTATACAATATTAATCTGATGCTGTGAAAGCAATTTAGCGCTGTATTTCTACCTCCTCATTTGTCTTAATTATTTGGGAAGCAAGATTTATGCTGAAAAACAGAAGGGGCTTTTCTCAGGCAGCAAATAATAAACTGGATGGAAGAGTATGCATGAAGGAAGCTTCTTACTGATAAATGTGGAGTTCTTCACTGCAAGTAGATGTTTTCGAAAGACTACAAGGGGATGGCACAAGTGGTTTATCTTGCCCCCAGGATTTGATGTTTACTTACAAAAATGCCTCTTTTACTTCTCAAAAATAGAGAAGGGAGAGTGTGAGAGAACTTCTTAGACTTCCTACTTTAATTGAAAAACACATTTCCAAAGTTGACCTTTGATTGGATGCAGTTTATACAGCTGTCTGTGCCCTCTGATTTTGGCTAGTTAATAGGTTTTTGAGATAAAATTCATCACTGAACTTTTGCTGTTTCCCCAACATCCACTTGCCGTATCCACCAGAATCAAGCACTGCCTTTTATTTTTTGTTTTCTCTTTCTTTCTTTCTCTCTTTCTTTGGGGCACCAAATCAGAAGATGAAGCATAGTAATTTGCACCAGAAAACTTAAAAGCTGCTTTTTTCTTGAGATCCTAATGTTTAATGTAATGTCTCTTTGGATACTGTACCAAATTGTTGGTTGCATGTAGTTAATGTTGCATTAGAGCACTTTGCAATTGCATAACTCATCATTGTTTTGTGAGCTTGCGTTTGTGAGTTCTTGAATGACCAGACTGAATTTTATCAAGTATCCCATTGAACATCTCGCTGGATGTCGATGATTGCCAGTGACACAAAGCTTGTAGTGAAACTATCTTTAAAAGAAAAAAAAAAATTCCTTGTCTCATCACACTTACATTATTTGTTATACACTTTGTAATTAGCTACTCTTAATTTATTTGAGTTACAAGATAGTGGATCATTAAAGACTTCTAGTTGTGTTCAGTTTAGCATTTTTAATGGTATTAAACACTTCTGTTGGTCTTAATAATAATAAAAAAAGGAACCTCTGTCTTGTGCTTTGAAGATCTCTGAAGAATTTCTCTTATATTAGAACGGGCATGTATTGTAATTGTTTCTACGTCCAATGATCTGTGCTGTAGAATAATGTTGCCGAGCTTCGTTGCCTTTAAAACAACAAAAGAGAAGAAATGGCGAAGAACTCGGCCTCCACGTGGCGAGAGTGTTCTGTCTTTAAGATGTACTGTATGTTTACACTTAATTTCCAAGCTGTCATTTGTACGTATAGGCTGATACCTTCCCACAGGATAACTGATGTTTTCTAGAACCTTCTTCAAAGTGCCATGTTTGGCAGTGCAAATGAGGTTGCGTGTAACAGCCCAGAGATTTCTTACGGTTGAATGTCTAAAACGGTAAGATTTGTTACTACAGTTAATCTGCAGTGACTTCTGTTTTTCATAGTAAAATTCAAATGAGCTCCTATTTTTGATAGTCATTTAATAGTGTATTTGCCATTTGAGCCTCAGTGCATATTACTGCATTGAAGACAGTTTTTAATGTAATCTTAATTTTACCTCATAAACTGTACATTCCAAAAATAAGAGAAAAAGAGAAAAACTCTAAACTTTTTAAAATGTTATAGATACACTACCAAACATATCACTTTACAATTGTACAACGTCGGACTCCATGAAGACGAACCTGTATAGTCTGATAGAAAATAACATAAACTATGTAGCAAAGTATCTTTAAAAATCTGTGGAAAATAAAAGTATCATTCTTTTTTGTGGTGGTTGGTCTGTGCTTTGGCGTGTATCGCCACCGCTGAAGCACGCTCTCGTTCTGCAGCAGCTGCCCTTGGCTGGGCCAGGGCTGATGGTGACAGCTCCCGGGGCAGTGGGACCACAGGGAGGGGTGGCGGGCGCAGGGGCTGAGGCCTGAGGGGCAACGCTGCCCCTTGGGTGTTGGTGGGGACTGAGGTGGCCATGTCCCCTAGTGGTGTGTGGGGCGGTGGTGGGAGCAGCAGTGAGGGTGAGCCACAAGGAGCGGCTGTGTTTGGCACTGTCGGTGTGGGTGCTCATCCCCATCATGGCTGCCTGGGGCTCCTCATGGTAGGCATGGTGGGTAATGTCCCCGCAGTGCCGGGCATCCATGTTGTCACAACATGAAGACACCACCAACGTCTGCCTGAGCAGCATGGCTGTCTCAGACCTGCTCACCCTCCTGGGGCTGTCCATGGATTCCATGGCCTCTGGCCCTGGCCCTTCATGCAGCTGCTGTGCTGCCTCACCCACTACCTCTGTGGGGCTGCACCTGCATCTTCCACATCACTGCCATCACCGTGGAGCATTACCTCACCATCTGCTTCCCCTCAAGGCCAAGGTGGTTGTCACCAACCACCAGGTAAAGGCCACCATTGCCATCCTCTGGGCCTTCACCTTCCTCTCTACCAGCCCCTTTCTTCTGGTCAGTGTGGAGCAGCCTGACAACCATACTGACTTCAGCCATGACTGCGATCTCACGCCACAGGCCATAGATCCCAGCCTGCTGGCCACCATGTTCTGGGGCAGTCACATCTGCCTCAGTGTCCTCCTCTATGGTTCCATCAGCCAGGAGCTGTGGTGGAGAAGCCCACACTCCTGCACAGGGTAGGGATGGTGCAGGGGAACATCCCAGCCATGCTACCAAGCCTTCCAGTGCTCTGAGGGACCGCTGTGGCAGGGATTTTGCTCCCTCACAGCTAAGGCTTCAGCTGGTGTAGCGCTGCACATCAGCAGTGTGACTGCCGTCACAGAAACAGCCCTTTCTGAACTTCACCAGGCAGAACTGAGCATGAGGTAGCCTGCAACTTCAGAGAGACTGAGGTAATATCAACCACCTCCTCCAGTGGGCGCCTCTAGGCATTACACTTCTGCTGCTGAAAAAGGTTGATTTTCTTAGTGGCTTTCGTAGCTCTCCAAGGAGTAAATCCACTGGTTGCCCATGCAGGTTGAAAACCAACAGCTTAACCCTTATGAGCCGTTGGCAGAAAAATCACCCAATACCAAAGCACTTCCTGCTGATGTAGGATGCTGTTAATTTTTAGTTCATTTTCTTAGTCCTAAGTTCATTAACATAACGTCAGGCTCTGGGAGGTTGGAGATCATAGCCTGATCTGGGGCTTTAAACTTTGTAAACAGGGACCAATTGGAAGAAAAAAGGAAAGAGAAGAAACGAACAAAGAAATCCAACTATTGATTAATAAGCATACAACAAAATGCCCTGGTCATTTCTTTTCCCTGCCATTCATGAAGGTTTTACATGCTACATGGGAAACTTCTTTTACCAAGGATGTAATCAGCTTAACATCAGTGTAGGAAATAAAGAAATTCTCACCTTGCTTACTCGTGAGACTAGGATAAGAGCTCAAAGAAAATACTGCTACAACTGCTCATGGTCAAACTGTGGTAAGACCCAGAGATTAATTTTTCCAGGAAAACTTTCATCAGAAGGAGCAGACTGATGCACTTGATTAGACCTGGGACTAATAACCAGAGCTGATGTTAGCTTTCCTGAACATAACTGAGCAGTCCTTCAGCCTAGTTTGTAAAAGGACACAGGAACTATCTCTGTAAATATTACTCAATGTGCAGTTACACTGTATGCTGAAGAAATGGTATCTAGGTGTGGGTTTTGTTTGGTTTTTTGTCACTATGTGTCGAATAAGTGATGCAATATTCTTAAAAGACAAATTAAGAAATTCCTGGTTGTCATCAGGTGAAATTCATGTGGTTGCCCACTTCAGACTGGAAACCCTCAAGCAGAATGACATCAAGCTCTCCTAAGGATTTGCTGCTGTTATTAATGTAGATATAGCTTGGAATTCCTGAATCAGGTAGCATACCAAACTTGGCAAGGACACCAAAGTTACTGAAAAGTGAACTTTTAACCCATGTCTACTTTTCAGTTGCCATCTTAAAATCTCCAGTCCCTAAAAGCAATGACAGACGAGAATCCCCTGTTCTTCAGAAGAGTGATTAAATCCCATGCCGATCATTAGATACATTTTCCCCAAGCACTTCAGATTTTAATCTGCACGTTATTCTCTCAGGGAGTGTCTCTACCTTATAAACAATACAGGAAGTGTAAAGCGTAAAGAAGACATGGTGTTCCCGAAGAATCAAAATTAAACAGCATCGACAAATTGAAAATTGTGAAGCAATAATGGTATTTAGAGGAGAAATTTGAAGCCATTTATCCAAATGCTGAATATCAGCTCCATTCATTTACCACTGAACTGAATGTTTCAAATTATAAATTAAGATTATGGTCCCTTAAGTGTCTGCTTTGATACGAAAATGTTGAAAACAGTTAATCCGTAATTGTTACTTAAAATAACAGCTGATAAGTTGGTACCAAAAGACAAGCCAAATTCTACTAAACCTTTTCTTGAAATTTAAGACTTTTAACCTGGAATGTTAGAAAAATCTGTATGACGAGTGGTGCTACGCACATGCACATTTGTTTTTTTCATTTGCTCTAGGAAATGGACTAATTACTTAAATTTAGGGCAATGTCCTGGGTTCAGCAGTAGCAGTCATTTTTGTCCTTCTTGGTAGCTGGTGCAGTGCAGTGTTTTGACTTTCAGCCTGGGAACAGAACCGATAACAATGATGTTTTGGTTTGGCCAAGGACTTTGTGAGCCTCATGCTCTGCCAGAGAGGAGGGGAAGCCAGGAGGAAGCAGAGACAGGACACCTGACCCAAACTGACCAAAGAGGTATTCCATACCACAGCACGTCATGCCCAGGATGTAACTGGGAGTTAGCCGGAAGGGCTGGGACTGCCGGCTTGGAGGAGGTATCGGTCAGAGCTTGGTCAGGCTGGGGGGGGCAAAATATCAGTCGGCTGGTGCTGAGGTGTTGTATTCTCTTCCCTTGTTATTTCCTTTATCACTATTATTATTGGTGGTAGCAGTAGTGATCTGTGTTATACCTTAGTTACTAAACTGTTCTTATCTCAACCCATGGGAGTTGCATTCTTTTCGATTCTCCTCTCCATCCCTCCGGGAGTAGGGGGAGGGCAAGAAGGGGGGGAGGGGAGTGAGTGAACGAGCCCCCTGCCTGGTTTTAAACCACGACAGGTGACGACTATTCATATTGCTGAGTTTCAGAGATTTCAGGCTGTGGGATCATCATTCAGTCCAATTCACTCCTCAGTCCTGGCTCCATGACTGACTAGTCTCCAATATCTGCAACCTCACACTACGACTCTCTGCGTGCCTCGCAACCTGGCTTCACCTCCATTATCTGTGTTAGGGAAAGAGAAATGAGGTCTGCATCCCAGAGCCTCCTCCTACCATGAAACAGCAACATTAGCAAAGTGTGCACTGGTTTCTGGGAAATGTTCTCAAGTCCCAAAATTTCAATGTAGTTTTAAGCTCCGTGCATAGGAAAAAAGAACAGAGTGGAGCCTTCAGTGCTGTTCCATATCAATTTTGGAAGAGTCCAGGACTTTCCATTACCTTTAACAGGGGCAGAAGAAGCCAGGAGGGAGCAGAGACAGAGCAGCTGACCTGAACGAGCCATCCTATTACTAGTTAACTACTAATTGCTAGTATTAACTACTATTTCATACTACAGCATGCTGTGAACAGTATATAAAATGGTAGGTTACGCAGAAGGAACCAATCAGGTCAGGCTAGGTATGGTAAGCGGGGTGGTGAGAAATTGACTTGTGCATCACTTGTGCTTATTGTTTTTTTTCCTTTTCCTCTTTAGTTTTATATCTCTCTCCTTCTTATTCAGCTTATTATTAGAGGTCTTGTATTGGCCCGTAGCATGGGGAACAAACGAGGAATTAGAGGTGTGTGCACGTCTACGGGGGTATGATATAACAGGCATCACAGAAACATGGTGGGATGGCTCCTATGACTGGAGTGTTGGAGTGAAAGGTTACAGGCTCTTTAGAAAAGACAGGCCTGGCAGGCAGGGAGGGGGAGTTGCCCTTTATGTTAGGGATAGGCTGGAGAGTATGGAACTCTGGGGACAGATGAGCAGTTAACAGAGAGTTTGTGGGTCAGGGTTAAAGGGAATATAGCTATGGGAGACATTACTGTGGGGATCTGTTACAGACCGCCTGATCAAGGAGAACCTGCGGATGAAGCACTCCATAGATAGGAAAAGCCTCACGCTCGCAGGCCCTTGTTCTCATGGGTGACTTCAACCACCCTGACATCTGTTGGAAGGACGGTACGGCCCGGCACAAGCAATCCAGGAGGTTCCTCGATCGTGTGGAAGACAACTTCCTTCTGCAAGTAATAGAGGAGCCGACAAGGAGAGGTGCCATGCTTGACCTCGTGCTCACCAACAGGGAAGGGCTCGTTGGAAATGTGATGTTCCAGGGCAGCCTTGGATGCAGCAATCATGAGATGCTCGAATTTAAGATCCTCAGGACAGTGAGAAGAGCGTGCAGCAAGCTCACTGTCCTGGACTTCAAAAGAGCAGACTTTGGCCTCTTCAGGAACCTGCTTTGGAAGGTTCCATGGGATACAGCCCTAGAGAGCAGGGGGGCCCAAGACTCCTGGTTGATATTCAAGGATCACCTGCTACAAGCTCAGGAGTGCTGCATCCCAACTAGAAGGAAGTGCAGCAGGAGGGCCAGGAGACCTCCTTGGATGGATAAGGAGCTGCTGAGGAAAATTCAATTGAAAAAAGAGGCTTATAAAAAGTGGAAGCAAGGACAGGCGGCCTGGAAAGAATACAAGGATGTTGTCCGTGAAGCTAGGGACCAGGTTAGGAAAGCTAAGGCCTATTAAAATTAAACTTAGCAAGAGGTATTAAAGATAACAGAAAGGGATTCTACAAGTACATAGCAAATAAAAAACAGACTACGGAGAACGTAGGCCCCCTCAGAAAGCTCTTGGGAGAACTGGCTACACAGGATTTGGAGAAGGCTGAGGTTCTGAATCACTTCTTTGCCTCGGTCTTCACTGGCAAAGGCTCTGACCAAACCACCCAAGTCTTGGAAGGCAGACGCAGGAACTGTGAGAATGAAGACCTTGTGCCCACTGTAGGAGAGGAACTGGTTCGAGACCATCTTAAAAACCTGAACATGCACAAGTCCATGGGTCCTGATGAGATCCATCTGTGGGTCCTGAAGGAGCTGGTGAATGAAGTTGCTAAGCCACTGTCCATCATATTTGAGAAATCATGGCAGTCAGGTGAAGTTCCCGACGACTGGAAAAAGGGAAATATAACCCCCATTTTCAAGAAGGGGAAAATGGATGACTCGGGGAATTACAGACCAGTCAGTCTCACCTCTGTGCCTGGCAAAATCTTGGAGCAGATTCTCCTGGAAGGCGTGCTAAGGCACATGAAAAGCAACAAGGTGCTTGGTGACAGCCAGCATGGCTTCACTAAGGGGAAATCCTGCCTGACCAATTTGGTGGCCTTCTATGATGGGGCTGCAGAACTGATGGACAGGGGTAGAGCAGTTGATGTCATCTACCTGGACTTGTGCAAAGCGTTCGACACTGTCCCACACGACATCCTTGTCTCTAAATTGGAGAGACATCAATTGGATGGATGGACCACTCGGTGGATAAAGAACTGGCTGGATGGCTGCATGCAAAGAGTTGTGGTCAATGGCTCAATGTCCAGCTGGAGACCAGTAATGAGTGGTGTCCCTCAGGGATCGGTGTTGGGACCGATCTTGTTCAACTTCTTCATCGCTGACATGGGCAGTGGGATTGAGTGCGCCCTCAGCAAGTTTGCCGATGACACCAAGCTGTGTGGTTCGGTTGATACCCTGGAGGGAAGGAATGCCATCCAGAGGGACCTTGACACGCTTGTGAGGTGGGCTGATGCCAACCTCATGAAGTTTAACCATGACAAGTGCAAGGTCCTACACCTGGGTCAGAGCAATCCCAGGCACAGCTACAGGTTGGGCAGAGAAGAGATTCAGAGCAGCCCTGCGGAGAAGGACTTGGGGTGTTGGTTGATGAGAAAAGGAACATGAGCCGCCTTCAGTGTGCGCTTGCAGCTGGGCTGCATCAAAAGGAGCATGACCAGCAGGTCGAAGGAGATGATCCTGCCCCTCTACTCTGCTCTTGTGAGACCTCACCTGGAGTATTGTGTGCAGTTCTGGTGTCCTCAACATAAAAAGAACATGGAACTGTTGGAACAAGTTCAGAGGAGGGCCACGAGGATAATCAGGGGACTGGAGCACCTCCCGTATGAAGATAGGCTGAGAAAGTTGGGGGTGTTCACCCTGGAGAAGAGAAGGCTGCTTGGAGACCTCATAGCAGCCTTCTAGTATCTGAAGGGGGCCTATAGGGATGATGGAGAGGGACTCTTCATGAGGGACTGCAGTGACAGGACAAGGGGTAACGGGTTAAAACTTAAACGGGAAGTTTAGATTGGATATAAGGAAGAAATTCTTTCCTGTTAGGGTGGTGAGGCACTGGAATGGGTTGCCCAGGGAGGTTGTGAATGCTCCATCCCTGGCAGTGTTCAAGGTCAGGTTGGACAAAGCCTTGGGTGATATGATTTAGTGTAAGGTGTCCCTGCCCATGGCAGGGGGGTTGGAACTTGATGATCTTAAGGTCCTTTCCAACCCTAACGATTCTATGATTCTATGATTCTAATAAGCTCGAGAGAGTACATTTTGCTAAGGTAGTTGAGTATTTACACTGGAGTAGGGACACGGTTTTCCAGCAGAAACACACATATCAAATAAGGTCTCTTATTTATATACCAGCAACTAATCCCCCATATCTGTAAGAGTTCAGCTATTCCTATCACTTCCTCATCACCGCAATGTCTGGTAAATGTTAGCAGCTTGTCTCCACTGCCTCATGGTCTGGGCTGTCCTTACAGGAGCAACACTGGTGGTATGTCTGTGCTTGCCCTCTGTTAACCCTTGTTAATTAGCATGTCTGTGCTTCAAAGATGTAACCATGGTGGTTACTCTATGCTGGAGCTCCCTGCAATGGTGTTTGCTGCCACGGGAAGGCAGAACTCGGCATCCAGCTCAGACATCTCAATGCAAAGTTGAATCTGAGCCTTCTCTGGGCTTTAGAAACCCCACCATTTCTCCATTTAACAATCCACAGCTCTGAGTCACTGGATACAAAAAAGAAGACAGAAAAACCCGTAGCTCACTGCACACACATTAAGTTTTCTTCTTCTGTTGGCTTCGTACTGGGCAAGACCAGCTGTCTGCAGGGCTTGGCTTGGGATGTGTTTGCTGGGGAGGAGAGTGTCATTAAAATGTTACAATGAAAGAAGAGCTGGTATTTTCTGTTTGAGCAAGTTACTTTTAACAGCAATCCTAGTAAATGTATGTAGACTGGGGAGGAAAAAAGCTTTGTCACGTTTACATGCAGCCATGAAGCTTCTTCTACAGGCCTGTGGTGTCCTGATAATGACTTCCTTTATCACCGGCTACGAATTGCGCTGGGAGGTAAACATTTGCCAGGCAGATATTTCCATAGGTACCGCAAACAGGAGGTGTAGCAGTAGGAGGGAAGGAAATGCCCTTTCCCAGGGAAGATCACCCAGGCACCCACCTGCTCCCTAAGCCTGCTGGGTGTTCAGGCAGGGCCTTGTACAGGTTCCTTGTGGCTGGGACCCTGTCTCACTACTCATGGCGTGACCATGTTTCTGCCAGGAGCTTCAGGCTTGGGCTGCTCCTGCTCAGCCTCAGGCGCTGCAGCAGAAGACTTCTTCTCCCAGCGGCAGACCATGGAAATGGTCTGGTTTCCTGGCAGAGTCATTTGAATCCCTCTTATAAATACTCCTTTTGCATACTTAGTACAATATCAGCGCAGCAAACTGCATTCATGAGCTTGCCATGCTTTTTTGTTAGTGCTCAGTCACCATCAGGTCAGACGCTTAGGAAAGGGATGGAGTCTGGGGAGCTTCCAGGCCTGGCACGGCTGCCTCTGGTGACAGTGTAAGGACGAATGCTGTCAATGAAAATAGAAGAGCCCCGTCTGATTTATTCCCAGGAGCCCCATGTCCAGGTGCAGCCTCAATTATTTATGCAAATGAAGACAAAGATGGTTAAAAAAAAAAAAAAGGCAAACAAAGCACCCAAACCAAGAAAAGCAACGGAACCAAAGAAACCAACCAACCAGCTCCTATCCTGCTCTCTTCCAACCTTTCCCTCACCATGGCCTTGGAAAAGCAGCAATCCCAGTGCCAGTCTTGCAGAGTCCAAACATCAATTCATACATAATGAAGAGTTTTGGTCTCATCACAGCACCCATAACATACATGTTAAAAGAGGAAAAGGAGACCCATCTTCAGACTCACTCTACAGCGCTAAGTTCCTTGCTCACTTTCCTACTGAGGTGTAATTACTGTAGTAACCCTGCACTGGAAAGTTACTACCAACAAAACCAAACCAGCCTGGGGAAGCTACGCTCTCCTTCCCCAGAGGAAGCACATAGCACAGATGAAAGGATGGGATTTGCCAGTGTAACATCTCTGCTGAAGAACAGTCGTGCCGCAGCAACGGCAGAAAGGAACACGACTCCCCACACTCCACCAAGCTAGTTACACCAGCGAGACGATTAGCAGGGTACAAAAGAAATGACCCCCTCGAACAGAAACCCTCACGCTGCCAGCTCCCTGCTCCCCAAACTGGATGCAGAAGCCCCTTCTGCGCCGTGCAGCTGACCGCCTGTTCCTCGGATCCCTCTTTTGCCCGCGGCCTTGGATTTTCTCGGGGAGGCCACCAAGGGCCAGACCGGAGCTGCGGTGCAGGCGGGCGACTCCGACCGCAGCACAGAGCAGACCGCGCCGGACAGAGCCGCGCTCCCCGGGGCCCCGGAGCCGCCGCTCCGCCCATCACACAAGCCCCGCCTCCTCTCTCCCTCCCGGTGTCTATTGGCAGAGGGGCCCGCCCGTCAGCGGCGGTTGCCATGCTGACGGCCCCGCCGCCGCGACGCCCTGAGGGAGGAGCGGGGTCACCATGGGGCGGGGCGGGGCAGCGGGCGGTACCGCCACCGCCACCGGTACAGACACCGATGCACGGCGCAGAGGAGGCGGCGGAGGGGCCGCGGGTGAGCGCGGCGAGCACACAGACCGACAGCATGACCGGTGAGTGGTGCCCGCCGCGGGGGGGGCCGGTTGCGGAGCGGGGGCCTGGGGCCTCCCCGGCCGGGAGAGAGCTGCGATCCCGCCGCGGTGGGGAGCTGGCAGTAACGGCTGGCGGAGGCAGGGGTGCTGGCAGGCCTCTCGCGGGTCGCTTCTTGCCTGCCGGGTGTTTCGGAACGCCCGGCACCGTGCGGTGTGTCCTCTCCTCGGGGCGCTGTGAGGCTCTGCCCTCCCCGGCGCCGTGCGGCCCCCCCCTCAACTGCTATTTCATAGGGTGCTCCTGCCCGTTACAGACAGGGCAGTAAGAGTATCCCCGCCCCTACTTGCCTGTGCTCTTAGTCATAGGGCCTTCTGATCATACGTGCTTGTGTTTTGTTTCCTCCTCTGCCAAAGTTATTCCCAGCTCTACACCGTGTATTTTTAATGTGTATGAAATGCAGTCTGCATTAAAATGCTTTCCTTCTGCGGGGTGTCTGTACTAACCCCGTAGCAGTGCCCATGAATTTTAGTAGAGAGCAACTTAGTCACAGCGCAGGGGATGTCAAAATAATGCAGATTTTGATAGATTCCATGTATTCCATCGCTGCAGGCCTAGCAGAGTGGGGTATACATACAGATCACCCATGGGCTGTATATATAGCTCTCAGACTGAGGACCACAACAGGGTTGCCAGGTCTCCTTGATAGGTAAAGGGGGTTGGGGGTGGGGGTGGTGTTCATTCTAGTTTAATGAAAATCCTATTTCCAAGTGAGCAAAGGAAACGGTTTCTCATCTACTTTCCCCAGACAGGAGTGTGACGTCACTGATTTCCTCCTCGATGATGTCAAAGCACAGTACTAGTTCCGTGCTTGGAACATGACTTCTTTCGGACTTTGCACTAGGGACTCCTATGTTGCAACCATGGCATAATCCTGTATCTGAACCGTGTCCGGATGAACAGTGCCCTGCTCCTTTTAGCCTTCAGGTGCAGGCATAGCAGGGTTTTTGATGCTGGCCTTCACAGACCACTCTCCCTTGAACCTGCCTCTCACTGGGTGAGATCCCTAACCTGGAGGAATAAAATCATACCTTTGTATGAAGCAGAGAAGCTGTGTAAAGTAGGGAAGCTGTGAAGACTCAGTGCACATTGAAAGAGTGCTCTTTTTATAGACAGTTTTGCTTAAATTCTGTATGATGTCTTCTACCTTATTTCCAGGCCACTTTAATCAGTATTCTCTTCACTCTGTTGAATTTACAGGACCCTTTAACTAAGTTGATAAAGGTGTGGATACATAGATACAGTAACTGTGACCACAGGTCTTTCTTTTTTCATCATAATATTTTGCTTCATTATAAATTCAGGTCTATTCACAACAGGCACATTCTTCAGTTTGTTTCCTGTGTGTTTGACAGGTCACATTCAGATTAGGTCCAAGAAAACAAACAGTAATTCAAACTTGTTTCTGGTGTATTCTGTTTTAAATCTACTCCTTATGCCAAGTCGTAATCCCTTTTAGAAAACATGATGGTATACATGTGACTTGGTATCAGTGCCACTGTTTATTTTAGCTTGCCATTTAGGAAGTGTGCATGTGTGTGCTACAGCAGGAATGAGCAGAGGCCATAATGAGAATGACTAAGACAAAAAAAATCTGCTTGTTTAGATGTGGCTTGTAGACTTACTTTTACAGTTTATTATTAGGACAAGTGACAACAAATCTTCATGTGTGCCACTTGCCTTGTACATTTCTAGCACACGCATCTGATTGTGCTGACCAGTGCCCCTTGCAGTGCTTGTGTACAGTGGGAAAGCGTAGCTGGGCAGCCTAAGGAGTAGTGGGCAGTGTGGCATCAGCTGGTGCTGCTGAGAGGTCTATAGCTGCTTTCCAAAATCACACTTTTGCATGAAAAAAAGCCTGCTAAAATGCTGCCTGAAAATGGTATTTCAGTCATGGGTTGCATGTTTATCTGCTGTCCTAATTGTTTGGGTTCACAGACATGTCATTAAATTAACCTTCTTCCCCACCAAAGGAATCTTAGTATCTGATTATGTTTCTTCCAAACTGGTGGGACTGCTTAAACAAATGTTTTTCTCTGTTCTGTTCTTACCTCTGCCTCTTCCTCTTTTGCACAAACTTTAACATTCGTTGGAAGGGATAAAAACGGAAATAAAACTACTGAGCACACTTGAGACCTGCAGAAGAATATGTGGTTTTACAGCTCTCTTTAAGCACCCCTGAAGTAGGGACTGGAACTTTTCGAAGACATAATTAAACTTCTTGCCAAGTGTGAGTCAAGACAGCTTTACTTCTGGGATGGTGCAAGCACTGGTGCAGTACTTCATCCATTTTCATTTGTGGGATACTCGGTAATGTTGAGCACTGGTTCTCAGCATGTCCAGTTTTTTAGCAGAAGAACAACACAGCACAAGGCAGTGGGTGGAGAAAGGATTCTTTGCTACCGCTTTGATTATTTAGTCAGAAGTAACAGCATGAAAAATAGGTTTAACTTTTTGTAAAACTCTAACTAAAGTTTAAGCAGACTAAAAATCCAAAAGTAGGTTTCTGCAGAACAGATGTAACTGGAAGGTTTCACAATGGCTCATCCACTCTTGCTGCGGGTGTCAGTGTAAGATCATGATGCATGCCTGGATGTTTTTGCTTGCATCTGTGGTGAGCCTGAAGCTGAATCAGAAGCTGTGTCTCAGGTTTCTGTAAGCATTTCTGAGTCTTTTAAGCACTTTAAGTTCTGTGGGACCTGATCTTTGATTTCTGTTCTTCACCTCTGAGCCGAATTAACTCACATAATTTCAGTGAAAGTTTCATCACTTTCTCTTGTTGCACAGATCTGAGCTCTGCATCCAGATGTGAGCATTCTGAGTTGACAGTTACTGCCCTGACGAATACAGTGTGGGTTTAGCTGCTGTAAATAGCAGAAGTGGTAGATGAACCAGCTTCTGTAGCAGCTGTGGTGTACAACAACAATGTGGGGTATCTTCATAAATATTCTTTAATAATTTTTTTTTCTTCTTCAAATGACAGGTCAAATGCCAAGACTTTCTAAAGTCAATCTTTTTACTTTGTTCAGCCTCTGGATGGAGCTCTTTCCTTCGACTGAGCAACAAAAGAAATCACAGGTAAATCTGCTTAGTGTTAATTGGTCTTTCTGAACAGTTCCTGCAGTGCATGTAACAACTGCTGTTTACACGACAGATAGTTCAGAGGAAAAAAAATCCAAACCAAACAAATCTGCTGATAATAGTTTTTTTCAGTTATTTATTAGGAGGAGAAAAAAATCCAGTGGTGGGAGAAAAATAGCAGACTGGTTAAATAGCTGCTTCTGAAAAACTGTACCCCTGACAGCTGAAGCAAATGCTAAAAAATGGGGACTATTTTGAAGAGCCTAACAAAAGAGGCATGGTGTATACTGGGCACTTCTTAGCATATGCTGATTGTAACTTTAAAAACAGCGTGGTTGATGGTATAGAGGTACTCGTTTAGAATTAAAATATTCATGATTGTAGATGAGTTCTGTTATAGAGTGGAGGTGCACAGAACTATCTGAAATGTTTGTTGATCAAGAACTTGTAGATAACTACCTTGGTTACAGTGAAAAGAAACCGTCCTTGACAATGGATCTGCTAAATAGTAGCCAGTTACACTTCAGAGTGTCCTGGAGCAGCATGTTTTGTTCTGTGATCAGAGTTCTTAACTGGTCTTACTTTGTGCAGAGCACAACCATGTGCTAAGATCCATGGCACATGGATCACCCAGGACACAAAAAGACAGGAAAAGAATTTGAGTGACAGGCCTAATTTTCAGAGTTTGGTATGTCTGAAAGAGGTATAGATGAGTCTATACCTATAGTATATACCTGTATCTATAGGTTAAGTCTGCCACTATACAGACTTCAGAAGCAGGTTCAAATTTAGTAATTCAGTTAGGAATGGGACTTGGATTATCTTGTAGGGTTTTAGTACAGACTCATTTCTGAAACCATGAAGAAATCGGGTAATTTACAGATCCAAGGTGACAGTGTTCTGGTAACAGCTGAACTGCATAATGAGATGTGTTTCACTGGCTTCATCAAACTAGCTTGTGTCCAGTTTCCTTACAATACATGGGAATCCATGTGTAAGCGCTTTTGTCTATGGTTCGTAGACTTTTTCCATGGAATATTCTTTAGAATCTGGATTCATTTCTATAAATGAAGAGACAGAAGTAAAGCTAAAGAAGCTATTGTTAAGCTTAAAACAGAAATTAAGCTAAAACAGAAATTGAAATTAAATTCATAGCATTTCCAGATGCTGGATGATTCAGAGGGTTTTTCAGCTATAATTGACAGAATTTTCTGTGCTGTGCCTGGAATTTGGTATGTGCAAAGCAATGACCAAAATCATGAATTTGCTACAAGTCCCTGTTTGAAGCTTGACAGGGGCACAGCATGCTGATATTAAAAAGCACATGTAGAAACTACACATGCACACAAAAATACTGCTTTGGGAAGTGTTAACAGAGATTGCTTAATGATTCATATCACAATTGGTAATGAAGAGCCATATGCTCTGATCCTGGTTGGTCAGTGTTCCCTAAGGAGGAGCTGTAACATTGCTATGGACCTGATGTTGAAAAAAAGTAAAATAATAGAAATGCATTTTTCTGTAGGTGAAGAAGAGTGGCCTAGTTGTGGTGAAAAATATGAAGATTGTTGGTCTTCATTGTTCCAGTACAGACTTGCATGCTGGCCAGATTGCACTCATAAAACATGGATCGAGACTTAAAAACTGTGACCTTTATTTCTCCAGAAAACCGTGTTCAACCTGTTTAAAAATGATTGTAAACGGTAAGCAATGACTGCGGTAGATTTGGGGTAAATGTGACACTTGTGACTGGTAGTATCTGAAAGCTCGTTTTCTCTTTGGACTGTCCCAGTTGTGAAAGCAAATCCCTAACTTGTGTGGCCTGCACTGGTATTTTCCACAAGGCTGAAAACAGTATTGAATGTACATTTTCCTGGAGCTGATGATCAATAGATTAGGGTTTGCTACTGAGACACTATTTATCTGTGCAGCTATTACTATTGGTGATGCTTGTCTCTTGGTTGGGATGCACTGCTGAGATCCTGACAATCCAGTTGCACTTTGCCAAAGCAACCAACCCTAAGCCTAATAATTAGGCCTAAATAGCTACATTTTTCCTTGCCCTCCCATTGCTTGTCAGTGGAACCAGAGAAAGGGTGCCTTTTATGCAGGAATCACAGGGAATACTTAAGGTTTTCCTTTTCCCAAGTCAGATGAAGACAAGTCAGATTATTCACTTCCTTAAATGGGATCTGCTAGGACAGCCCTTCTGCAAGCATTGATTCTTACTCTCAGAAACAGCTTCTGTTAGTGCTAGCTTTTTTGTGTGGTATTAATATATCTGGTGTAGTTGAGATGCAAAATTAGACTGTCACAAAGATCTTAGCATTTAGAAAACTCCAGTTTTTGTCTACAGTCTGATTAACAAGTTAGATAACCTCTTGATACTTGTATCTAGTAGCATTTTTGTTGTCCAGACACCCCTCAAGCAGCATTCAGGGCCTTAAAGGAGTAAAACCAGGGTTAAACAGTAGTGTTGAATATGCGGTTTGTGTTCCACTGTACTTGTATGGTTCCTTTTGCTGCATTATCTTCTCTTCCAGCTGGGGTGAACAGGATTTCTTACTGGCCTGCAGATCCTGAAATCAGCTTGCAGAATGAGGCATCCAATCCCATGACTACGGATGATGCAAAGCTAGATGCCAAAGCAGTAGAAAGACTGAAGTCAAATAGTCGTGCTCGTGTGTGCGTGCTGCTTCAGCCCTTGGGGTGCTCCATGGTGCAATTTGTTGAAGAAACTTCCACCAAGTTTGATTTTATTCAAAAAATAGTAAAATCTCAGCCTGACTCTAATGCTGACTTTTACACTGCATGTAGGCAAGAGAGAATAAAAGAGTATGAAAGTTTATTCCTAATTTCAAATGAGGAAATGCACAAGAAAATATTGATGACAATAGGACTGGAGAACCTCTGTGAAAATCCATACTTCAGCAACCTGAGGCAAAATATGAAAGATCTTGTCTTGGTCTTGGCCACAGTGGCTGCCAGTGTCCCTGTCTTTGGATGCTTTGGATTTTACAACAGTGAATCACAACGAACAAATGAAACAGATCATCAGAGTTTGCCCCAAGAAATTGCAAGGCACTGTATGATACAAGCCAGACTACTTGCATACCGGACAGGTGAGTTGTTACAGTACTGCAGGAAGAATGGGTCTCATGAGAAGAGCAAGTTCCTCATTTCAGTCTTAGTCTACCAAATAATTCCTTGAGCAAGCTGCTGAATTCTGTTTCTACATCTGTGAAACAGGAATGGCAGTAATAGTAAAAACTCCACAGGGGTACATAGTATTGTGAGTGAAAGCTTTCCAAGAGAAAACCAATGCAGGTATTTAGGAAATCCTGCCCTGCCAACATGTCCAACACCTGTCTAGAAAAAGAATACAATGGCATTTGAATTCTTCAGGCTGCTCTGAGGCTCTTTTTACTGTGGCTTCACAAGATGCTTCTGTTATCAAATACATGCCAATATTTCAAGCAGATTATGTACACTTCTTCAGAAAAAAAGAGTGAAACAAAGGCCTTTCACTAAGGCATTAAGTACAGTTGTATTAAGTTTCTTAGTTCTAATCTTATTAGTGAAAATGCTTCTATATCTGATGGAGGGTTTCTTTGCAGGGATGCTGGAATTTTGATGTACAGGCTTTTTGGCTAGAAGGATAGTTATTGACCACCTTTTGATGATACGGATGACTTCTGTTAGCTACTTTATTCTGTTCGGGTAGCAATGCAGTAAATTGGTACCTTCTTGCAGAGAACAGAATATGAAGACTTATGAAGAGTTAAAACTTAGTAGTACTCGTTAGCATTGGCTTTTTCATCTAGATAGGATAGTTGCTTTTTAAAAACCCTTGCAAACAAAGCATATTCCATATTTAAAGCTTTTTCTTTTTTTTTTTGTTTTTATTTTTCCCTTGGTACCCTCTGTGAATCTGGTCACCCAAAGTTGCAGAAGAGATGGAATTGTTACAAATAATTTGGAAGTTTCATGGAACCAGTTGGGGTTTTTTTTTGTACATCTGCTGTTGTACAGAGCACAGTGGAATGAGCAAACTTTACTATTCATTCTTGAGGCAGCAAAATTCAGTTTTACCTGTGCTGTTCAGGTCTGGATTTTGAGAAAACTCTTACTCCGCTTTAGTCCTGAAATAAAATTAAAATAAATAAACGGCACACACACATATTAGGTGCTTGCATTATTATATAGGTGGATATAAGGAGAGCAAGATTATAGGATGTTTTCTATTCAGGCTTAATATGCATGAGTGACTAGTAAGTATGCAGAATATAAAGTCAGCCCTCATAAAACATATCTTTGGCAGGAAAGATCCTCTTTAAGGTGACTGTATGTGTTAGTGAGACCAAGGATGATAGAAACAGTTAATTGTCTTCTACATCACTGGAAACCTGAAACATTTTTTTCTCCTTGATATGCTCAATTTTTACTGGTCAAGACTCTCATCAGTAGCTACTGGAGAAGATTTCCAAGTTCCATGAAAATCTTCCAAGTCACATAATGGAAGTTCTGTTTTTCCTGTGGTGGTGATGGGAAACACCCCCCAAAATAGGATTATTAACATTTTGTCTCTGAATTAGGTATAAAATACAGCTAATTTTGATAGGAGTTCAGACCACAGAGCCATAAACTTAAGGAATGGCAGAAACTAAGTAATTAAATTGTAAACAGCTAGAAGGTTTTTATCAGTTTGCCATCTCACGTGTGAACCTGTCCACATATATTCTTGGCGCACATATACTTGTCTATGTATTGGTTGTCCCTTAGCAGGTGTGAACAAATGTATGTAGCAGTGTTGAATGGCTGGCCTTGTAGTTAAAGTACACTCAGCTTTTGGAGTAGACATGTATGACTTAGAAGCTCTTAATTTTTCTTTTCTCCTGTCCGTGATGCAACAATAAATATTATTCCTTACTTTAGGATGTTGTATGTTAATGTACAGGTAATTCAGAAGTGCTTTATTTATTATTTGCTGCTAAAATGTTATGTATTTTAGAGGACCATAAAACAGGAGTTGGAGCTATTATTTGGGCAGAAGAAAAATCAGTAAGTATTGAAAAAGTTCCTCTTTCTTGCACTCACAATTCATACACTTGTATCTCCTTTGAGCTGTTATTTTGCTTTAAGTTTTTGCACGTGCGTTTTTCATACACACACAGAGAGCACTACAGAAACCTCATTCTTTAGTAACTAAGTTAATGACTGCTTCTTTGATAATGCTGTCAAGATGAAGGGGAAGTATAAATGAGTTCAGTAACTACCACAGTGTCTCTGCTTACTTTTCCAGTGTGCCTGCTTCCTTAGCCTTTGTCAGTTAACTCCAGGTGCCCTGGCTACAGAGTTTTGCCGCAGCTGCTGATCAGGCAGCCTGTGCCTGTTCTGCAGGTCCCTCTTTGCAGCTTTTATTTTGGAGAGCTCTCAGTACAATCAAGCCTCACAATCTCTGAAGGATTTTTGTTGCCATTGAAATGCCATAGTGGCTTTAGCACATTTTGGATCAAAGTGGTATTTTTCTACAGGTATTGTTACAGTGCTTTTTCCCATCCAAGCTAAAGTTTTTATCCCTTTATGTCTCTGATTATGCGTGTTACCAGTCCCAGGGAGCCTCATTCTTCATGCAGCTGCAACATACTCTTCATTGGTTTTTAACGCTTCAGTCATCAGCTGCTCATTGCTGTTTTCTCTTTTGTCCTGATTTCAATCACTGATTGCTGCTTACTTAGCACACTGGGCACTGGGTCTGTTGAGAGACAGGTGAAGCAGTCTCTGGCACATCAAGAGCTAATTCCAATTTTGTACATTGCAGAAAGGCTCAAGGACTTAATCCTTCCTCATTTTTGTTCCTGCTATCCATACTACCTGATAGAAGGAAAGCCCTTAAAGCCTGGTGCAGTGTGTTGTGTGCAGTGTTCAGTGGAAAAGCTCCATAGAGAGAGCCATCAGCAAGAGCCTAGTTCTCTTTTTAACTGCCATAACTTGGCATTAACTGTGAAAGTATACATTGCACAACACTTTCACTTAATACTCAGTGTAAATGTCTCCTACTTTAATGGTTTGCTTACTGTTGCAGAGAAGCTGTGATGGAACAGGAGCAATGTATTTTGTAGGCTGTGGTTACAATGCCTTTCCTGTTGGATCTGAATATGCTGATTTTCCACACATGGATGATAAACAAAAAGATCGGGAAATCAGAAAGTTCAGATACATTATACATGCGGAGCAGAATGCCTTAACGTTCAGGTAATGGGCTTATTTTTACCAGGGAGAAGAATGAGATGGTTCAGAAACAATGCCATGACGAATGAATGTGTGATGAAGTATGGATTGCAGTCACAGTCTTGCTTATGCCTGTAATGCAGAACTTGGATGCGCATGGGCACAGCTTCTAGGATTTCTTCAGACTTCTTAAGTGAATTGGTTTTTAAAGGGTATTCACTCCGATGCATAGCAGCTCCTTCAGATACAAGCCACTGCCTCTGTTTCCTGCCAGGACCATGGTGTCCTAGCAGGAAACCTGAAATAAGGAAGAGTGGCAATTGTTGAGGCTTCAACAATGATGTATGTGGAGAGGTGGGATGGGTGTTTTGTTCACAGAGAGTAAAACCAAACTAGATATCGTTGTGTACTTGTGCACTTCGTTAGGAATAAGTGGCTTCTGAGAGTAGATCATAGAATCACGTAACACTTCTTTGCTTGCTCTTGTGAGGTATTAATTTTGTCACTATTAAAAACTATCAAGATATCTGAAATTCTGTTTTTTGACTGCCTGTAGGTGTCAAGAAATAAAGCCAGATGAGAGAAGCATGATATTTGTGACAAAATGTCCATGTGATGAATGTGTCCCTTTAATCAAAGGCGCTGGTATCAAGCAAATCTATGCAGGAGATGTTGATGCTGGAAAAAAGAAAGCAGACATATCCTATATGAAGTTTGGTGAAGTTGAGGGTGTAAGCAAATTTACAGTAAGTGTCTAAATGTACTATAGTCTAAAAACTGGGCTGCACTGTGGGGAGGGTGGAGTGGGCGCAAGAGGTGTGTTTTCTTGTGTTGTTTGGTCAAGTGAGTAGAATTGAGAGGTTGCTCTGTTACAACACTGGGGAGAAGTGCTGTGCCATATGCCAGAGGGTGCTGCCAAGTGTATCTGTTTAACTGCCTTGCAGATTTCCCTCTAACTCACTGCTGTTGTTCGAGTGCCTCGTCACGCTGAGGTTCTCTCCAAGCTTCCCTGTCACAGTACAGCAGCTGATGTGGGAGATCACTGTGTGACTACATAGGCCCTTCCAGTAGCTCCCAAAAGAGCTGCAGTGGGTTTTGAAGGTGGCTAAGTGTCCTTGCACTCAGGGTGCTCACCATGGCAAACAACAGCACTGGTGGTTTGAGCAAGCTCATTTCTCCTTCTCAAGGGAGTAAATGACCACACATCCCTTAATAGGTTTTTATTTGCAAAGTAAGTGTGTGTTGGAGGTGGAGTCCTTTATTCCCTGCCTCACCCCTAGTCATGCCTTACAGTGAAGAACAATGGGGTACTTTATCCTTCTCCCTTTGCTCTTTTTTCTGTCTTCTGGAATAAGTAAACATTTTCTTCTTCTTTTACCAGTGGCAACTAAATCCACTGCACACCAATGCCCTTGAATTCCATGACCCCACAGCCAGGGAAAGTAAGTAATTTTTTCATTAATTCATGTCATGACTGAAGTCAGTAAGTGAGATCCCGTTTTAAACAAACTTGAATTGATTAGTCTTAATTCATCTTGATTTCAGTTAGTTAAATTTTGCTGTGAAAACTTCTCTGAGCTTTTTGAATAGATGAACTAATGGTAAGTTGAAAACAAGTTTGTTTTAACAAATGCTTGGCACTGGTACACACATTACAAAACCTAGTAATGCTGTTATCAAGGTCAACAATATGCTGTTTGACACAGATAATTTCAGACTACTGTATAGGGTTTTAGATTTTGTTTTGTAAAGACTTTTTATACTGTGCTCTATAAAGAGTGCCATTCTTTTTCAAGAGAAATTGGACTCCTCCAAGTCATTTAAACACATTTTGTAGAACATTTGAGTGTTTCTTTTATGAAGTGGAATCTATGCCAGTGCTTTTCAATCAGCATTTGTTTTTGTGTGTTTATATACACATATATAATATAAAGGCCACAAAATCCTTGTTGACCTGCACTCCTGTAGCAAGGAAGCTGTCATCCTCTGAAATAGAGTTTGGACGAGTCTTATCTTGAAGCCTTTTTGTGCTACAGAAGGGACCCACCAATGGCATCTACTGTCAGCTACCAATCCTTAAAATGTTTCTCATCCAGAGGGGAAAATAATGCGGAAAAAGAAGCTAAATAATTTTTGTGCCTCAAGCACAAAGATACGGAGTGTAAAGATAGCGACCTGGCAGTTACTCAAAGAATTGAGTACCAGGCTAGGAGCATAAGAAAGACTGAAGGTGGGGTCTGTAGCACATGAATAACCACATACTACAAGCTAATTCCTAATGTGAACTAGAGATCAGCAGAGACTTCTCTTTGTTAGCAATTTCCTCATGGGCTCAGGAAAAGGGGCGAGGGAAGGGCTCAGAGTAGTGTGTGTGGCATTAGTAGTCACTGCAAAATGTTAGAGCGTGTTTATCCCTCTCTCTGCTAATGGTTTTTAGGCCTAGCTAGAGAAAGATTCACCTTTGATAGGGCTCATTTCTCTAAGAGTGTTTTCTTCAAGATGGCATGCTTCCATTTCAATACTGAACTGGTACAAGTTGCTTTCTTTCCTTGATGTGTTTCTCTTGCTATGATTACTGCATGCTCCTTTGTAAGCGGAAGAAGACAATCTCTGTCCCTCTCCCCATCCCCAGTGTTATTCCAGTGGGCCATTATGTGTTGAGTATTTAGGCTATACTTACTACTGTATTAATGTTTTAAAAATATTTTTTCTCTTTAGATGGGGTTCAGAAAACAAAGTCACTAGATGACCAGCAGCACCAAAGCAAGAAACTGTGTCTTGGTCACTATTGAATAATTAAGCACTTCTGCAGTCTTGCTCTGTGTTTTTTTTATAATGCAGCCTGTTTGCACTTTCAAATAGAAAGAGTTTTATTTATTGTTTGGAAAGTGAATTTTAGAATAAGTTTATTTATGATGTCTTTAATGTTTTATGGCATTACCTGAAGGTATTTTTAATTTAGAAGTTCTTCTTGGCCAAAACCTGCTGCTTGTATTTTCTGTGAAAGTAACTGGGTGGCTGATCATTATTAACACATTAAAACATAAAAAGGACTGAAACTTTGTTGCTGGCAGATCACAGTAATAATAAAATGGTACCTTTTTGCTTGGTGTACAGACTGAGGGAACGGATTTCCGAGTTCTGGGCTAGCAGAATGCAGAAATAAGCCCTAGTTTTTCAAGTACAATCATCAAGGGAATCTTTTAGGAAATGGTAGATAAATAATCACTAGCAGTTATTACTGTTCCTGAAAGTGGCTTTTACTTCTCAGTCTGCTTGTATAAAGGAGACGAAGCCATGGGAATGGCCATCATTTTTGAGTAAGTGGTTTGAATATCAAGCTTCTCTCTCATTCACACTGTTCCAACTACCACAGCAGCAGAACTATTTTGTTTTGTGGCACCTGCATTGCTGCTCTGTTTGCTTCCGGAAGTGCAGCCCATCTGAATTGATGCAGGCAAAGATTAGCTTTGCTTTTCTCAGCTTCTGGATGCAGGCCTAAAAGAACTCAGCTGTGTGCGTCTCACTGGCCCCTACATACAGTGTGAAGATTTTGAGAGTTTAGGTTTTGTTAATCATCTTCATTAACAGGCTTGTAGGACTACAAAAGCTAATAAAGCACCCAATGTCCTGTTATTTCTTACAGAGGATGATCTATACCAGCAGAATTGCCTGATAAGGATGCTGGGGGTGGACTCTTCATTAGGGACTGTAATGATAGGACAAGGGGTAACGGGTTCAAACTTAAACAGGGGAAGTTTAGATTGGATATAAGGAAGAAGTTCTAGATGTAGGTCAGGTATTAGGAAGAAATTCTTCCCTGTGAGGGTGGTGAGGCACTGGAATAGGTTGCCCAGGGAAGCTGTGAAGGCTCAATCCGTGGCAGTGTTCAAGGCCAGGCTGGACAAAGCCTTGGGTGGCATGGTTTAGTGTGAGGTGTCCCTGCCCATGGCAGGGGGGTGGAACTTGATGATCTTTAGGTCCTTTCCAACCCTGACTATTCTACGATTCTATGACTGTTGATGATCTGTGGAGCAAGGGTGACATAAAAACAGCCAGTGAAACTTCATTCTAATGTGGTTGCCACTTTTGAGGGGGTGCTGGGTGGGTAATGGGTAACCAGGACATTTGTACCCAGCATCCTTTGAGAGGTCCCTGCCCTTACTCCCATCTGTTTTGAATATGCTGCCTTGAATATGACCTCTAGCTGTTTGTTTTAGCAGATGTTCCAAGACTTTCTTTTCACTCCTGCCCTGAGCCCTCGAGTGCAAACACCTAAAACCTTCTGCTGCTGCCGCTGGTAGAATATATAAATGGCCTTTTCCCAGTTCTTTCACACAAGGTGTCTTCGCTGCCCTCCTTAAAGTCCAGGAAGTGGAATAATGTTTTAAGATGCTGCTGAAGATTCTGTTTGTTTCTTTTAGGCTTTGGAAAAGGTTGGAACTAGATAGCAAAGCTGTGATCAGATAGTGTGCAAAGCATCCATAGTGTGGCATTAATTATATGGAGTCTGTTCTCACTTAGTTTGGCTACTGGTCCTGTAATTTAATGTACAGTTCTAATGTGCAACAAAGAGCTGTGATTCCCTAAGGCTTGTGGTCTAACTTCATTCTTGGGTACCTGGACCTTAGAACTGGGGAATGCTTATATTGTCTTACCACCATGAGGATTCAGTCTCACTGGAGCTGGAGAAGCTGCTGTTTCTCTGAGCCTAGTTAGATTGAGAGCTACTCTGGAGCTGCTGGTTGAGTGTGGTGCATGCGGTTAGCAGCAGAAGTCTCATCAGGATGACCTCTGGCCCCACTGTAGTCTTGCTAAGGAGGGTGCATACAGCTTCATTTCCCAGGACCAGGGAGAGGGTAGAGGAGAAAAATCCGACCCTGTTTGTCAACTAAGGGAAGGATGCTGAAATCCATTTTTACATCACACCTCAAAAGAGTGCTCTTTAACAATAGCTCATGAAGAAATTGCTGAGCTGCCACTTGATTAGGTCTTGTAATCTATTGTGGAGGAACCCAGGTCCTGAATTTAGGACCAGTAGATCAGCTGCAAGAGCTCCATGCCTTACCTGTCAGCTTTAGAGTTCAGGGCGTGGGGGTTAAGTTACTGGTTTGTATGCTGTACAAACCTCAGAAGAACAGTTTTTTTCCCTCATCAAGAATTATATAGTGTCATTGTTTGTAACTTCCATATGAGTCAAATGCTGGTGTTTCAGAAGCAAGATTATAATCTATTTTTAAATCATAAATATTTTATTTTGGCATATTTGCTCCCCACTTCTTGTAAGCATCTTTTGTTAGAATAATTACTCTTGGCTTTTTCTACGGAGTAGAACACTGTCCAGGTTAGAGTAAAAAGTCCTCCCCCTCCACCCACTGAAACCTTGTTTTCGTAATTTATTGGCAGTGCTCTTCTACTTGAGGTAGAGGCAGGGGAAAAAACAGGGGCAGGTTTAAGATCCCTTCAGATTTTATAGTGATCTGTCAGCTGGTGTCAAAACTGGTAAAGAAGTCTGTGTCTTTATAGGAACAGCTGAAAATAAAAACTCCCTGAAACATCACAAGTGGCCTAGGTATGGATAAGTAAATTGAGATACAAGTCAAATATCACACACATTAAATAACTACACTGCAGTGAATGCTGCTGGAACCTGTGCTTCATGAGGAGTGAAGATTCAACTTTTATTTTTTATTGTTTGTTAAAAAGAGGGGGTTTTGTACAAAACTTTCTGTGAAACTCAGAACTGCTTGTACAGCTGAAGGCTTGCAAGTCCGGCTTTATTTCTGTCTTGCTACACTTCTGCAGGTTCCTCCAGAGACTCACAAGTTTCTCTAGGCTCCTATAATCAGTATAACCCTGCTTTAATTCTTAATGGGGTTACAAAGCAGGGTCTTTATCCTGGCCAGCAGGAACAATGTGAGTGGGGTTTCTCTCCCAGCCCCTGGACTCTGTAGGCGCTACTGTGCCTGTTGCCTGCTTAGCAGGGAGAGCCATCAGAGATGGGACATCTCCTGCAGTGCATATTTTGCAAATGAACTCTTAAGATGTTTGCTTCTTTCTTACATTAAAACTACAATGCACTTAAAATCATGAAATGTAAAAGTTATATATTTTATATATTGTATGAAATTCCCATATGCATTTTGGATCTATTCCATTCCTTTCAGAGCAGTCATTTTAATTGTACGTATTAACTATCAGTAATAATTTGGCCTCCTGACAGAACAGAAATTTTCTGTTAATTGTCTGCCTTACAGCAAAACACGTTTTCTGCTAATAAATTAATGTGACAATAAGTACTGACATGCATTTTTAAGTGCTTTTGGTTATTAGAAGAAGCGTAACTGAAACAGTGCTTTGAAATGCTCACTCCCTTTACCTGCCTGGTGCTGTCCTTGCTCTGGCAGTCCCAGTTGTTTGCTAAGTGGCATCAACTCCTGCTCTGCCTGAAGAATGTGTTTCGACATGAGACTGTGCCTCCTGCCAGCCCTGAGGAAGGGCTGTGATTCCCTCCTTAGTCCTGAGAGCATTAATGATCATCAGTTCCCTCTTCCTCAGGAGAGTCAGAGCTGCCTTAGGGAGCATTGTGTGAGCTACCACCTCCACAGCCTATTTCTTGGTTGAAAGGACGGAAGTGGGTAGAGCTTTGACCATGCAGCAGCACATCCATCCTGCTGCACCTCCTGCCTTGCTGCCCTGGATCACTGCATCTGCATGCGCAGCACCTTGATTCATAGTCACCATAGAGGGGGATCGTGGTAGTGATCGTAGGCAGCTACTACACTGGTCAGCAGTGTGGCTGAAGGGGAGCAAGTGTAGCATGAAGCAGGTGATGCTGAAGGCCTGGCCCATAAATAGTTTCAGATCCATGTAGCTCTAGCCCAGGCATGCAAACTGGAGGCCTGTTAGCCAGCGGAGTGCATTGGGGCTATTGCTACAGTTTGTTTTCCTGTTTAACTGCATCTCAAATGAATCCAGTCAGTGCACCCCAAGACTGGTTCATGTCACTGAGCCACATGCAGTAAGCAAGGACAGATGGAAGCTGCATTTCAGGAGTGCTCTTGAACTGAAATGTCATTGTAAACAGACAGCAGTCAGTGGGATGTAGTCAGGTGGGCTGGCAATGGGACAGGCTTCCCAGAGCCATGTTTAATGGGGGGACTACTCTTAAAAGCTTTGCAGTCCTCTAAAAAGATTCTTTTGGTTTGGCCTTTCTGCCTGCAAACCAGACTTCAAATACCTGTTTGGCTTTGCTAGATCTAGTAAGTGAAGTTACCTGGAGATGCTGAAGAAAAGAAGACTGAAAAACAGAAGGGAGACAGTGTGTGCTGATTTCTAATAGATCTGGGTAAGTGCTGTATTGGGTCTGCATGGGAAGGTTTTAGTAGCAGTGGGCATACAGGTGTGGCTTCTCTGAGAAGCTGCCAGAAGCTTCCCCCATGCCCCATAGAGCCAGTGCTAGCTGGCCCCAGCAGGGACCCACCGCTGGCCAAGGCTGAGCCCATCAGTGATGACAGTAGCGTATGTACTTGAGAAGAGGGGAAAGTTACTGCACAGGAGCAATTGCAGCTGGAAAGAGGAGTGAGGATATGTGAGAGCAGCAGCTCTGCAGACACCAATCTCAGTCAGAAGGGGGGTGAGGAGGTCGGAGCAGGGGAAGCGTGTGAGGAGCCCTCTTCTGATGTGTCCCAGCGCCATGCCGTGCCATTGGCAGCTGGCGGCTGACCCTGCAGCCGCTTGGTGAGAAGAGGCATTGCCCTGCCGTGCCGAGCCTGTGGCTGACTCAACAGCCCCGAGCCAGGGAGGGCTCCTGGGTTTCTCCGTGGCTGTGAGCCGGGGCTGGTCTGTTTCAGCCCTTCTCCCTCCCGCCCAGCGGGAACGACGAGCGCCGCCGCGAGGGGGCGCTGTTACCGGGGGCGGGCGTTGCCGGTGCCGGGGGGCTCTGCCCCAGCCCCGTGCGTTTCACCGCAGCTGTACCGGGGACCTGCTGCGGCTGCGGGCAGCAGAAGGGCGGCTGTGCTGATGCGCTGTGTGCGTGCCAGCGCGGCAGGCAGCGCCGAGCATGACCAGGAGAGGAGCGGGGCTGGTGAGAGACCGTGTGGGGAGCGGCAGCTCCTGATCCGTCACGGCGCAACCTGACCGAGCCTCCGGGAGGAACGGGCACGCAGAGGAAAGCGCTGAGCACGGCTTTTCCCCTGGGGTATTCTGCATTGTGACATTTATCATCTCCACTGCTCCAAGTATCGTCTGTTTGTACCTGAATTTTCCACCTCGCTTTCCTGAGGTGCCAGGCCTAGCACTGGGGATCTTCCTGAAGCTACAGGACACTGCATTCCCAGCACTGCTGAAGGGATGGGCTTGTTCCAACTTTAATGGAGATGGTACTTCTGCAACATGGTGATCACTGGCACTAGAGAGGTGCATGAACAACGAAGCCTTTGCAGTCTGCCTGTGTTTGTTTTCTCCTCCTTCACCTTCGTTGCTCAACTCTCTTTACTTTGTGGTGAGGTCACCTCACAGCTTTGCCAGTGAGTTTTACCCCAGGGCAGCTGGATTTCCAACTTGGAGGAAAAATAAGGGATTGAAACAACCTGGGAAACCATGAAGCATCTGTACAGGCCTAAAGGACATTACCATTCAAATGCCAG